TTAACATTATGTATACATACATATATATATATATATATATATATATATTATTATTAAAGTCTATTAGATTATACTATGAAACGGTATTATGATTAATACCATTGCATTCACGAATCTTAACTGAAATGTAATAAAATGTGGACTCCACATTGATAAACATCCTGTGACTATGATTGTTTCTACTCTAGAAGCATTTCTGTGATGTATAGTTTATATATATATATATATATATATATATATATATATATATATATATATATATGGATTGTATTTTACATGGGTATGAAGCATACCACATTACAAAATAAATGATTCTTTCATATGGAGATAAAAATAAAATTAATAAATACAATAGTGATAACTTGGTATATAACTAATCACTAATCAAGGTTCCTTGTTTGTTGTCAGCACCTTTTATTATATTCTTAATAATAAATATACAGGTATAGATTTTCAGATCAATTGTTTATCCTGTGCTTGCAAGTAAAATAAAATTTCTTTTTTATGTTGAATTCAAGCAATAATAATAATAAGGCTTAGTGCCCCCGAAGGTCACTCCTGTGCTTGTTAAGTATTGTGAAATAAATATATTTATTAAATAATTATTTTTTAGTAAGTAAATTTACTAAATATTTATGTAAAATAGGAAACTATCACGAATATTACGGTTTTAGCTGAATAAATCCTTGGAATAAATGAATTTAGTCTCAAAATAAATAAAAATAAAACTTTGATATAGATATAACAGGAAATGCATTTGTATATACAGAGAATTTTAAGGATCTAATGTCTACTGTAATAAGAATGGATAAAAGTGAAGACAAATTAGAAGTAGACAGTGCTTACTACTTTGCTGTTGCAAAATTACTTAAAAGCAAAGATTGATGGGTCAACTAAATTTTTTTTCATGATTCTACATCAAAAAGTATTGAACACATCATAGTGTTCATTTTGATAGGCCTTAGGAGCCGAGAAAAAAATTATTTTATATACTAAAAAAAAAGAATAATCAAAATAAAATTCATAACCATCTCAGTAACACGAAAAACAAAATAAATAATTTAATATAAAAAGATATTGTTTACAAAGTTGATTGTAATTACTGTGAATCAGTATACATAGAGGAATCTAGACAAAATATTTCAAAAAGAATGAATTGACATCTCAAGGATTCGAATAATTCTAAATTAGATAATAAAACGGCCCTACCTCACCACAGTATCAAAAATAGTCATATATTTAACCTAACAGAACCTCAAATATTATTCAAAGAATCAAATAGTTCACATAGAAAGATAATTTAATCAATTTTCATCACAAAATACATTGACAAAGAAATAATTTATAAAACAGATTCAGCCAAAATAGGAAGCCATTATGCTCACACAATCAATAGATTAAATATATGAAATAATAAACCTCTTAGAATTTGACCCCCTAATGTATAAATTAGATATCAGTGTTGACTAGATTTTCCCTAGAGAAGGGTCCTCATTAAATTTAAGGTGAATTAATATACTGTTTAAAACATAATCTCTCTCTCTCTCTCTCTCTCTCTCTCTCTATATATATATATATATATATATATATATATATATATATATATATAGGGAGAGAGAAAGAGAGAGAGAGAGAGAGAGAGAGAGAGAGAGAGAGAGAGAGAGAGAGAGAGAGAGAGAGAGAGAGAGATAGAGAGAGAGAGAGAGAGAGAGAGAGAGAGAGGGGGGGGGCAGAGAGATTATGTTTTAAACAATGTATTAATTCACCTTAGTGATTATTATGCCAACTTAGAATTTAGTGTTCTTTTATTCTTGAAATAAAAATGCTTTCTCTAGGAAGCATTGTTTAGGAGTTATAAATCAATAACTGAAAAAAAGTATTTTTTAATACTGTAACTCAACTTTGTGTTGAGGGATCATGTTAAACAAACATTGGATTATTGTCATTATATGATCTTTTGCTTACCAAGTTTACTACCACCAAAAATCCTTATTTAACTGACGAATAGAGAATATATTTTGTTATGAGTTAAAATATAAAATATGAATACAAAAATTAAAATAATTAACAAAGATTAAACTAATTTAGTTAAATGCTATAGTAAAATATTAGAAGAAATCATTACTTACATATTAATTCTTTGGTTGCACTCCTTGATCTGGATGGACTACTTGTATCTAAAGGCTTGCCATATTTTTTAATATCTCGACTGTTATTTCCAGAATTAGGTTGGGCACTTGAATTTGTTATTCCCTAATAACATCATGTCCACTAAGATTGTGTAAGAAATGTAATTGAAAAATAACCACGAAATAAAGTTTAGAATTATTAATATTTCCCTAAATGCATTTAAAATTAGATGCATAAAATAAATCAGTACTCAAGTTTTTGAATATATGGAAGACAAATGATGTAATCCTTGAAGAACTGCAGTCTGTGCCGATCCATTTAATTGGATTTTGGCAATTAGAAGAATAGTAGAAAGTTTAAATATAATATTCCTAGAACTAAAAAATTTCAATCAATATAAGTCTATTAAAAATATATATACATTACATATATCTATATCTTTGCAAATACCCACACACTTTATATAAATATATATATATAAACTGTGTATGTGTGACTGTGCGTTCTTATTTATATACAATCTAATAAACTAATCTTATAATGAAAGGTGTTAAGCAGTTTCGAACAAAGTTGTACATTTGAATTAATTAAAATAAAAATGTTGTCAGATTCAATCTACATAAAAACACTATGATCAAAAAAAAATATTACAAGAAATAATAAAAAAAACAAGTTTAACAATAAATGATATTTAACAGAGGTTGATAAACCATATATTTTCCTTTCTAAACTCCCTGTCAAAAGTATCACTTTGAAACATTTGAATTTTACAAAAACATCTGTTTTTTTCATAATAATGAAAGGTACTGAAGTCTATAATGAACATTTTTGAACTGAACATATATAAGTTTCATTAAAATAAATTAAAATATTTCTTCCAATAAACAAAAAGTTAGAAAACTTATTTTTAATGTTTCCTTTTTTACAATTTTAGCTTTAAAATATTTAATTTACATTTAATAAGATGTATTGCCCTCTCTGGCTTGAATGACTGCTTCCTCTCTTCTTGGGATACTTGTAAAAAGATTTTAAAGAAAATCTTGGAGTATATTATCCCACTCCTCCAATACAGCTGCATTTATCATTTCAAGGATAGTAGGAGGTGAATCTAGTGACCAAACCTTTCTTTTGAGATATCCCAAACATGATCGATTGGGTTAAGGTCAGGACTTCTTGCTAGCTAATCAATGGTGTGGATATTTTTGGTGTTCAGGTACTCAAAAACACATCTTGCCTTGTGAGGACAGGCATCATTATGCATGAGCAACGATTCATAGTCTATGAATAGCATAAAAGGCACTGCATGAACATGAATAATCATTTCTACATACCTCAAAGCATTCAAGGCCTCTCCTTGGATTGGCACTAACTCAGTTTGTGCCTCCCAAGATATGCCGCCCCAGAACATGATAAAACCCCCTCCCCTACCTCCCCCCACAAAATGGCTCAGTTTCTTACTTGCAGCACTGACTATACCATTCACCAAACTCTTTCACAGCCACCTGGTCTGTCAAGAACCAATCTAGTCTCATCAGTGAAAACAACTTTTTTGATGGGTGATAAATATTCAGGACCCAGTCTTATTTAAAAAAAAATTTATATTTTATTTGTGCCAACGTTTCAACCCAAACATGTGGGTCATCTTCAGGACGTTGTTTTAGTACTTGAACACCCTCAGTGCTCAGACCACGCCCTGAAGATGACCCACATGTTTGGGTTGAAACGTTGGCACAAATAAAAAATTTTAAATAAGACTGGGTCCTGAATATTTATCACTCATGATATGTACAACAGTCAACTAGCTTCCTCCAACAACTTTTTTCTATTCCTCCAAAGTCCAAGATTGGTATTCCCTTGCAAATCTCAATCTCTTTACGCAGTGTTAAAAGAAGACCTTTCATTGGCCTCCTTGAGCTGTGGTTTGACTATCTCAGTCTTTTTATGACCGTTGACTCCAATATTGATATCCCTCGAACACCAGCGATCAAGTTTCTAATAGAAGAAGCTGCAGAATTACGCTTCCTAAGTGGGTGCATTTTAATAAAGCAGTCATCAATGGGATTAGTAATCCTGGGACGCAGAGTCTGGAAGGCAGACGGTTCTAAACCATTCCCAATAAAAAAAGTTTTGTTTAAAAAAAAAAAAGATATAAGTAAAGTGTATATGAAATAAAGCTTTCTGTCTATCTATCTATCTAATCCGGGGAAGCCCTGACGATGGTCACCTCGAATGACTACCATTCTCACTGTATCTTGTTATGGTCCTTGAAATGGAAGAATAGTGAATCCCAAGGCGATTAGCGATGTAAGGCGATAATTTTCCTTCTTCAGAGAGAGCGATGATTCTGACCGAATCATCGTGGCTTAAACCATTCATTGTGAATAGTTATAACTAGACTAAAGAGGAAAGAGAGAACATACTTCAGGCAAACAAAACATAAGCATGGACTGAATGGAAATTTGAAATGAATAAACCAAAACTCCATCGTTTGTTGGTAAACAGTGAACAACAATGATGTGTCTAATTCACAATGTCTTTCATTTAATAAATAATATTACTATAAATATTAACAAAGTATAGATTAAGGTCAAAACCAAGAAAGACTCGATAATTATGGGTGTTGCAATACCTTTGACAGGGAGTGTATATTATATATTGGAATTCAGCAAACAAATTAAGAAACAAAAGCAATATATGATGTTTTTATTCATTATTTCAAAGAGTTTTTTAATATAACAGTAAACTGGAAACATGGTCAACACCTTCAATTTTATAGATATAATAATTTCTTCAACATTGCAAGACATAAATATATTATTTTTTTTAATAACTAATTATAAAATTTCTGTTAGTTTAACTCCTAAACTTACCAAGTTTGGCTGTGGTGTCAATGACTGGGAAGGTTTTGGACTGCCACCAATTAAAGTTCTTGTTGTAATAACAGCAGGCGATGGGCGTAAAGGCTGCTCAATGTATTTCCGTTCTACAAGACAATATTCATAAAATAAACAATCTATCAAAAGAAATTCCTACTTATTTATTATCTAGTCTAAATTAAATATTTAAAACTAATTTTCCTTTTTGAGACCTTACATAATATTAACAGTTGCAGGTAACTTGAATATCAATAACATATTAAAAAATTATAAATATACCTAAATTTTGTCAACAGGTAATTTAAATAAATCAAAATTAAAGGGAGAGTGCAACCAGCAATGGATATCATACATACATCAATGAATTAAATCCTGATAAATTCTCCACATTGTTGAAAGTTTGACAAATAACTTCTAATGCAGGAAGACCTTACACAAAATTTCAAAATATGCTCTATAATAAAAATAACCTTTACTATTACAATCAATGTAAAATTAAGTTTATATAGCATTCTCCAAACCTTTAATTAAAATTTTCAGTTTATTGTCCCAAAAATTAAATATAAAAACATTTTATAAATGTTTGTCATTAAACTTGAATATTTTGGCAAATAGTTAAAGAACTTTACCTCCAGAATGCATTAGATTATGAACCAACTCATCTTGTTCAGCTGTTGATGAACTCCCTAAAATCAATACAAAGAAGTTTTGAAAATCTGGCTTTCAATAATATATTCTAAAATTAAGTAAAAAAACAAACCCATTACAATACATATAATCCCACATTTACAGAAAAAAAATATAAGCAGACAAAAAATTTCATACATATCTGAGTGGATAAATGTATTTGACTAGGTATATAAACATAGAAAAAAAAAATGAGATACTAAATTCACAAAAAAAATAAAAAAAATAAAGGCAAAGTATACAGTTCTACTGTTAAGCCAAATGTGTAAAATTTTACCTTCAACGATAACAACACAACTAGTTTCATCAGTGCCATGTTTGTTTGTAGCTACACATTTATATTTCCCAGAGTCCTCAGGTTTACAATCAATTATTTCTAGAGTTATAACACCATCAGTATGTGACATAGTATATTCATAGCGAGAAAGTTCTTTATTACCCCTGAACCATCGCACCTAATATGAAAATAACTTTTGTTAATTTTAAAATACAAAGTACAAATTCTGTGTAACAACTATAATTTATTTATATGTTTTAAAAATGTATTTATAAAAATTCTGAATATAATGAATATTTAATACTAGTGTAATATTAATATTATTTTATAGATGAAATATACATAATTACTGAATTCTAGACAAGTATTTTTTTATTAGGTATTCTTTCCTGATGCCTGAAAATCCCATTAATCTGATACTTAAAGTAATTATCCTGTAGTCAGGATCTAAATCCTATTGGACATATATTAGATGTATAGAAATCCAATGTTAACAGAACCACTTTAAGATGAAATAATATGGAATTATGCCAAAGGAATTTATTCAAAGGTATAAGAGGGAAATACCAGTTATGTCCAAAAAAGGGTATTATTTTTGTGGATTTATGATTTTTTTTTTCACAGTATTTGATATCAAGGATACAAATTAGGATTGAAAGAAATATTATTAAAAAAATAAATATATATACAGGGCAGGTAAGGAGGAACAGGCCAAACTCCAGGAGTGGGTTGCATAAAGAAAAATAATTTAAAAAAAAAACTTGTTTGTTCTCCTATTTAAATTTTATTGGTTGATTAAAACAAACAACGAATACAAAGCCAAAAATGGGGAGAAGTCAATGGGGGTATTCTCGAACATTTATTAAAGACCCTAATAACCAAAATGCTAATGCACATTTGAAATATGGTTTATTTGTGAACTTAGTTTATTTGTAATTAACGAATAAAATTTTTAAAAATAGGTGAATCACAACATTTCTTTACACTACTTGAGGTGAATCTCAAGAATTTGCCTAATAAACCTCAATTTAATTAATATGGACTTGAAGCTTATTAAACAAAGAAGTTTTTATAAAAGTGGGGTATCTATAGTGCAGTTGGATAATGATAATGATCTCCAATAATTTATAATTTTTTTAAAAACCGAACTTAGCCAAGTTTAGCCACTTAAAAGTCCTCCTTAAATGGTTTTAACAATGACAAATTCTATTTTGAATTGAAGAAAGCTTTATCTAATTACTGTGAAACAATTGTTAATTACTTATTTTAAATATTTCTTCAGTTATCGCTTCCTATTCATCAAAAAGCATAACTTACTTAAAAAACCACTAAACTTGGATTTCCTACTTTTTTGCTGAGAAATGGCCCATTGTTTATATGAACTTTTTTGTAGCACTTGTGGTCTGCTATCACTCTTATAAAAATTTCCCTCAACTTACGGGACACCCTGTATATATATATATATATATATATATATATATATATTTTTTTTTTTTTTTTTTTTTTTTTGGTGCTATAGACCATGAAGATCTTTGGCCGCGAGATGTGGTTTCCTTACTTGCTTGCAGGAGCATAGAGAGCCTGGAGGTGGTCACCCAACCCCAAGTTGCTACTCACCATGATCTCCATGGTGCAGCAGCAGACCCACCATCCCTTTAGGGCCAATTTGGCAGTGTCCTTCCCACCGACTCACTCATGCTCAAATTGAAACAGTGAAAAATTGGTCTAGATCATGGACTATGGCTGCTCAGAGTCAGCAGGTGCACGAGAACCTATCTTTCTTTCCCTGAAACAGACTGCCCAAGGACCAAACTTCAGGGGGGCCACTAAAATCCTGGTAAACCACATCCCAATTCCCAAGTGATACTAAAAAATTATTTAATTAACAGTTACTTTATAGCAAACTAAACAAAATTTACTTCATATTTATATATATATTAGTTTACAGATAAAAGTGTTAATATTCAAGCTAAAAGGTGATTCTGTTTAGTTGTATAAATGAAATAGATGTTTAGGGTCTCCCATAAGTAGAAATAGTTTAAATGGTGTTGGCAGACCTCAAGAACTACAAAAAAAGTTCATGAAAACCATGGTCTAATTTTCTGCAGAATTTTAAAGTAATTCATATTTTTTGTTGAATAGGAAGTGATAACTAAAAAAATATTTAATTAACAGTTATTTTATATTAAACTAATCAAAATTTACTTCATATTTATGTATATTATTTTACAGATAAAAGTGTTAAAATTCAATCTAAAAGGTGATTCTGTTTAGTTGTATGAATACAATAGATGTTTAATAGTTCTATTTAATGATTAATAATAATAATAATGATATATCAAAATCTAATCATTTACTTTCCAAATATTATGCGTTTTGAAAAAAGAAAAAACACTATTTACCGTTGGGAATGGTTTGCCACTCAGGCAGCAAAGAAGTTTGCATGTTTGACGTGACTGCATAACACGTGGACGTAAAAGGAATGTGAAACTAGGAGCAGATTCAACTTCTTCTTGCCAGAATGTGTAAGGAAGTGGTTCTCGTCTTCTAACCTGTTGAGCTTCAGGTCTATATGTAGGGATTTGTTTAGGTATAGCTGAAACAAATTATAAAATTATTTGTTCAATCCATATTCAATATAACTTTACACTCAAAATGTCATTATTTTAATATATATATAATATTAGCATTTATTAATTAATTTATTTTATACATACGTTGAACATTCAAAAATACAACTTCCTCTCTATATCCATAATGGTTTTCTGCACGAATGATATACTCTCCTCTGTCATCTAATTTTACTCTATTTATAATAAAGTGATAATCATCATTTCCATAGCGTTTCATGAATTTGACGCTCTGTTTTAATTCTTGATTGTTATGGTACCAAGTAATTGTAGGAGCAGCTATTGCTATTACACGGCAATAAAACTTAACACTTTGTCCTTCATATGCAAAAGCACTTTGAGGTTTTATAACGAATCTTGGTGCTGCTTGTCGACGGTCTAAAAATATTGTATTTAAAAATTAAACTTTATTAAACATAAAAAACAAGAATCACCTAACAAAATACATACCAAATGATGTATCCCTTATACAATATTTATCAATCAATAATTTCCTCAATGCACTATACTCAGAAAGTCGACCTAGTGCTATTGGGTAAGTATTCCATAATTCATATTTTGCTCTAATACGATCACGTATGTCTATATATCTAGAGGAATTGATAATTGATGTTTTATCACTGTGGTCACCAACGAGCCAAGGGTGCAATAAACATTCATGGGCAGTCATTCGTTTTCTGAAAATAAAGTTAGAATAGTGATGTAAAAAGTGGATGTAGAATATCAGCAGTAACTGAATCTCATGTTGGAGGTTATATTTCTTAATGTTCTATTATGTAAAGGTCTACTAATAGTGACCATATTTGTATCTTATATATTATAAGATACTAAATCACATTCCGTTGGATTACACATCAATTGAGTGCCTATACTCTGCCACTTTATATTCCAGGACTCTTTACTGGTACTTCACATTTTTAAATTCCTGAGATGTACTACATTTTAATAAAGCTAGAAGCTTTATTGGCTTTTACAAGATATTTAACAAACAGTAAAATTAGACTACCTAAATTAATTAACAATAATTCTATTTGTTCCACTTATAATTTCAATTTCATACTATTTAGTATATTAAAAAATTTTAAAATTCAGTTACATGGTCCTTTGATTCTATTTAGTGTTTAAAATTAATTTTACAAATGAAAATACACTTTTTAAAATCTTTTATGTATTCAACACTTGAACTTAATTAGTTGTGTTTCACAAATGAAAAATATGTTTTAAGAAAAGAGGATGGTGAAGAAAATACAAAAGAGAAAAACAAAAATGCTATACAATGTTATTAATTAGTAAATGAAAGAAAAGAGAATAAAAGCTGCAATAGTAAACCAGTATAAAAAACAGTATAAACATCCATCTACAAGGAATTCTTCAGTAAAAGTGCCAAAGAAGTGCTTGGACTTTTATAATTCCTTACAGCATATTGCAGAAGGAGCAGTACTTTTGAAAAACTCATTAAGGTATGGAGCTCATTAATTATGACCCCTACTCAGCTTTGAACTTGTTTACAGTGGATCATAGGTTCCTACCAAAGAAATTCTGATAAAAAGTTGAAAAAGTAAAGCACTACATGGTCTTTTGAAATGCTATTTCTCAATCAGAAATAGAATGTCTATTAATTGAGCTAAAAAGGATGCTTACTTCTAGAAACTGAAAGATTTACTTTGATAATTTCAGAAATGATAGTTTTCACAGGAAGAACAGGTAGTTTTCACTAATGCTTACAGGAAATATACACACAGAGATGATATGAGTGGCCAATGTAAAAATGCAACCGAATCAATCCAGAATATATCATTGGGATATCAAGCATAGGCAGGTAAAGAATACTTTCCCCCGAGCCCCAGCCTTATCATATAGCATGATAACTGGTTAGGTTCTATATTATCGGTATGAGCCCAAACAGGTACTATCTTCTAGTTTATATTTCTTAATGTTCTATTATGTAAAGGTCTACTAATAGTGACCATATTTGTATCTTATATATTATAAGATACTAAATCACATTCCGTTGGATTACACATCAATTGAGTGCCTATACTCTGCCACTTTATATTCCAGGACTCTTTACTGGTACTTCACATTTTTAAATTCCTGAGATGTACTACATTTTAATAAAGCTAGAAGCTTTATTGGCTTTTACAAGATATTTAACAAACAGTAAAATTAGACTACCTAAATTAATTAACAATAATTCTATTTGTTCCACTTATAATTTCAATTTCATACTATTTAGTATATTAAAAAATTTTAAAATTCAGTTACATGGTCCTTTGATTCTATTTAGTGTTTAAAATTAATTTTACAAATGAAAATACACTTTTTAAAATCTTTTATGTATTCAACACTTGAACTTAATTAGTTGTGTTTCACAAATGAAAAATATGTTTTAAGAAAAGAGGATGGTGAAGAAAATACAAAAGAGAAAAACAAAAATGCTATACAATGTTATTAATTAGTAAATGAAAGAAAAGAGAATAAAAGCTGCAATAGTAAACCAGTATAAAAAACAGTATAAACATCCATCTACAAGGAATTCTTCAGTAAAAGTGCCAAAGAAGTGCTTGGACTTTTATAATTCCTTACAGCATATTGCAGAAGGAGCAGTACTTTTGAAAAACTCATTAAGGTATGGAGCTCATTAATTATGACCCCTACTCAGCTTTGAACTTGTTTACAGTGGATCATAGGTTCCTACCAAAGAAATTCTGATAAAAAGTTGAAAAAGTAAAGCACTACATGGTCTTTTGAAATGCTATTTCTCAATCAGAAATAGAATGTCTATTAATTGAGCTAAAAAGGATGCTTACTTCTAGAAACTGAAAGATTTACTTTGATAATTTCAGAAATGATAGTTTTCACAGGAAGAACAGGTAGTTTTCACTAATGCTTACAGGAAATATACACACAGAGATGATATGAGTGGCCAATGTAAAAATGCAACCGAATCAATCCAGAATATATCATTGGGATATCAAGCATAGGCAGGTAAAGAATACTTTCCCCCGAGCCCCAGCCTTATCATATAGCATGATAACTGGTTAGGTTCTATATTATCGGTATGAGCCCAAACAGGTACTATCTTCTAAAAATAGAACAATAAGTATATTGGGAATGTTCTATAATTACAGACCACACAGTAGTAAATAATAAACATAATTGGACATAAAATTAATTGATCGAAAGATAAAAAGCGGCTGTCATTAATATTGTGGTTCCTACCAATGATATTGGAAAGATAGTATAAGAAAATATCAATATTTGTGCCAGGAGCTTCAGCATCTTTATAAACTGGATCATATAAAGGTATATCCATTAGTAATTTCCAGTAATGACCTTATCACAGACCATATTATCAACTTTATTGAGCATTTGAAGTGTCAGAAAAAGAATTGGAAAAAGGTTAGAAAACAGTTCTCCCAAACATAGCTAATATTGTCAGGAGTTTTTAAACATAGGCATAGCTAAAATCCTAACATTTGAGCCTAACTGTTGATCTTTATATGGGTATATTTCAGGAAAAAAACAAGATAGTGCAAAATTCTAAAATAATAATAAAATTAAAATATAAATAAAAAAATCTCACAAAACAATAAAAATAATAGCAAAAATTATAAAAATATTAAAAAAGCAATACAAAATGTGATTTCAGGGATCAATTCCAGTTTTGTAATACCCATAGATCAATTCAAGTTTTGTAATATCCTTATATTGTTAAATTAATGACAGTTTTTTCCTTACTGAGACTAAATAATTTTAGTTCCTGCTTAGGTCCAGGAAGGTTTTTGTTTTTTTATTGAATTTACACTAGTTAATCTCAACTATTCAACTGCCAAGAATATTCTTTCTGCCAGGGGTAAGGTTTAGATAGTGTAGTTCTTTTGTTAAAACATTGTGGAAAACTTTGGTTTATTATGTAATGATATGTTTAGATTAAGTGAAGTTTTTAATTTTGGTTTGTTACATTATTACATCTGACGACAAACAGACCTTGTAGATCTTTTTCCATGTTGACCAGCCTTCTCCATCTCTGTTTATCTTGGGCTATTTCTTTCCAATTATCTGCATGCAATTCTACAGCATGTTTGTTAATTTGATCTATTAATCTGGTTTTTGGACTAACTCGTGGTCTATTACCTACTATTGAGCCATTCACTATTGTGTATGGATATGCTACTGTCATTCCCAAGGCTATTGATATGTTTTATAATATCCCTATATTGTTTTATTTATGACTGTAGAGGAGACTGGAGGATATTTCTCTCAAATATTTCAATACCTGTATCTAGGATACTGGTTAGTGTCCTAGTCACACAGCTATATACCAGAACTGTCTTTATTATAGCATTACAAACCCTTAATTTGAGATTGCTAGAGATTTTTCATGTTTCAAATACCTTTGAACGAGAGAAAAAAGCTCTGTTTGTACTTTTTATATGCTAGTCTATTTCCGAACATTGGTCGTTCATTGGAAATATTGTGGAACCAAGGAATAATATCCCTTCTGATTGTAAAATACCTTATGTTAAGGGATTTCCACAAATATTTTTACCATATTATAGTTTCTTAAGATATGTGAAAGTTTCAAAGATTTTTTCAGGAACATTATTTAAGATTATGAAATGTCACTTAATGATTTTTTGTTATAATCAGATGATATAAATTATGACAATTCTGTCCAATATATATTTTTAGTTAGGCAAGCTAAAAAAAATTTAGTTTTCAATATGTTCTCACAATTCCATTTAGTCTCTATGGAAATGTTTATTTTCCATTCAATGATATAAAACTAGACATTATTAATTACAACAATTAAAACATGTTATTAGAGACCGGATTTTTGTTAAATTGCATTTCTTTATTCAATAATATAAAACTAGACATTATTAATTTCAGCAATTAAAAGATATTATTAGAGACTGGATTTTTGTTAAATTGCATTTCTTTTTCAATAGTTTCAAATTCAACCAAACCACAACAGAAATTTAAATCATAAAGTGAGCATTATATTGACACTAGTTAAAACTACAGTTTACACAAAATTGAATGCTTTATGGTTACTGCATGGGTTTCCACATTTTGAGAATTTTCTGCATAAAATGGTATTTTTGTTTATATTTAAAATTTTAAATATAAACTATATTAATTCACAGTTTTATTTACAAATTTGTCTCTGATTCATAAAAAAAATCTAATAAATAGTAATTAATGAATAATAAAATAGTTTATCATATGAACTCAATTATCCCAATCTTCGCCACTAGTTAGGCCTCATAATTGCTGAAATGATTTGGGTCAAAACTTAGGTTTGAGTTTTGATATCATTAGAGTGCTATCAGTGGATAGATTCTCTACAAGTCTTTTCATGCCATTGTATTTCTCTATATCACATTCACTGGATGTATATTTAATTGTATACAGTTGTAAATTTCATGAATAAAAAAAAGAATTTTTATGTAAGGTTAATTAGCAGTGACCAATGTCAGTGCTCAACCTTATAAACTGGAAAAGCTCCTGAAGTGTTTTATTCCAAATGATACTTAAGACATGCGCAGCGCTTGTTATAAATAATGTTCCTGAAAAAATCTTTGAAAGTTTCACTTATGTTAAGAAACTATAATACAGTAAAAATATTTCTGGAAATCCTTCAACATAAGGTATTTTACAACCAATTAAAAAATTCCTCCTTACTCCCTGAAGCATAATAACCAGGTGGAGAACCCAGATAGGGACTGCTCTGTTTATTCAGGTAACTTTAACAGGTTTATAGAAAAAGTAGAGAGTTTAGAAGATGCTCTCTCTAAAACAATAGTAAACAAAATTTAAAAAAAAAAATCAGAATTTGAGAAAATTCTGAAGAGGATGTTCCACAAAATATTTTAAGCTTAAATAAACATTAAATAATTATAAATATAGATAGTTAAAACAGTATTTTATATATTAAGATATAGAAATATGCTTGATGACAGGGGGTAAGACTTGACAAAACTACATTAAGAAATGTCCATGTTATTGAACTTTCATGAAAAACATCAATGTAATTGTTTCTAAGACTTTTTCACGTATTCATTTAAGACACACCTTTTCATTATTTTTATTTTATTTTGTAAGTAGTTTATATAAACTTATAAATCATTAGATTGTTTTATTTGTTTTATACATCATGTTAGTAAAAAGCATTAAGTTAAACAAGTTTTTGTCTGTATTATGTTTTTCTATTTTTTTTTATTGTAGCATGTTTTGAGGGTTTTTTTTTGCCTATTCAAAGATTTTAAATACATGCAAATCTACTCTTTAATCATTACCTAACAATGACATGAGATATCATCACCCTCCATTACATTCTATGACCTTATATGTTATGATAATCATTTTTTTAAAATCTATAGCTATATCATACATGTATATCGATTATTTCAATGTGAATAAGATCTAATAGATATTAAAGACCATTCAATTTTACTTAAAATCTATTCAAAGATTTTAAATACAAGCAAATCTACTCTTTAATTATTACCTAACCTAATGACATGAGATATCATCACCCTCCATTACATTCTATGACCTTATATGTTACGATAATCATTTTTTTAAAATCTATAGCTATATCATACATGTATATCGATTATTTCAATGTGAATAAGACCTAACAGATATTAAGGACCATTCAATTTTACTTAAAATCTATTCAAAGATTTTAAATACATGCAAATCTACTCTTTAATCACTACCTAACATAATGTCATGAGATATCATCACCCTCCATTACATTCTATGACCTTATATGTTACGATAATCATTTTTTTAATATCTATAGCTATATCATACATGTATATCGATTATTTCAATGTGAATAAGATCTAACAGATATTAAAGACCATTCAATTTTACTTTGATATGAGGAGTTAAGTTAAAAATTGTTAGAGCCATTTTCAAGAAAATTGTAAAGACATGTAAAATCCTTGATATAAAGTGGCACTTCTGGTAAGTCAATTTTAGTAAAAAAGTAATGGTGACAAGAGATGGTAATAAGATTAACTTCTCTAGATGGATAGTCCAATTGTTTTCTGTTTATTTTCTTTATTTTTTTATTTTTATTTAAGAGAAGTTGGTTGGGGTATTCAATCAATGAAAGTATAAATAAACTATATTTATTTTTATTCCCTTTGTGCTGATGTTTCAGCCTAAGTTTCAGGTCTTCATCATTACTGCTGGCTTGAAACTTAGGCCGAAACATTGGCACAAAGAAAAAAATATATAATTTATTTATTATTACTTTATATTTTCATTGACTGAAAACTTGAATTACATTTAGACAACAGACATTACCAGAAAAAACAAGATATGAATTGGATGTGATATAGCACCATTGAAAAACAGCAACTGAATGATATTCTAATTGAGCTACTGTCATTTTATGGCTTTGAAACATGAGTAACAATTATAGTGTTATAATACTTGGAATTAATCTTACTCCTTATTTTTAATAAGAAGGCGCCTTATAAAATCTTTTCCTTCTTCTGAAACATTAGCAAATGCATCTTCATCAAAGTCCCATTCACAAGCTTTAACATTTTTCAATGTTTCAATATCATTTTCTCCGGCAAAAGGTGATAAACCACTTAATCTGAAACACCAAGGTTAAAATAATTTATAAAATGCTAATAAATACTGTCAGTTAATATTTTTAGGTATTAAATATTATATATAAAACTTACAAGACATATGCTAAAACACCAACTGCCCACATGTCAGTATAAAATCCAACAGGTTCCCTTTCAACTATTTCAGGAGCTGCAAACTCAGCAGTTCCAGTAGATATTTTAACTACCTCATTGGGATCAAGTTTTGTAGCTAATCCAAAGTCTATGAGCTTAACATTTGTACTATGTTTTGTCTGGCACATAATGTTTTCCGGTTTTATATCTAAAATTATAAAACAAATATCAATATGTAATCTAATAGAATGAAAATTAAGTAATTTCAAATCAACTAGAATCTGATAATCTACAGCATATAAAAAATAAAATTGAAATTCAATCCATTTTTTTGCCAACTATCAATGTTGTCTAGAAGAAATTCTATGCTAGTTTTGGGTCTAATAGGACATTATTCATCCCAATGTTTTTCCTATTAAAACTAATTTCACTATTCATTAATTTTTTCCTCATAATGAAATTGAATAAGAATGTATAATAGTTGCTTAATATTAATGGGCATGTTATTAAAATATTTTTAACCTATCAGACCACGGTGTTTGCCCCAACAGCAGGACCAGCAGCAGCAGACTCAAACTTTGGGAAACAGTAAAAACTACCTGTATATAGTTTATTGATTAAAATTCTCAGTGATATTCAGACTGCAATGGATGGTAAAAAACTAACTTCTTGATTTCTCCAAAGCCTTCAATTCCATTATCCACTCCATCCACTTCAACAAACTAAAATCATTATCCTTCTCCAATAGTTCCATCTCTTGGTTCCAATCTTTCCTCTCACAACATACCCTAGCAGTTTTCATACCCAATCTATCACTATCTGCCTACCTTACTTTTTCCTCTGGAGTTGCCCAGTGTTCAAGCATATCTCCGCTTCTTTTCAGCTCCTACATTAAGGACCTACATAATTCAATCCTCCATTCTTCCTACTACCTTTATGCCAACAATTCTTAAATCTATCTATCCTTTTCTCCTGCTGAATTATTAGTAGTATTTGCCAAAATTCAAGAAGATCTAGATCGTAAATTAGTACCTGGGCAAACTTAAACAGATTAAGGCTAAATGCTGCTAAAACTAAGGTCCTTATCGTTAGTTCCAAGCCCCTTCTTAGATCCCATACCAACTTTCCTACACTTTACCTAAATAACCATCCCATCACCTCCTACCCCTCTGTTAAAAATTTAGGCTTTTTCAAAGATCAAACCCTCTCCTGGAATGTGTTGGCATTACAGACCATGTAGATCTTTTTCCGTCTTAACAAGCATGCGCCATCGTTGACTGTGTTTAGGTATTTCTTTCCATTTATCTGCAAGCAGCTCTATTGTATCTTTGTTAATTCTATCTATCCATCTGCTTTTTGGCCTTGTACGTGGTCTTTTGCCATATTTTGAGGCATTCATTGTTACGTAGAGGCTTCCATATGGACTGCTACAAGGTACATGTCCTACTCATCTTAACCTCCTTGCCTTCATATCATGGAGTATTTATTAACCAGTTTCTGTAAGCAGTTCTTTATTGGTCTTTCTTTCTCCATTAGTTCTTTAGTACTCTGATTCCATAACGCTCCAGCTATCGTGCGGAGGATTTTTCTCTCAACTCTTTCAACGTTTTTTTCTAGTGTGCTTGTTAGTGTCCAGGTCTCACAGTAATATGTTAGAACTGCTTTATCATAGCATTGTACAACCTTAATTTGAGATTTTTCGAGATTTCAATACCTTTGAAAGGGAGAAAAAAGCTCTGTTTGCGCTAGTTATTCGCTGGTCTATTTCTGCCCACTGGTAATTCACTGAGATTATTGTGGAGCTGAGATATTTTAATTTTTCTACTCTCGAGAATGAATTTCCTTCGATGCAGATCCTGTTATTGGGGTGAAATTTTCGGCTTATTATCATATATTTTGTTTTGCCTTCATTTACTTGCAGGCCGATCTGCTCTGCCTCTGTTATCAGAGTCACAGCTAGCTTCTCAATGTCCTCTTGGTTACTTCCTAGGACAGCTATATCAACTGTGTACCCAAGGATTTTATAATTCATTCTGACATGGATCCCTCCATTTTCCTGTGATGTAGTTCTTATTACCTTCTCCAGGGCTAAGTTGAACAACATTGATTATCACCGATATCTTCCTCCTGAACCCCCTTAGAACTTGGAGGCTTCAGATACTTCTCCTTGTATTTGAACTCTAAATTTGGGGTCATTTGTACTCGCCTTTGTCAATCTCACCAGCTTACCGGGAACACCCAGTTCAGTCATGGTTTTCCAAAGACAGCACCTGTCCACAGAATCGTAGGCTGCTTTGAAATTGACAAATAGGGCGTGGACGTCCTGAGCTACTTCCCATCATTTTTTGAGTACTTGTTTTAGGATAAAGATCTGGTCTAGTGTGCTCCACCTTTTTCTGAATCCAGCTCGGTAGTCTTCTATTATATTCTCATAATATGGATATATCCGGTTTAGAAGGATATTGGTCATTATCTTGTAGGCAACTGGAAGGAGAGCTATGCCGCTGTAATTACAACACTCATACATGGAGCCTTTCTTTAGGACAGGAGAGATTAGGCCCATATTGCAAGCATCAGGTATCCTTTCCTGTTCCCATATTTTCTGTATTAATTGTAGTAGCTTGGCTCTTAAGTCATTTCCTCCATCTTTAAACAGTTCTGATGTAGGTTGTCTATTTCTGGAGCCTTTCTTGTTTTCAGCCTTTTGTTAGCTATTTCTACATCCAGTATATCTGGTTTTTCAACCTCTTTTGGGTCAAAAGAGTGTGGTTCATGTCTTCTTCATTTGTGGAGTCCCCTTGATTGAGAAGTTCCTGGAAATGTTCTTCCCAGGTGTTCAATATCTTTTCTTTAGATGCCATCTTTTCCTCACATTTGCATATTTCTAGCTTTATATTATATATATCCTACTCTTTCTTTTCTAACGTCTGTATAGAATTTTTGTATATCTCTAGTCTGCCAGTTGCCCTCAATGGTTTGCAATCTTTCTTTGAGGAATTCCCTATTTGCCAATCTTATAGTTTTGTTTGCCTTTTTCTTGGCAGCTGTGTACTTATCCTGAGCAACTTGCTCAGTTGTAGTTAGGATGAGGACTTTAACTTTTCTTCTTTCCTCTACTGCCTTTTCACATGCTTATGTGAACCTCATTTTAGCTTTTCGTTTCTCCTGAATACCAATCACTTCCTTAGCTGTTTCTTTTAGTCCTTTCTCTATTTCCTCCTGGTGTTGGTCCAACATGAGGCTATCCAAATCCAAGGTTTCAATTTATTTTTCAGCTCAAGTTAGAATTTGGTGTTTTACTTCAGGATTTTTCAAATTACGGACTTCATACCTCCTTCTTTCCACTCAATCCTCTGTTTTGTGAAGTCGCTTCAATCTCTGACATAGTTTAATTCTATTCAGAGAATGATCCGAATCACAGTCTGCTACACGATAGCTTTTGACATCTTGTATTGAGCTCTGATGTCTCTTTTCTACTAGCACATGGTCAATTTGGTTTTTTGCTCCTTTGGGGCTAACCCAGGTGTACTTGAGGATATCTTTGTGTAGAAACATTGTATTGCTGAAGACTTGACCTTTAGCTGGTGCCATACTGATACATCTCACTCCATTGTCATTGCTATTTATAATTATTATAAATATAAATAAAATTTATATTTATTATACATATATGCTATATGTATAATTATATACTTAATTAATTAATTAACCAATGCCTATCATACAATATCCCTATACATATAATTTATATAATTTCAACATTAAACAAAACAATGTCACTTTTTAAACCAACAAAAAGGCACATCTTAGTTCAAGTTCTTAGCTGCAACCGTTACAAATCGCATCTTGGTAAGGCTGCTTCACTCTAAACCTTTTGATGTAGGAGGTATGTTTTACATATTTATTTTTTATTTATATCATTCCTTCTTCCCTTTTTAGTAGAGTAGGTGATTGCAATGTTGAAATATAGAATTGTGAATAAAGGTATAAATTTTGCCACTAGAAACATCATTAAAATTAATAATAAAGAAATGTTTAAATTGGAGTTAGTCATTCTGTCAATCGAAAGGCTCATATATGCGGGACATGGTTTTTGGACTCAGGAGATCTCAAAACAACTATTTTCGTTGAAAACTCAGATTCGAAAATTTTCACGATTGCTATACTTACCCTTACTATATATTTCATATATAGGTAAGTGAAAGTAAAAATAATCTGATCTCACACAAAGCTAAAATTCATGTTACTATACATAGAGGTGAAAAATGGATCCTGAATAAGACTACATGCTTCATTCAAGCCATTCAAATTAGACAGGTTCAAATTGGTGCTGAGAGGAATGTTTGCTAGTATGTATAAGAATAGGATATAGTAAAGAGGTGAATGATCTTTAAAACAATCTTCACCTATCAAATATTATAAAAATGAGTAATCTGAAATAATATGGCCATGTCAACTGAACAGGTAAAGAAAGTTTATAAAGAAAGAATTTTTGGAACTAGAGCAAAGTTCTTCCTTTAAAGGGTATAATGGAAGGGTGCAAGAAGACATGCATCAGACAGATGTTGAAGCAGGCCAATTATCACTCTGGTCAGTAGTAACAAAAGAAGAAGTATTTTAAATTTAAATATCAATGATAATTTGCTTACCAAGGTGAATAATATTCTTTTCATGCATTTGTTTGATTGCCTCACATATCTGTCTCATGTAATTTATAACTTCTGCTTCAGACATAATATAGCCTTCAGTTGTTATCCTTTCAAAAAGTTCTCCACCAGAGAGACTGAAAAAAATAATATTTAATATTAATCAATGTAATTTGACCAATAAATCAGATTGCCCATATAAATAAAAATTACAGGAACAAATTTCAAATTGATTAATATGAACTTGAAGCTTATCAAACAAGGGAGTGTATATAAATGTGGGGGAATTGTAGTCGAGTTGGAGGGTGATAGAAAAAAATCCTGAATATTCTATTACTTTATGAATAACAGAATTCAGCAAAGTTTAAACACTTGAAATTTCTCTTTAAATGGTTTAACAATGAAGACAAATTATACTTACATTCGGAGGAAATTTTGTCCAGTTTTCTATAAAGCAATAGTCAATTGCCTCAATCAAATATTTTTTTAGTTATTCCTTTCTATTCAACAAAATTGTGACTTATTTAAAAAAACAACTAAAATTTCCTGCTCTTTTGCAGAAAATTGGGCCATTTTTTACATGAACTTTTTTGTAGCTCTTGAAGTCTGCTATCATGCCTTCAAATATTTTTATTTTTATTTAAATATTATGTGTACAGGGTGTTTCATAAGTAGAGGAAAATGTTTGTAGGGGAGATATTAGATCTCAAGACCCAAAAAAAAGTACATTTAAACAATGGTTCTATTTCCTGCAAAATAGTAGGAAATAAAAGTTCTGTTTTTTATGGTCACGTTTTTGTTGAATAGGAAGCAATAACTACAAATAATACTTAATTTAAGTAATTAAAAATTGCTTCACTGTAAACTAGACAAAATTTAGTTTAAATAAACATAGAGTTTGTCATTGATAAAATCATTCAAAGAGAAATTTTGTGCAGATAAACTAAGCTAAGTTCTGTTGTTTAAAAAATCATGAATTATTCATGATTTTTTTTTTATCACCCTCTAACTATACTAAAGATACCCCAACTTTAGAGAAACTTTCCTGTTTAATCAGCTTTAGGTCCATATTAATTAAGTTGAGGTTTATAATAAAATAAGTTGAGATTCACAGCAGGTTGTGTAAAAAATGAGGTGATTTGATACTCTGTCATGTAAGAGTACGCGTGTTTTCAGAAAAATTATTAACATAAATTATTGCAAAGCTTTAATTTATATTTTTCCATGAACTGGGATGTATTGTAATAAACACAACTGCATAAATATACTTTTTATTTTTAAAAGAAAAAATATTAAAACTAAAGATTTTTCAAATATTTATCATCTAAAGTGATAATGAAACTTTTTTTAAATTAAAATTTCTACTATAAAAATTGATCCGTATTCATAAATGTTCCTAGTCCAAATATTTATACTACAAACGAATATAATGTTTGGTATTATATACTAATAATATCAAATATTTATGTTTAAAATAAAGAAACCTGCTGATTTCTCGAATTATTTTCATAAAAGCATAAATTTTAGTATTAAGAAGATTTAGTTGGTCACTTATAAATACGGATCAAAACCTAGAATAGAGATCTGGGTAATAAAAAACAGTTTTGTACACCTTTTCGTTTTTGAGCTACTGTTCACATACACACACACGAACATAGTCCGACAATTGGTTTTTTGAACCCATGGACCCTCAAAACGTATATTTCTATCAAAAACTGTGATACTAAATTTTTCATGATCACAATATTTAATTATAAATATAATTCATTTATAAGTAAACAAGAATAAAAATTACTTACAATTCAAAAATAAGAACCATTTCATCATCATCTTCAAATGCATCATGCAAATTAATGAGTTTAGGATGATGAAGTTGGTTCATTATGTCAATTTCTTTCCTAATCAATTCTTTTTCCATAGGGTGAGATACTGGAATGAATTTAGCAGCAAAAACATTCCCAGTCTTTTTTTCTCTACACCTATGCACAACTCCAAATGCTCCTGTTCCAATTTCTTCCAATATGTCATAAGAATCATAAACTGAAGCAGTTTTAATATCAACAGGCTGAGGGATGTATTTTGAATAAATATCAAATACTGAAAAAAAAAATGTATGTCACTAAATGAAACGTATCATTTTTTGTAATAATTCTAAACAATTTTACTTACCATACTGATCATAATCTTTTATAGTATCCTCACATTTTCCTCTTATTTTTTTTCCTTTTTCATCAACTATAAACCAAATTTTATGAATTGATTAATAAATACATATAACAGTAAATATAAACACTGATATCCATCACTAATTTTTTTTTTTTGGTAGACTAAGTGCATACTAAATTTTATCAAGTTTGACATTAAATGACTATAATATTTTTATATTAGATGCTAGATTTTCCTCTTTTTTAAAAATTTTTTAAGATGATTATGTCATAAATGCCCATTGTTTGCACTTGTCCCTGCCTTATGGAATAAATCTCCAAAAAGTTTCAGGGAGACTCATTCAAGCAAAAAATGGTTTGGACATGTTGGTCAAATATATGAAGTGAAAGAACCCAGAGGGACACTGAAAGCTAGACCTACAGGTAGAAGACCATTTGGCCAGCCAAGAATCTTCCATCAGGAATATATCCAGAGGATAGGAGGTAATAAGAGACAAGGCTCTCACAGAAATAAAGCTCTGATATGATGACAAACTAATAACAGTTGTACTGCCAACAGCTTCACTGCTTCTGGAGTGAAAGAAGCAGCATGGATATGGTATCATACCTAGTGCTCACAATGTATATGCTCCTTGCTCTTTTAGAAACAAAGAAGAATTAAAAAAAGTAGTTGTGGAAGAATGGGGAAAATGCTGGAAAAATCACAGCAAATTTAGTAGAATTCATCAAAGCCCATTATTCTGAAATCATAAGGCACAAAAGAGGACTCACAAGTCTTATATTATTTAGTAAATATATAATGTTCAGACAATTAATTACCCAAAAAATGTCATAATATTTTATTTAAAATAAAATTGAAAGCTTCTATTATTAAATAAAATAGCTCAAAAATCTGTGATGATGAAAAAAATAATATAATAAAATATAGAGTGTTCACAGAATATTTTGGCTGAGTGAATATAAAACTATTTTTTATATGAAATACCAATAACCAATCGGGTGCCTATATAAAATTATTTTATATAACCAATATAATTAAGTGATAAACCAATTGCAGTATTTGTGAATCGATGGTCTGCAAAGAAAGAATTTTTTCAAAAAGGTTTGGTTAAAACTTTCATTAAAAATCTAAGTAACTGTAATATACAAAAATAGACTAATCTGATCCGAGAAAAAAAAAATAACAATTTTAATATTAATTACAAAATTCGGGATATACCCCAACAATCTGTAAAGGAAGTATAAAATCTTGTCTCAGTACTATGCTAAATCATGGTTGACTTTAGTCAAATAACTATTTGTGCAGAAAATCATAGAATTAGTGGCCTCATTATCCAATGAAATATATTTTTAAAATAAATATTTAATCTATATAATATTTTTTAACAACAATATATTGCCAGTAATAACTTTTATCTATAATGAAACAGAGAAAAGAGAGTTTAACAACAAAGTCATGAATGTAAAAGATAATAAAAAACAGAACAATACCTTCATATTGTTTTTTCTTAGGCAATTTCCTATCAAGATCTTTTGTTTTAATTATATCTGATTCTTCACTAGGTAAACTGCGACCATATACATTTTCTGCATAAACCCTAAAAGAATATTCATGCCCTGGGGATAGTCCTGATACTGCTATTGCTGTGAATCTGTTAAATATAATATATTTAATGAACAATAACAACCATGATAAACATTAATTTTATGCAAATTTAACTGTTAAACTATGATTCATATTTACATTTAAGAGAAAAAAATGCCATGAAATTAATATAAGAAAACAATTTTACCTGGTATGACCAACACGAATCCAGCTTGACATAGGTTTTTCTCTTTTCTCAACTAAGTAATTGGTTATATGACTACCACCATCCCAACTAGGAGCTTGCCAACTCAATGCCAGTGAATCAACACCAATATTTGAAGCTGATGGAAATCGTGGTGGATCAGGAACATCTATGAAGAATACATAAATAAATTTATATAATTCTCAAAATCTTTTAGTCTGTCATAAATCAATTATAGTCAAAGTAAATTTCAATTTACTGAATATATTGCTGAATTTACTGAATGAAGCCGGAAAGATGACTTGCAACTGATGCCTGTTATCCCGCGCTTTATCAGGCAATCAATTAGGGATGATTTAATTACGAAAAGGAAAGTTAAGAGGGATTTCTCCACACAGGATATTGGTTGGCAGAAGAATGACTGCCATAGAATTTATCTGGGTGAAGAGATGACAAACAGACACCTCTATTGGCTATCCCAGCAGAAGAGAGAGGTGGAAAAAATCAAGTATACGTGGTCTGCTGCCGGAAAGGTACGGTGTCGAAAAGAGGATGGACATAGAGTTATCCTGATTGAACAGGCCTCGGATCTAGATGTATTCGACTGACTACCTAGAATCCGTCAACCCCTTATCCTCATTAATATATTCTTACTTCTGCTCTTAGTGCTATCTCTACACTCTTACTCACCAATCTATTTATATTATTTGTGCATTCTCTTTATTTATTTTTAATATATACACTTTTTCTTCACTTAGTTTCATCTACTATCAACGCTTTACTGTACTTTCTATTCGTTTTGATTTCTCGCTACCAAACACTGACTGTTTCCCTCCAAATCCTCTGTATGTCTAGTTCCCTAATCACATGTCAAGTTAACCCTCAATCCCTTTCAGCCCATTATGACGAATTCCTGCAATACTAAAAACTTTTATCATATTATAGCAATATCCGAAACCTGGCTCAAATCTTACATTCCATCCTCTTCAGTCTCCTTGCCTAATTACATCCTGCTCCATCATGACTGAGTAAACTAGACTGGCGGTGGAGTAGCCATGTTTGTCTACAATAGCCTGAAGACCCGAATCCTCGATTGCTCCTCACCTTCAGATCATTCTCAAGTAGAATACCTTTTAGTAGAAATTCTCTGTAATACTTTTTCTATCTTTTACGCCGTGGTATATCACCCTCTTCTAGTGCCATTTGACCCGTCCTTCAAATCAACCCTATTCAACTTCGTCCCCCTCTATCCCAGAATAATTATCTCCGGTGACCTCAATACCAATTTCCTCTCAAACTCCTATGACAAATCCTATCTAGAAAATCTATTTTTCTCACTTCACCTATTCATCATTCCTTTTTCCTCCACCCACCGTACCAGCAGATCTGACACTTGGCTAGACTTCTACATCACTGACTCAGCACAAAACCTCCTCTCCGCTTCTCAATTGCCAGTATCCTTTCTTCCATCTCACGATCTAATACAAATAACATACAATATCCGCACTCCTCCAATCCACCCTCGAACTATCACTTTCCGCCTACTGGATACCCTTACTCGAGAAAAAATAATACCTGACCTAGTAACATTAGATTTGAATGGAATATATTATTGCTCCTCTGTCAACACCATGGTTGATATTCTCACCACTAATCTTCTCAATACCCACACTCCTCTCAAAACTTCTACCTTTCGTCATTGGCCTGCTCCATGGATGTTTAAGGAAATTAAGGATCTGCAGAAGAGATGAGACGCTGCCCGCAGACGCTTTAGATGGACTAGGCTTGCAGATGATTATCAAAAACATTCAGAGTGCTTCATAACACGATACAGACAATGATCGGACAAGCGAAAGCAACCTACTTTCATTAAACCCTTTCCTCAGCTCCTGATATCAAATCGAAATGGCTTCTGCTTCGCAAGCTTTCATTCTGTGAACCTACCAGATCCCCTTCCTCAGTTTTCCCAATAACGCCTGATGATCTAAACTCCCACTTTATATTTGTTTCCACCTCTTCTTTACCCTCCCCTTCCGGCTTTTCTCCAGAGGTATCATTTAATGACAATAACTTTTATTTTTCCGACATTTCCTCCACATACCTTATTACCATTATGATGAAATCCCGCTCCAATTCCGTAGGCCCAGATGGCATTCCTATCAAACTTATGAAATTATGTCTCCCTGAAATCCTGCCAGCTCTCCTTTTCATCTGTGATTTCTTTCTACAGAATTCAATATTCCCTACATCTTAGAAAAAAGCCATTGTCCTTCCTCTAAACAAAAAGCCTAATCCATCCTCTCACGAAGATTTCTGCCCAATATCAATTCTTTCTGCTCTTTCAAAACCCCTAGAAAGATTAGTGCAATCCCAAGTTTCCTACTTCCTTGAAAAATCCAACCAACTCGATCCTCTTCAATCTGGCTTCCGTCCTGGCTACTCTACACAATCTCCTCTGATTAAAATTACCAGTGATATTCAGACTGCAATAGATCACAAAAAACTAACTATACTTATACTTCTTGATTTCTCCAAAGCCTTCGACTCCATTATCCAATCCATCCTTTTCAACAAACTAAAATCATTATCCTACTCCAATAGTTCCATCTATTGGTTCCAGTCTTTCCTCTCACAACGAACCCAAGCAGTTTCCATACCCAATCAACCACTATCTGCCTACCTTCCTTTACCTTATGGAGTTGCCTAGGATTCAAGCATGTCTCCTCTTCTTTTCAGCTCCTATATTAATGACCTAAATGATTCAATCATCCATTGTTCCCACCACCTTTATACCGACGATTCTCAAGTCTATATATCCTTTTCTCATGCTGAGTTATTGGTAGCATTTCCCAAAATTCAAGAAGATTTAGATCGAATCAGTGCCTGGACCAATTTAAACGAATTAAGGCTAAATGCTGCTAAAACTCAGGCCATTCTCATTGATTCAAAGCCCCTTCTTAGACCCTACACCAACTTTCCTTCACTCTACCTAAATAACCACCCCATACCCTTCTACCCCTTTGTTAAAAATTTAGGCTTTGTCATAGATCAAACTCTCTCCTGGAATCACCACATCTCTCATATCTCCCGTCGTGCAATTTCTACCCTCAAACTATTCCATCACTTCGGCCATCTTCTACCCCAAAATACCCGTAGACTCCTAGTTTCCTCCCTCATCTTTCCCCACTTTGAATACTGCTGTGTGGTGTACGATTACCTCTCGGTGGAACTCCGTGATAGACTGAAAAGACTTATGAATAGCTTCGTAAGATTTGTAATTGGGACCCCGAGATGCTCCCGTGTCTCCCACCACTACACTGAGTTAGGATGGCTCTTCCTCTCCTTAAGAAGACAATATTTCCTAGGCTCATTCCTTTATCAAATCATTAAAGATCATTGTCCTTCTTATGCCTACAACCTTCTCCAATTTAAGTCCTCAATCCATTCCCTCACCACAAGATCTCGACCTTTGGACCTATACATCCCTTCTCATAGATCTGCCTCATTCCAAAACTCCTTTGTAGGCCACTCTGTCAATTTTTGGAACTCCCTCCAGATCAAAATTCGGCATACCCCCTCCGTATCCACATTCAAAAACCTCCTATTCCAATTCCTGTTCCAAAAACAGTCAGATACCAGCTATTTTTTTTTTAATCTAATTTATTGAAAAATATTACAATCTATCTCAAGGAAATTTATAATAGTGTGCAGAGATCACATTCACACTCTAGCTAACTATTAACACTATATATGTATTGCATAGCAATCATATAACCATACGATAATACTTTGTAAGAGATAGTACATGCATTTCCTACTTTCGATGTAGGAATTTCAATACATCTATTTTTTTTTTATTCAATTATAACTAACTTATATATATATATATACAAGTAAAGTTTTTTTTTATGAAATGAACTTATTCTCTCTTATCTCTTTTTCGTTCTTCATTTCTCAAAGTGTATGTTTATGTTGTTCAACCATTATATATAGTTTTGTTCATAGTTTTCAATGTTTTGTACATAGTTTTAACAGTATTGTATATAGCTTGTTCACCTAAGGTTTTCTTTACTTTTTATTTTATTTATAGTTTCAAACTTTTAGGCCAGTAGTGTTCTATTCTTTTTGTACAATTTTGTTATTCTAAAGAGATTTAGTCCCAGAATAAAGTTTTTTTTTTCTATCTATCTATCTATCTATCTTAAAAGTTTCAAGTTTTTTAAAATCAATCGTTCAAAGAACTATTACTTTAATTATTGAATTCACATGGTATATAAAATTTGTGAGCTATTTTAAATTTCTATTAAATGTTTCAAAGATGGTATAGCCTGGAGTAGTCAGGAATTTAAAAAATATTAAATCAATAAGTTAAAAATAAGTAGAACAAATCAGCCACTGCTGAAGTTGAATGTGAAGGCATTAATGAGTGATTGCTATAGATGAATGAAAATAAATATAAGAACCATGTAAATGAAAGGAATGAAATTTTTTTATCATTTAGAAATTTATCTATGGAAAAGTTTAAAAAAATTATGCCTTACCACTTATCTGAATGTTGATAGTAGCTGAATCAACACCTTGATCATTTTCAGCAACAATTCTATAAGCACCATTGTCAATATTACTGCCATCTCTGATTGTAAGTATTGCATGTCTCTCCTTTGTGGACATAAATAAACAATAATAAAAATGAATGATTATCATCCAAATAAATATTAATTTTAAGATTTTGGATAGATTTAATAAAAAAATATTGAAAAAATGTAATAACCTTAATATCAACTGAATAATGGCCACCAGATTCAATTAGTTCTGAGCCTCTATACCAACTGATTTTAGGTTTAGGAAAACCAGTAAAGGGGATTTTAATAACCACATTTTCACCCTTGTTGAAAAATGCCAAGTTTTGGAATCTTGGGGGCACGTTAAGTTTTGGAGGACCTGAAAAAATAAATAAAATTATGTATAGATTATAGGCACAGTATGCTTGGATTTTAAATTAAAAATCAATTTATTTATCGTAGGATATAAAATTAACACAGAATAATTTATAAGATAACTATTTGACCAGAAGCAGTAAAAGAAACAACTTTTCCAATAAAGTAAATTAGTCATCTTAATAATATCAATTCACTCCATTAAGTGAACAACATGCAAATATTTTTCCAGGAACAAAACCAAAAATATAATTTATAATAATAAAATATCAAATATCTAAATGGATTATTAAATATTTATGGGTGTCCACTTGAAAAGAAAATATTATGAATTTTAAAGAGATAAAAGGTGAAAAAGCAGGTTTTGTGTTTGTTAGTTTATTACCCTTATATATTTCGACTATGGCTGAAAGGGAATATTTGTCCTACCAGCTAACAACCATGCTAGCCAGAGAAATAAACCTTTTCTTTGGGTCTACTTCAAGATAATACCAATTTCCCTTGGATTTAAATTTAGAAAGAGCAGGAGCATTGCAGATTAGGTAATGAATGGAGCTTTAGTTGTATATACAATTATATATACAGATACTATAGATCAATTAAAAAAAGAATTTGTCAAATGTAGTTGCAGTTTTATAAGATATGAGTAATAAAACAGATTAGACAGGAGCTTGTGTTATTTTTTAAAAAATATAATGAATTTTTTTCAATAAATATTTTATATTCCTTAGATTTCATATCATTAAATTAAATATCATAGAAATATAAATTCATATAAAGAATAATGGAAATATAAATTTAATTCATGAAAGACTAAAATGATTTTACATTGCACAAATATACAATATTACACACAAGGGCATGTTATTGCATTAAGTTGAGTATCACAGATGGTACAATTGGTAATACACTTAAGTTGGTTTGAAGGAAAACTGATCAACACTGAATGTGGCTCTCGGGAAATTTTGGAGGGTTTGATGTTGGTGTTTACGCTCAACACATAATACTACAAGTTCAACAAATATCACAATATGTTAAGAATCTTTCTGGGGACTACATATTAACTGGAAGAAAATTCGGTATCTATTTATAACTATGGACTAGTTTAAATTTTATAAAACAAATGAATGATAAAAAATGACAAAAAATAGAGATCATAATAAATAAAAAGTTAAAGAAAAACAGAAAAGAAAAAAAAGTAATAAAAAACATTTTATTCTAATTAGAAATATTATATATATATATATATATATTATATTATAATATATTATATATGGTTATACTGGGCAGGTTTGGGGTTTCGAGCTCTATAAAGTAGTGTAAAAATTTAAGATACTTTGTAAAAAAATTACTTTGTCACCCACCTAATTATATTTTGGCACAAAAAACCAGTCTCGTCTCAATACACTCTTACACACTTAAAATTCGTTTCGACTAGATTTTGAAAGTCCTGGAGATGCCTGGTTTTCGTTTGCCACATATCATAGCAAAAGAGGTGATAACTAAGAGAGTTTATTGGTACCGAAAGTGGTTAGAATTCGAGGATAGTTGTAAAATTAATCTCGATACTGCAAATATCGTTGATCTGTGTGGAAAATTGACTGTTGTTAGACATAGGGTAGAGGACTTAGAAAAACAAAATAACCTTAAAAAATGTCTTCATTCAAGTTTTTCTATTTACGTAGGACTTTGTTCAGTTGGCACTGTTACACCCTATCTTAATGATAGTTTTGATATTGTGACTATAGTCATGACTATAGTCAATTTTTCGATGTAGGACTGAATTCCTCGATTTAAACTTAAAACCATGGATGGTGGAAAGCAACGATAACTGTCCAGTGTGTAACTCAAGAAAAAAAGGATATCATTCACTTTTTGGGGACTTGTCACATTTACAGTGAGATAAGAGAAACATGTTTTGGGCAGCAGACCTGTTTTACCGAAGAATTATTTGGTTTATTAAAGGGTTCTAACTGGAAAGCCTTAAGCAATTATGCACAGCAGGCCATTCATTCATATTATATTACATGTACAAATGACCCTAAATGTAAAGTCATAATACAAGGAGAAGTATCTGAAGCCTTCAAAATTCGAACGGGCTTACGTCAGCGAGATGGACTATCCCCGATGTTTTTTAACTTAGCCTTGGGGAAGGCGATAAGAACATCACAGGAAAGTGGAGGGGCCCACATCGGAATGAATCATAAAATCCTTGGATACGTAGATGATATAGCTGTCCTTGGAAGTAATCAAGAGGACATTGAGAAACCCGCTAAAACTCTGATAAGAGAGGCAGAGCTGATTGGCCTACAAGTAAATGAAAACAAAACAAAATATATGACAATAAGCCAATAATTCCACCCCAATAACAGGATCTGTGTATAAGGAAAATCATTCCTGATAGCAGAAAAATTGAAATACTTCAGCTCCACAATAACCTCATTGAATGACCAATGGTCAGAAATATACCACCATATAACTAGTGTAAATAGAGCTTTCTTCTTCCTTTCAAAGGTATTGAAATCACGAAAAATTTCAAGAAATCTCAAATTAAGGAAGTAAAATGCTATGATAAAGCCAATTCTAATAAATGTTTGTGAGACCTCGAAACTAACCACTACCTTAGAAACAAGTATTGAAAGATTTGAGAGAAAAATCCTCCACACAATAACCGGAGTTATCTGGGATCAGAGTACTAACACATGGAGAAGAAAGACCAATGAAGAACTGCATACAGAAACTGGTCAATCAATATTACATGATATGAAGACCTGGAGGTTAAGATGAGCAGGGCATGTAGGTGATAACAATCCATCTGAAACACTCTTCGTAACAATGAATGCCTCAATAGAAGGCAAAAAAACACGCGGAAGTCCAAAAAGCAGATGGATAAATAAAATCAACAAAGATACAATAGAGCTGAGTACCAACCAATGGAAATAAACAAATAAAAAAAATTAAAATATATATATATATATACATATATATAAGTTTAAAGAACACTTTTATAGCATTTCATGGATAATAAATAATAAAAATTTTGATTTGCATGCTAATCCAAAATAGTATCATTATCAAATTTGTTAGTTAATCATTTATTTGTATTTGAATATGGACATGAATTTGAATTTGAGCCAAAATTTATTCATTTGCTTTTGAATCATAACATAAAATTCAAAAATAATTGATGTTTTAAACTTACAATTAATTATAAGTTCTGCTCTAGTTGACTTAACACCACCTTTATTAACAGCACGACACACATACTCATCTGCATCAACACCATAAACATTATTTATTACAAGAGTATGAGTATCATGTTCTGAGAAAATGAAATGCCTTGCTCCAGGTGTGATATTGTGAGCTCCCTTGTACCTGAATAAAATCAAATATACTTTAAAAAACTAGGAAAATATGAGTTATCTGGCAGAACTAAAACAGTAGTTGAATTAATATTAAGGTAATAAAACTATAAACATTGTTACTAAAACACACCAGGTTATTATTGGTTTTGGAGTACCAGTTATTATACACTGGAACTGGGCATTCCCGTTTTGCGCTGCATAAGCATTTCTCAGTGGTTTGACTATTTCAGGTGGAGTAGCCGCTGAAAAAAATGATATTCAATAGTAAAGCAATGGAAATTCTTCAATGTTGCATTATTAATACTAAAATAAAATAAATACCTTTTGGATCTTTTATTTTAACACTATTAGAAGCAGTTGATGGCAAACTTAAACCTGCTTCATTCTGTGCAAATACCCTAAATTCGTATTGGCGACCTTCAATGAGATTAGAGATATTTATTGTTGTAGGTAAACAAATTGCCACATTAACCCTTTGCCAAGCATCACTCTTGATTTCTCGTTTATCCACCCAATATCCTTGAATTCTTGAACCACCATCAGAAGAAGGTTTGTCCCAACTTAGGTTAACAAAGTCTCCTCCAACTTCAGTAACAACAGGAGTACCGGGGCTTGAGGGTACATCTGTAATAATATTAAAAAATATTTTAGTTTCTAAAAGCTTTAAAATTAAATCAAATGAAGAACAATGAATTATTTTAAATTACCAAATGGAGCTTTAGCCTTAACTACATTAACGCCTTCTAGAGGTGGGCCCATTCCATTTTCATTTACAGCCATTACACGGAATAAATATTCATTTCCTTCAGTAAGCCCTTGTACTGTGAATGTTGTATCTCTGCAGGTAGTTGATATGCAAATCCAATGAGTACTACAAACTTCTCTTCTTTCAATAACATAATGTGAAATATGAAGACCTCCATCATAGTTTGGAGGTTTCCATGCTAAAGTACAAGTATGTTTAGTGATTTCTGAAACCTCCAAAGGACCAATAGGAGCATCAGGAATACCTGAAATTAAGGACAAAGTATTCACCAAAAGTAATATTATATAATTTATATTTCACACTTTATAGTTGGTATGAAGTCTTAATTTAAACAGGATTCCTGTAATGAATTTAATGTATCAAAGAATATCATTTTATTTATCAAATTATTTATGATTTTCAGGAATGCCATCATGTCCAGGAAGTTCTTGTCTCAGTCCCAAGCTTTCTTCATGATGCTTCTTAGAATGAAGATGTGATCTTGAGTCTGCCTCCCTAAACAAAAGGCTTCTTGTTCATCATCTACTTAGTTCTCAACTGTGACCCTTAGCCTCCTTTCTAAGAATGAGGGCAATAGTTTGTAAGGTTTTAATTTTTGGAGACAGATAAAAATAATCATGACTTATTAATGATATTTATAAATACCGAAATTAGTTTATCTGCTCAAAAGGCCTCTTTAAACGATTTTAACAATGATAAACTACTTCCATTTAAAATATATTTTGTCTATTTTACTATGAAAATTTTTTTTATTACGATTTTCCACTAATAGTGGGTTTCCTTAACCTAGAGCTTGGATGGCTTCTTTCCATAATGTCCTGTCTAAGGTCCATTCTTCTCGTAAACCATGACCCATCATGGATTCCTCAACTTTATTATCACAGGTCTTCCTCGTCTTCTTCTTTCCCTAGTTTTCCATAAGTGGACTTCTTTGTGTAGTCTTCCATTAGGCATTCTTTTCAAATGTCCATACAACTTCAGAGGTTTTTTCTCAATCTCTCCCAGAATGGTTCTTTTAGCCTCCATATTTTCTCTGATGGTCGTATTTCTCACTTTATCCATTCTGGATATTCCCACCGCTCATCTCCAGCAGTCCATTTCTGTGGCTAGGAGTTTCTTCCTGAGGTTGCTTTTTAAGGTCCAAGTTTCTGACCCATATGTCATAATGGTCAGTATTATACTATTGTAGATATTTTTTTTGTTCTGAAGATAATTTTCCGGTTCCATAATACTGTGTTGAGTTCCATAATAACTTAAATTAAATAGTTTTTTAATTATCACCATTTCCCTCTACTTACAGGACACCCTGTACACACACACACACACACACACACACACACACACACACACACACACACACACACACACACACACACACACACACACACACACACACACACACACATACACACACACACACACACACATATATATATATATATATATATATATATATATATATATATACACTTTTATATATTTTACATGACAAAAAGAAAATTAATCTTCTAAAACTTTTGATCTTTTCTTATACCTCAACCTGTCCTATATCCCACAGAATTAATAGAAAGAGGCCCTAGTAATAAAACCTTAGAGACTCTCATATTGCAAAATATGTCATTTGAAGGAAAAAATTGTGCATGAGAATATCTGATTGTAAAATTGAGAAAATTCAAGTCTAAAATATATCTAATACTATTTAAAATGAACTTTAGAATAAAATAGTTGAACAAATTTACAATAAAAACTGAGGTAAGTAAGGTATTGAACTAACAACTCTTAGGTTCATATCAGGTCATACTAAATTTATTTTATTTTCTATCTGATATGGATCAAGTTTAGGGTCAGAAGATCTTTTAAGGGTAAATTCCATCTCTATAAAGTGGGTACTGATATTGGTATGGATCGGGGAACTAGTCCAGTGAGTAGTACTTATTGTCTTTTTTTGTAAAGTTCCCCTTTAATGTGTTGGTTGCAAAACTGGTTGAGCATCATCCTGGCCAGATCATTTCTTTCTCTAGCAGTAAAAAATCCATTTTACCCTACCAAGAGCAGAACCCATAACGAATCCTTCATGGGTTACCATAGCACAGGAAATTTAAAATATCCTTGTCGAAAACATAGAAGTTAAAAATGTATTACTATGGGTATTAGTTTTAAAAATATATAAAAAATACCTGTTATGTAAATTTGACAATTTCCAGTTGCACTACCACTTTCATTTTTAACTGTAAGGCTATAAGATCCAGCATCATCATTATTAACTTCTCGTATAAAAATGACAACGTAATCATCAAAAACAATATACTTGATATGTTCACTGGCACTAACTTGCTTCTTATCCTTTTCCAGAAAAGCTTCCATTGGTTGATCGCCAGAGTACATAACTTTTATTTTACTGTTCTCACCTTTAGGCAAGTATAAAGCACTCGGCATTCTATCTATACGAGGTGGATCTATAAAAAAAAAAGAATAATATGTCTATTATACAAGTAAATATATATACAATTTTTAGAAAAATTAAGGGACAATAAAATAAACTTTGGGAATTAACAAATTAAAGGAAGTGTTTTATTTTCTGTTTTCCTAATTATAATCATTATATCATACACCTATACTAATATTTGAAGCTGAATAGTTTACTTAATACCCATATTAAGTAAAATAAAAGTACTGGTACTGGTGGGAGAAATTGGCTTTGTTTTCCTTTCTTTCTACCCCTAAAGGGTACTTACCAATTGCTGCTATATACTTACCTGAGTACAAGTCAAGATTCATTTATAGGGGCCTCCAAGAAATAAATATTAATTGACTCAGGTAGGAATTAAACCCAAAAAATCCAAAATGGCACTCAGATACCCTTGCTCCAACCTTCTTGACCATCAGGTCCTCAAATATCATATAGGTATCTGAGGTTACTTAATATCCATATTAAGTAAAATAAAAGTAACGTATAGATTGAAAAACCATCATCTCCATTGGATAAATAACATAGAACTAAAGTCACTTTTAACATACTTTGTGGAACACAATATTTTGTGATCAGTATCACTTCAATTTACAACATTTTATCTAGGCTTTTCTCTTCTAACAAGTGCTTATAAGATTTTCTTGAATATATTATACCAACGATTGCTAAGTTGAGAGTGGTTTGGGGAAGTGTGGCTTTTGTAAAGGTATGTAAAGGTGTGCCCCAAAACGTTTAACCACTTAGGGGCCCCCACTTCTCTTGACCTGCCCCTGCAGCTGGAACTAGAGGTATTAACAAAGATTTTTTTCCAGGTTGATCCTAACTCATTCAAATGAGTGGATCAGTTTGTCTACTTTGGGTCACTTGTTAATACAAGTAATGGCATATCAGCTGAGAAAAGGAGGCAAATAGTATCAGCCAATAGTTGCTATTCTGGACTGGATCAGCACCTAGGGAGTAGCTAAATATCAAAAGTTATAATAACAAAGATGTATAAGACATTGATAAAAACCATTTCTTCCCTATGTGTCAGAGATGTGGGTCTTCTCAAAGTCTGATATAAAGGATCTCCTAACATTTGAGAGGAAAGTACTTAGATGCATCTACCTCCCAGTAAATAATTTATCAGCATCAAGAATTCGAACAAACAGGGAATCATACACAGATTTTTAATCCCATAAAGCAGGTTTTCAATCTTGTCCCCACAGCAAAATGTTGAAATAACGAGATATCGATCGATATCGATTAAATCCGAAAAGTTACAAAAAGTCGAGGGAGGGCGGCGCAATCTCAAATTCGACCATATTTTAATAATAACCTACCCCGAAAACATAATAGTCGACCCTGATATCGATTTTTTTAAAAACATTTATTATGATATTTACAACTGTATTAGTATGAATACATCAAGTAAATGTGTACAGACAAATATTATCACATGAAACACGCTTGTTGAGAAACTACCCACTGGTAGCACTCTAATAATTTGTCTACATGAGAAGATCACGAGGCCATCTTCTTTTCAGACGCCTCGGAGGGTTATCAGGAATCGAAGACGAAGCAAGGTTAGAAACAAGAGGATTCGGATGGTTATGAAGTTTATTATGGAAGGATAGGTATCTGGATTTGGCCAAATCGGAAACACATGGAACATTGAGGTTGATATCGATTAAATCTGAAAATTTACAATAAGTCGATGTTGGTGGGTGGGGGAGGAGCGCAATCTCAAATTCGACACTATTTTCATGAAAAGATACCCTGAAAACATAACAGTCGACCCGGATATTAATTATATCTGAAAAGTCGATCAGAATGATTATTTCACATTATTCTTGAAATAATCATTTCAGAAATAATTATATCATTATTCCTGAAATAATTTATTCCTGAAATAATCATTTCGGAAATAATGGTCAGGTTATTTCATGAAATAAATTATTTCGGAAATAACTATCGAGGTTTATTTAGGGATTTATTCCGGGAATATTTTTCAAATAAATTCTGCCCAGCTCTACTTCAATCAATCTACACAGGAGATGACTTAAATCTGGCATTAAAAAACAGTCCGCTAATCCTATTAAATGAAACAGGAATAATCACTAAATTAGGCAACTCTCTATCAAGACCTTTGGTTATAGATCTAATATTTGTTAAAGCCGATCTCTATCATAACCTTACCTGGGTCATAATTCCAGAAACGCTAGGGAGTGACCACTTACAAATAATAATCGAAGTAAACAACTGCAAAATCAAGAGGCAACACAAATTCAATTCTAAAAGAAATTTCAAAAGATTAAATGAAAAAATATTTACAGATTACCTTCTGGAAATAGAGAAACCTAATATAAAATACAATATATCAGACTTGACTAACATTATTAACCAAGCAGGAGAATCAGCTATTCCTCGGAAGTGTTCACAATACCATCCAAAATTTATCCCAAAGTGCTGGTGGAATGAAGACATTCGCAAGTCGTATGGAGATAAGAAGATAGCAATAAAAGAATACTTAAAGAATATGACAATAGAAAACTACAAAATCATGAGAACGAAAATAAATAAGACTAAATCACTTATTAAAAAGGCCAAAAGCAAGACTTGGAGAAACTACATCGAAAGCATCAACCCAAAACAAACCGGCTCTATGTGGAATAAAATTAAAACCTTACGTGGTAAGCTAATTAACATACAAAATATGGTGTTAAGTAACCGAACACATGCAATAAGCTTTCTCGATTAATTGTCGAGCATCTTTGTGCCCAGACAACCATTGCTTCGTGGTTCGAATGTACATATTGGCCACCATTTAGATTCACCCTTCCAATTAACAGAGCTGGAAGCGGCATTGAAAGGGAAATTTGGATCTGCCCCCGGTGTGGACGAAATCAATTACCAAATGATCAAACTCTTACCGGCTTTGATGAAACAGAGATTGCTTTCTGCTTATAATCAAATTTGGGAGGATGCCAAGGTTTCTCCTGACTGGCGAAATACACTCATATTCCCAATATTAAAGCCTGGTAAAGATGCACTTCAGATCACTTCATACCGCCCTATTGCTCTTATCTCATGCTTAGCAAAAGTGTTCAACAAAATTGTCAAAACGAGATTAGAATGGTTTATAGAATCAACAAATATCTTGAGTCCTCTCTATTTTGGTTTTAGGAAAAACAGGTCAACCATTGATGCAATCTTGATTCTAATCAATGATATCTACAAAGCTTTCAGAGAAAGAAAGATCCTTGTGGCATTAACCATTGATATTGATGAAGCATATGACCATGTAAAAATACAAACCTTGCTATCTAAAAAAAATCTAAAAATCTAAAAAATCTGCACATCCCTGCGAAACTAACTCACTGGATAATAAATTACTTAACTCATCGAACATATTTTCTGGATACTTGGGAAGGTCAAGTATCTTTTGAAACCTACAGTGGCCTCCCTCAAGGAGATACTTTGAGTCCAACCCTCTCCAATCTTTACACGGAACACATCACCAACAATACAACTGACAAGTGTAAAATCATCCAATTTGCAGATGACTTTTTAATTTATACTGTTGCAAAATATACAGAAGAAGGGAAAGACGTAATCAGCTCAACACTGGACAACCTAACACAAGCATTTTCAATAATAGACCTAAAAATGAATCCTAATAAATGCAGCATTACTCCTTTTTCTAGAAAAAGAACAATTAACTTAAAAGATTTTGAGATTTCAAATGAAAAATACACAGTTAAAAGCGAAGAACACTTAAAGTTTTTAGGCATAACATTAGACACTAAATTAAATTTCAAAACGCATATAAAACATATTCATACACAGTCGCCGCAAAACTTTAACATACTAAAATCTTTAGCTAGAATATCGTGGGGTTCCCACCCACAAAACATGCTCGCTCTCTACAAAACAATAGTAAGATCTAATTTTGATTATTGCTGTGTCATATACAATCAAACTAAATTCTTTCTCATTAATAAGTTGAATACAACACAAAACTGTGCCATAAGGTTATGTTTGGGTGCTTTTAAAACTTCTCCAGTAAACGCGCTTCAGGCCTCAGCCGGAGAGACGCCATTACACATGAGAAAGTCATGGTTAACGAAAAAATACATTCTCAAAGTGTATTCCGAAAATAATCATCCTGTAGGTAAAGAAATTAGAATAGAATAGAAAATAATTTTATTCTGGGACGAAGTCACTTTAGAATAACAAAATATTACAAAATTAAAATGTTGTATCTGTTCTTTCATTTCATTACTTTCAAAATGTAAATGTTCTTTCATAAACATGTAAAGCATGTTTGATTTAAACAAAGCCAAAACAATTACATCCGTTTCAAATGTTTTTTTTTCATTAATTAATTGGTAACATTTGATTAATTATATAATAAGTTATTGGTAAATTTAAGTTGTTCTGCTTTATTTATCTAAAGGACAGTTTTTCTATTTAAAATTTAAAAAAAAAACTCAATTGAAGGCTGATAGTTTCTTTATGAAAAAATGAAAATCTTATTTTAAAATGAGAAGGTTAAATAAAATAAAATTTAATTAATTTAAACTGTTTAACAAATTTTAGGACACTTCTCAGGATCAATAGTTTGAAAAATATATTCTCTATAAAAATAAATATTCATGAATCAGAGTGCGTACATACTCTTAGTTTTAATTTTTTTTTTTCAGTCATTACATCTACATGTTTCAGCAAAAATATTATTTTTTAAAAATAAAATATTGTTCAGTATGAAAAAATTAATTTGAATATAGTATTCAGCTATCAGTAAAATAAAATTTTATTGTAATATAAGAATGATGAAGACTTACTTCCAACTCTAATATGCGAAGTTGTGTTGGCATGGCCAACAACATTATATGCCTCACAGGTGAAATTTCCTTCATCTATTTCTGTAACATCTGTGAAATGAAGTTTAAATACTCCATTAGTCGATTCAGCTTTATACTTTGCACCAAGTAAAATCTCTAAGCCATTTTTTAACCATCTTGCTTCTGGTACAGGATTTCCTTGAGCTTGGCATTGTAAAGTAAATGTCTTTCCAAATGGAATAATGTGGTTATATAGTGGTTGAATGAATTCAGGCTTCTCTCCTCCTTCAGTTTCACATATTCTTACTGGAGTGGTACAAGAACTAGGCTCACTTCTACCAACACTATTATAAGCAATCACCCTGAATTCGTAATCAGCTCTTTCAGTGAGATTAAGAGGTGTGAAAGATGTATCAACAACATTATAATCATTACACTTAACCCAAACAGCTGTTCCTATTTCTCTTTTTTCAATTATGTATCCCAGGATTCTAGAACCGCCATCTGAAGTAGGTGGTTCCCATTTAAGATCTACATAGTTCTTTCCAACTTTTATCACAGATGGAGTACCAGGCATAGCAGGGACTTTTAGCTTCCCTTTAAGATAGAAAGCTGATGAATTATGGGAAGGTTTGCTAAGACCAGCAGCATTTTGAGCTCTTACTCGGAATTCATAAGTGTGTCCTAAAGCCAGACTATGAATAGTATAAGTAGTATCCTTGACTAGATAGTCATTAATTGATCTCCATTGTGCATCATCACTGGTGTCCCTAAAATATACATTTTAGCATTATTATAACAAAAAAAAAAAAAAAAGAGGTGTGTGAGATAAGAAACCAAATAGACAAGTATAAAAGTAAATTAACATACTTTATTTCTATTTTATATCCTTGAATCTTTGCTCCACCATCAAACAATGGCCGACTCCAAGTTAGAGTGACATTATTGTTTTCCCAGTCCAGTATTTGAGGAGTACCAGGTGCTTCAGGGACAGTAAAGGGATATTTTGCAGTAATTGGATTATCCATTTCAATAGGATCAGATATACCATACTGATTTTCAGCACGGATTCTAAATAAATATTTCTTATTTGGTTCTAATCCAAAAATGTCATAATGACAATTTCTTACAAAACTGCTGAATTTCACCCAAACCTGAAACAAATTATTTATTACATCAATTCATTTAGTTTTTCTTAAGGCAACTTTTAATCAATGAATATTATTTCATCGCTACATATAATACTTAATATGATTAAAATATATTGTTTTTTTCCTATTATATATTAGGAGCAATTGTTTAAAACAATTTAATATATTTTGACCTTTATAAATAAATATAATAAAAAAAACCTTTACTACTAACAATCCATGAAGGGTATTTGGTTCAGTACAATTTGAGGAAGTACTGGTACAAGGCCAATGGTTGTGCAGGAAGATGATTGGGGCAAGATCACGCTAAACCGCCAGGTTTTTCCCCTTAATTAATTATTTAATTAAGAATACCCAATTTATAGAGACAGAGTGTGCCCAGGAGGGTCTCCTGGCCCCAAGGGTCGATCCAAGGCTGATGAAAACTTATTAGTCATCAGCCAGATTTGAACCTGGGACCTTGAGCTCTAAAATTCATTGCCTATCCAATGAGCTGCCCCACTTTCACATTATTAATATATATTAAACTTTAAATTTTAAAGGTTGAAGTACAATTTATGAAATAATATTTTAGGTTTCCTCTGATATTTAATATATCTTTTATAAATACTTTTGATGGATTCTCAGCCCATAATATTTTGACTCAAAAATATTTCTTATCCAAGTGTTCATAAGATACTACTTTACTAGGGGTAACACTCCTTAGTCAAGGACACATAACTTCTCTCAAACATACTGGTACTGAAGGGTTAAATGTTATTCGAAAAATAATCATTACCGGTTATTTTATTTCACCCTTGGTTTTACTTGGGGGTGGTAACTGCTCAAAGTAACAAGTTAAGGAAATGGTTTTTAGTTACTCATATTTAATGAAAATTCTCACATAGGTCAACCCATGCTGTATTGTTGTATTATTTATCACACTAACAAAATAAATTATTTATAACTTTCTCATTTTAATTTTTAAACAAATGAAACCCACTTTCTTCCACAATCAAAAAATGCCACTTTGCCTTTCCTCTACACAAAAAAACATTTTGAAATGAAATGAAATGAAAAATGAATTTTATTCTGGGACTAAAAACGCAGCCCAGGATTTTCAAGAGATGCTATGGATAGCCAGCTCCTGCACAATATGGGGAATTTTTCTGGGCCAGAAGAGAGAGTGGAGGATTAAACCAGAGTTATAAATGCCCCCCACCACCGGGGAGCAAACTTGTAATTATTTTATCATATTATCTTCAGTTTATCAGGCACCTGTTTACACATATGTTAGTCCGCTCAGCCAACCTGCTCCCAAGCAAAGCATTTATTTATTTACAACCCTGCCATGTTGTGTTTGCAGTAGTGAGATGATCTACCTGTCCTGCTGTATTTAAAATAAATTACATTTGTTATCATTTACTGTGCACACAGTTTGCTCATCTTTCATTTTGTTGCTTTTTTTCATTCCTTTCATTACTTGTTTTGGCCATTCCTCTTTTTGTCAGCCTCCCTGGTCCAGTGTGCAGTAGCTTGATCCTTAGTGTCCTTAGTTGCTAGTACAATATTTTCAGCAATCTTCAGGATCCCAGTACTTGGGCAAAAGGAAATGATATTTTTGCCATATGAGCAAGGGTGAACCTTGCTTGGAAACACCCTCACCTCGAATCTGTGAGATTCAGTAACCCGAGAGGACCCATCTATGTCACTTCTAGTTGTGATCTGACTATGGGAGAGTACTTTCTCTGGGTAGCACCTTTTGGAATGTGCAACCACCACCTGATTCATTCTTCTACAGTATCCTCCCAGACAATCCTCTTCCATCTTCTGGGATCATCTATTCTCATTTGGAGGTTCTCCATTAGATCCCCCAGTCACTCTTTCATGATCACGTGCCAGATGTGGTTTTATTGCATCAGAAAGTCAAGAAGTCTATGACTGAAGCAGACTTAATTAAGAATACCCACTCGGCACTGGGAAAGAAGGCCTCCTACCTTCCTTCTGAGACCTGCACGATCTAATGTGACACTGTTTTGTATGATCTGGTTATTTGAAACAAAACCATTTGCTGAATTTTCGCTAACTATAGTTATAGGATGAGCCCTCCCTATCAATTGCATCTGTTAGTTGAATGGTCTGATTCTTAGCTTCATCTCTTAATCTGGCTTTGTTCATTTGGGCCATGGGTCTCCAAACTTTTTTGCCTGCAGGCCACATTGAGACTTTCACTAAGAAACTTTGGCGGGCAGGATTGGAGGTGCTTGCAGGCCGGATCAGGTCACGGGCTGTAATTTGGAGACCCCTGATATAATCCACCAAACAGGCCAGATCATCAACATAACATAAGTTGTGGCACTGAATCTCCTCTGCCAATACTCCTCAGCAGCTCGGTGAAAACCAATTTCCACAGGGAGTGTACAAGGACCAAGGACCCTGAGAACAAACTTTTTCCACTAAGTCTTCTACTTCAAAGAAGCTGCCAAGTATTTTCAATGTCCGGTCTGGGAAGTAGCTCCTATAGAGTTCATATAAGTTGTGCAAATGTTTGAGTATGCTCTGCCAACAAGCATAATGTCAACTGATATAATATGCGACAATGGTTTTGAAGTCCTGAAACCCCTGCTACATCTTGGTGGCATCAGTACTGTCCTCCATGTTGACAAAGAGGGTGTCTGCCTTGGTTGCAAGGAGTATAGAGGCCTTACTGCCTATTTCTTTAGGTGATTGCAGCCTGTTAATTTTATACATCTGACTCTTAGTACCATATTGTTAAACAAAGAAGACAAAAAAAATAATAACAATAATTTGGTAACCATAGCTTAACATTTCATGTTTTAAATTTTCCAGAGGGAAGAGATTGGTGATCCTTTACTTTAATAAATGGAATCCACCTGGTTCATGTGAATCAAGTGTCATCCTTTCCCTCTTAAAACTCCTGGATTCCCCAATGCAATCCCTCAAGGTTTTCTATGTATTCCCTATTTAATATTAATGAGTTAATGTGAAACATTCATAATTAAAAATATGATAAATACTTACTCCAGAGGAGCTTTCCAATTTTTCAACAATATAATTGGTAATTGGTGAGCCTCCATCATCTGCAGGTGGTCTCCAGGCTAGACTGCAAGTCTCTGGAGTGATGTCTGATACCTCTATTGGCCCTTGAGGGGGTAATGGTTTGTCTGAAATTTTTATTTATTTTTTTTAGAAACCATGATTATATCTAGTTAAATAAAATTTGAATAACATTGACCAATTGTATAAATAATATTTCAAAAAGTACGCCCACTCACTGATTTACCCAAGGGACCATGGGGGTGTACACGCCTCCCATTGAGATCTACAAACAAGCTTGTTCCAAGAATCAATTCGCAGTTAAAACATCAAATTCCCTATGAAGAATGACAGCTTTGGTTTTTGTAAAAATATTTATCGCTATGGGTTGGACCTACCTTTTTACTAGGATCATAAAAATGCCTGGAATTTAATTTCATACTGAATATCGTCTTTTTTAAATTTAAATAAATAAGAAAATGGGAAATTATAAAGAATAAACTAATTTTTTTTTTCAAAAAATATACATTCATTTAAAAACTACTTTACTAATACATAAAAGACTAATGCAAAAATGTTTTTTTTTACTATAAGACGGCTCTTTTTTGTTCAAATTTCCAAAAATAATCGAAATATGATTAATGATTATATACACATAAGAAATAACTAGCAATAGGAAATAAAAATTATTTTAAAAAACTGTAATATCCCTATGGACAATGGTGGGTGTATACGCCCTGCTGTGATTTTTTTTTAAATTAACGCGATTACATTATTTTTAAAACTTAAAAAAATCGATGTCACTTTTTTTAACAGTATATTACAATTTTTGAGAGAGTAAAAAATAATTTGGTTCATGAAGAAAGATTCATTCAAATGGCTAGGTCCTTAAAGTATTAAATTCAGCCTAATATCTAATATAGTTAGTATGTTATATACTATGTACCATTAAATATAATAGAAATACTGTACTTACCAACAACTATAACTCGACAACTTGCTGAATCTGAGCCTTCAGAATTGATAAGTTGTATGGTATAAGAGCCTGAATCTGTTGATCGCTTAGCACATTTATTACGAAAAACTGTCTCAGTTGAAGTTGTTTCAAACTTAATTCTACTATCAGATATCACTTCTTCATTATTAATAAACCATAAAGGTTTTGGGGTGGGATTACCAATGAAAGGTACAGTGATGGTAAATTCCTCTCCAGCAATGACTGTCATATCTCTGATACTAAGGTCACTAGTAATTTTTGGTGCACCTGTAATCATATAAATAATTAGGAAGAATTAAGTTTGTAAATATTTACAGACAGAGGCTATCTAATTAACTGAATATTGTAAAAATATTTAAAACATTTTTATGATAAAATGCATAAATTGACAAAATATATACTTTAAATTAAGCTTTGTTTACTTACAGGGAGGTATCCTGCACCAAATGCCATCTGAAGAAGAACTCCATGGGCTTTGACCTGCAGCATTAACTGCAGCAACTCTGAACTCATATTCATGATCAGTTATAAGATTTATAACCCTAAAACAAAAATTTTAGTAAAGTTGATTCACTCACTGAAAAGAAAATTCACCAAAATGAAGGAGAAACTCATATGTTATTTGTATTTTTCTGTCTATAAGAACACAGAAATAAACCGACCAATACCTCCAAGGAGTTAATTATTATAAATCATAAATTTTAGATAGTGGCTTGAGACTTTGTACTCTTAAAGATTATTTTCAGATTTATATTATATTGATCAAATGAATCACACGATTAAAATTATTCTTAAAACTTTGATAACTTTTCTATTAAAATATGAATGTAATTTCAGTAAAGAAAAAATGAATAAAGAATTTAGCATCATTGATAATCATACGATATTGATAATATATTTAACTTTTAAAAATACTTCGCAACTAAATTAAGTTTTAATTAGGTGTATTATATATATATATATATATATATATATATATATATATATATATATATATATATATAAAATCAAAATGAGACAATGTAAATATATTCATAAATAATAGAAACCATTCAAAATGGAACCTAAATTAACGATTGGCTTTAACATAAAATAATTCACAAATGGGTAACATGCAAGGGTGCACAAAGCAGGATGTTGTGGCGCAAGTTTTACCATGAAAATTTTTGAGTGGTCACATTTTTAAAGGCATTTTTGAGGGGAACAAATTTTAATGGAGTTATGAATTTTTGGAAGGAATCATATTTTATGTGGTTTCAATTTGGAAGAATTTTCAAACAAGAGAACAAAAGAAGAAACTTAACTATAATCTTTATAGTTCAAATTTCACTTGTACAGTTTTATAATAGGTAAGGAGAAGAGGCATGCACCATCACCATCACCTTTAGGGGAATGGGTACCACTGGTAACATTGAAAAAAAAAAATTAAAACATTTGTAAAGAAACTTGTCAAAAATAACCAATTTTAAGATTTTTCAAATGTCTACATTATTGTTAGTTAGTAAACCATTTTGGGTTGGGGTGCAATCATAAATGAAACCTTTTACACAAATAAGAAGCTTTATTTTATTGTGTGCCGACATTCCAGCCTAAGTTTTTGGTCACCATCAGAGCAAAGTAAAAAAAAATTCAACTAACAATGAGAAAAACAAAAAAATAAAATGTTTAGTATGTTTATAGTTTGTTTAGCCTAAAACTTAAGCTCAAAGGCTGTCATAAAGTAAAATAAGGCTTCTTATTTGTGTGTAATTTCAGTTATGACCGCACCTCCAACAACTTTTCCTACTATTTGATCTATTGTTAGCAATATTTTTTCCACCATTATATGTGGATCGATTGAGCAATTTACAAAATTTATTTTTAATTGAAAAATAACTGAAGCTGGAACATTCAATGACAATAGATATTACATCCGTAAGTATCCATTCATACCATATAAACAGACTAAAGCAAAATAATGATAAAAATATTAAAATGTAATTGCAAAACAGCAATCAATATAAATTTCATTCCTTTGGTTCCTCAATTACAACTGTTCTCCATTACGATCTCTTATTTCTCCTTTAGTTAATTATAAAATTCTTTCATATTGTATATTTAACTATCTTCTATATTATAAATTAATGTGAAATGGTCAATTGTTTTGAATAAAAAAAATTAAAGGTACTTTAAGGGAAGTTAATATTGAAAATTAGCCATTAGAGCCCTGTTAGACAACAACAATCAGAATAAAAACTACATTTTATGTTAAAATGCTTGATTTTACCCTGATGTAATGAATTTAATCAACATCGTTAGAGCCGTTTTTGAGAAAATCGTAAAAATGTGTTTAGTCCATAACATAAAGTGCCACTTCCGGTTAGCCGATTTTGATGAAAAAGTTGCTGTAACATCCCAATCATATAAAATCCTTAAAGATGCAATTTCACTTTCATACGATTTTGTGCTTTTGAACTAGACTGTTAACAAACTCACACAGACATGCACACAAACACACGCACACACACACAGACTATTTTGCGTGACTCTGTTATTTGGACTCAGGGGACTTCAAAACGTGTATTTCCATTGAAAACTGAGATTCGAAAATGCTCACAATCGCAATACTTTCCTTTACTATATATTTTATATATAGGTAAGTGAAAGTAAAAATTGTTTATTTTTTTTTAATAATGCTGATACGTGATATCGAAAAATTCTTACCTATGAGTTGTGTTAGGAACTAAGGCATGAGTTGCTTTTGTCCACTTATCTTCTGTAATTAGTCTCTTTTCAATAACATAACCTGTAATAGGTGAACCACCATCATGTCTAGGTTTCATCCATGTTAAAGTAATTGATTCTTCATCTGCCTCTACACATCTTGGGACTCCTGGAGCAGCAGGAGGATCTAGAAAAATAATATTAAAATTGATTGGTATAACATAAGAATAAAATTAAATATTATTATGTTGCCTTTAGAATTGAAGTAATAATTATGTTATGAAACAAATATTAGGCACGATAAATTAATTTAAATCATATACTCTAAAATAGGACAGGCCAACTCAAATGGCTTAATGGACAACTTTAACAACATATCATGTAACTGCTGGGTCAGTTAAAAATACACAATTCAGGTAAAAACATGCTTCTAAAAAATCTAATAAAAATAAACAAAATATTATTTTTATACCATGATTCAAGAATCATTTTTGAGTCTTAATTAATGAGATTTTTTTCACTATTACTGAGTCAGTTTGTTATTTTCATTACATTATTTCTTATACTACTTTCATGATTATCACTAGTATCCAAATCATTTAGTATGTTTTCCATATCTATTATTAAATTGGTAACATCTGTTTTATAATTGTATGGAAATAAATTGATGTTTTAAACCAAACATAATATTTTTTTAATTCATTGGTATAATATAATATAATTATTACTATTAAGTAAAAATCAAAAAATATATAATATAAAATAACCTTATACAAAAAGCATGGATAGATGATTTAAATAAAACAATCAGATACAAAATAAAGCATTCTGATATTATTTTTATAAAATCATATAAAACAAAACAAATCACTATAATAGAAAAATGTTTCTATTTAAAACATATGTACAAATTTGAGAAGGAGTTGGTGAGGGATGCGGTCCAATAAATATAATATACTAAAATAGTATTTTATTGGTTATGCTGACTATTCGGCCTAATTTTTAGGTCTTCATAATGATTATTATAATCACGGTCAACCATCTCTACACCAATAAATACATATTAATAGAAGAGGATGATAATTATAGAAAATGTAGTAATGATCCATTAAAAAAAATAAAAAAACAAGTTTACTTAAACAAACTATATAAATTCAACTACATTAGTTAAGGTACAAAGAAAAACATCCAGTACCACCATCAAATGGTATGAAACCATTTTGAGAGTAAAGGATTTCATGGGTAGGTCATATCTAAATTGGGTCAGGTGGTGTGATGAAAGAAATGGAATGGGATGTTGAAAAAAGGAAAGGATTTTGATGTGAGAGTCAGATATTATTTGGCATAATAAAACTTCATGAAAACAAATTTAAATTCAGACCTGTTGTAAATGACATTGGAAGTCCACCTTATAAATTATCAAAATATTTAAAATCAAGTCTAGGTGTTTTGAATAGTAAAAATCCTTATGATGTAAAAAATGCTATAAAAGTAAATAATAAACTTAATAATATTAAATTAAAATCAAATGAATGAATGGTTAGTTTTGATGTGTCATTATTCACAAATATCCCATAAAATAGCATTAAAAATATTATAAGAAAATTAGAGCATTACAGAACTCTATACCAAAAAAAAAATATACATGGAAAGAATAAAATCATGTGTGAATTTTTTTTTTTTTTACTTTAAACAAAAAAAAGAATAAACAGCCTCTTAGAATGAAAATAGAAGCAATTCTTACAATTATTTTAATTGGAATTTATAAGAATAAATTACCATCCAATATGTTAAATTAATATGTTTTTTCTTTGAGATTTCAAGAGATACACTTATTACCCAGTATTACACCGAGTCGAAATGGCTCCATCCATCCTATCGTTACCAGCACTTCCTTGCTACCTTTCTGTACCCAGGTATTAGAAATCAGTGACCCTCCTATATTTTGCAAAGCTTATAATTTAAATCCTTCATTCAGTCCCAACCCACTAGAGGCCGTACGTCCGACCTTTATCCTCCTCATCACCTGACTACTGCATTTGACAAATTCTTTGTAATTCAATTGTTGATCACGAAATTCACACAAGAGAACTCTCTGAGTACCTCCAGAAACTATTTTGCTTATTTATTTTATTTTATTGTTCTCTGTTTGTTTATATATATGTATGACTTTTTTCTGTCTTTCTCTCTGAATTTATATTTTTAATTACCTATTATTTTGTAAATATCAAATTTAATGTATGGCCAAACTGACATGTTTTATTTATTCTGTATTTATAATATGTTCTAAAGAGACATCAGTCCCAGGATAATAACATTATTTTCATTACATTTACATAAAATACAGAATATACCAACACATAAATGACTGTAAAAACAAAGAAAAGCACAATCATCAAAATAAAACAGCATTAGTACAGCACTATATCAACTTATGGAAAATGTTTGTTATCCATGAAAATTATACATAAAGAAAACAATATATATACATAGAAGAAAGTTTTTAAAGGTTGCTACTGTTACAGAAAACTTAAATAGGGCCATACGTTTTAAAATCTATTCATACAACAACAATAAATCATATGCTGAAGTAATTATCAAATTAAAAAACAAATAAGATCATTTTTCTTGTATGATTATTAATGTTTTGATAGTTTTTTTTTAATAATAACACTTTATTTATTCTGGGACGAGTTCGTTTAGAATAATACAGAAAGACAGAAATTTGGGCTAAGAAGCCTCAGAGATACATAAACAAAAATACAAAGTAATTAAATATTCAGAATAAAAAATTTAAAAAAATATATAAGTTACTTTTTAACTTTAATCAGTTAATAATAATAAATTGAAAAAAAAAAATGAAGTAAAAATAATCAAGAACGATCTAAAAATTTATATACATATTTAAAGTAATATCTATTTACAATTTTATGGGGACTGGATGAATAAAAAATGATTGAATAGGCAGGATTTAAAAATAGGTATTTTGGATTGGCAGAAGTAGGACAGGATGGAGTTCCATAGGATTGAGGATCGGATAATGAACGATCTGTCAATGGTCCGGTGGGCCGTTATGTATAAATCTGAAAACCGGGAACGAGTATTGCAGGAAAAAACAGAGGATTTGAAATGAAGGATCTCGGAGATGTAAGAAGGACGGCAGGATTGGATGACTTGAAAGAGAAAGGATGCCAGGAAATACTTATGATAGTAGGAAGGATAAAGCCACTTCAACTCTGCATAAAAATGGAAAACTGATGAGTCTCCTGTGATACCGATAAAGCAATTTATCAAATGTTTTGGTTTCGCCTCAAAGCTGCTCTAACAGCTTTATAAGGTTGAGTAAGAGAGAAACAGGATGGAAGTTGTACAGTGAGGTAGAGTTGGAAATTTTATTTAAAGATCGGACTAGGGCAGTTTTCCAAGAAGATGGGAATATGGAGTTTTGCAATGAAAAGTTGTAGATATGGTAAAGAACAGGAAGGCTGGATTTTATTAGTTTTACTGGATTATTGTCAGGACTATAATCATTAGTGTAGGATTTTAAGATAGCGGAAAGTAATTCATCGTAGGACACAACGGAGAAAAAGAAGTCTTCAGGATTGAAATTGTGATGTTAATATCGGAAGTAGGAGAAGCACTGTGAGTGAAAGATAAGAAATGGTCAGTGAGATCATCTGGAACCACCGGGATGGAATTGAGTTTATTGGATTCTGGTAGGGATAGGTTACAGAGTATTTTTCATTTGCATTTGGAATCGTTAGCATTGGAAAGGGCATTATGGAAGTAGGTGGCTTTAGCTAGTCAGACTGTGGATTGGGTTCCGTTACAAAGTTCCTTGAAAGACGAATAATCAGCAGACAAACGGGTTTGACGGTATTTGCACCTTGCTGCATCCCTTCTTTTCATCTTTTTCATCCCTTCTTTCATGGAAAGAATCAAGGTCAGTTTGAAGGGATTCATAGAAGAGAAGGTTTAAATTTTCATATGAAACCATTTTGGGAATAAATGATTTCATGGGTAGGTCATATCTAATTTGGATCAGGTGATGTGATGAAAGAAACGTAATGGAATGTTGAGAAGAGGAGAGGATTTTGATGTGAGATTCAGATATTTTGAGGTGTATATGTGCAGGAGAATAAGGAAGAAGATAAAAATGAAGGGGAAACGGTAGGTCAGTTAGGAAGTATTTTTCAGGATATTGCAAAAGCATATTCTTGTTAAAATCGCCGTTGATAAAAATATTGTAATGGGAAACCAGGTTGACAAGAGAGGATTCAAAGAAGTTGTCAAATAAAACAGGGAGAGGACGGTAAGCTATAGTGTTTACTTATAGTGTTTGAAGTTCCACTAGAGGGCAGTATAATTGTTTCTCCTAAATTTTCATTATAGTTGCTGGTTCAAAATATCTTAAAATCTGGTGCTACAATTTCGGAAAAAAAAAATGGATTTCTATGTAGTAAAGTGATTATCTGCATGTCTACATAAAATTAGGTAAATATAAGAGAAGTTGGTGGAAATTGCAGTCATTAGAAGTACAAAAAAATAAATATATTTACTTTGGGCCAAGATAAAGTTTGAAATAAAGGATACATGGTCAGTTAATTAATTAATTAATTTTTGTGTACTTCCGATGACTGCAATCCCCAAATAATTTCTGTTATAAGAATCGACAGTCAACAATATTTCCACCCTAATAAGGTAAATATTTTATATGAAATTAAAGATTTTCAATACAATATAGTTTTTAAAAAGTTATAATAAATTTGGCCTAAAAAAACCTAAATAAAAAGTAAAAATGAAATATATATATATATATATATATATATATATATATATATATATATATATATATATATATATATATATATATATATATATATATATTTCATTTCTACTTTTATTTAGGTTTTATATATATATATATATATATATATATATATATATATATATATATATATATTTATTTGTTTAACTAAAGATTTTTTATATTACAGATAGTAAACAATTTATAATGATATGTTTGAAGTGGCCAAAAGGCCTAAAATTTACATAAAGTAAGATGAAGTGAACTTTTTATAAATTAGTATTATAATATCCCATTTTTATGTAGAAAAATGAGTAACCTAATAAAAAAAATTGGTAAAATTATAAATAAATAATATATTAAAGTAGTAAACATTCCATAAAAGTCAGGTAGTTTTCATAAAAATGAAACTGGTAATTACCAAAAGGATGTCTAGCTTTTATTGGATCTCTCGTGACTGCTGGTTCAGAAGTACCATATAAATTTTCAGCCATTACTCGAAAATCATAATCTAATCCCACTTTCAGATTTCTTATTCGACAAAATGGAACTGTGCAGAAACTGCTGACCTAAAATATTAAGTAAAATGCTGATTATCTTGTTTTTAATTCATAAAAATATTAAAAAACAAACAAATAATAGGAAGAAATTTTCAATAATATTAAGAACATTTTCAATAAATAATAAGTTTTCAAATGCATTGTACACCTTTTACTGTATTAGATAATTACAGTTTTGTGACATAAGAAAGTAAATATTTTTCTCTCACTTTAATCATTTAATGATCATAAATCATATTACTATTAAAACTGTCATTTTTTATATTATTTAGGAGGTATTGATTTGTTATAAAAATTGTTCAAGTTATTTATTTAGAACAAGACCATAAATAATCATTCTAAAAAAGGTATGAATAGACCTCTTAGCATCATAACTAACATAGTTAAACTACTATTTAAAAAATAAATGTTTTTATTAATTATCAATCAAAATTAGAACTGTTTATTATAGAACGACTAAAGATATTGAAAGCAGTTTATGAAATGAAAATGACTCAAAGAGTAGCCATTTATTAATACTAGCACAATGGTCATTTAAATTAAATAATCACTGAGCTGCTCACTTTTCAAAGGAGTTAGGGTGAAATTATTAATGAAGCTAAACTATGTCATAAAAAGGGAAAATAAGTGTGATTTTAACTGTAAAGAAATACAGATTTATTTTCTATTTATCAATGTATACACTTACACCTATTTTGATACTAAAACTATTTTTTATATTATTATTTTGCTGTGCTACATCCCTAGTTGAGCTTGGCTTGCTTAAACATTAACCACCAGTTATCTTTTTTATAAAGATAAAGGATTTAAATATTTTATAAATTCTATAATATGATTATTATAGAATATATGTAGCACAGGTAATAAAGTATATCCTCTCCAAATATCAGAATACCAATAATTGAATTACCTTTGTCCACGTCGAAGAATGAGTTTCTTTCTTTTCAATAATATAATTTGAAACTTCAACACCACCATTGTCTTTAGGAGGATTCCAATATAATGTTAAAGCATCACCAGCAAATTCATCTGCTCTTAAATCTTGAGGTGGCGATGGACGATCAAGAACTTTAACATTAAGTGTAGCTGTATCGAAACCATGTTGATTTTTCAATTGTAAACGATATTGTCCAGTGTCGGATCTTAAAGCATTTTTCACAATCAAGCTTGCAGAGTTGGGAGTTAACTAAAAAATGGAAATATAGTCTTAATCTAGCAAAGAAAGTGGTAAATACGGCTAAAAAAGATATTTTTTATCAATTTTATTAGAAAGAACTAATCAGGTCTTTAGTGATATGGAGGTAGTTGATTATGATTCTAATTTAACAAAGAAGTTGGTCAGGGATGTGGTCAATAGACATGCTGTATTACAGTAATATTTTATTACATTTGCTAATGTTTTGATCTACAATGTCATAAATCATTACAATAATATATAGTACGTCTATTGATCTCACCCCCCTAACTAACTTCTTCTTAAATTAGGTCTCCATATTTTTTTTTATCATTCTTTGTTATCTTGACATTTCGAGCTTTCTTTTTGGTCCATTTTCAAAAGCTATTATTTAATAACTTTCTTTCAATATTTTTTCTGAACACTCTACACGTTATCAATCTCATTAATTATAATAATAATAATAATAATAATGGTCAAGTTGAGAGACTGGAGCAGCAAGCAGCTTCATGGTAGGCATTGCCCTCACTTCTACAGGAATTAGTCATTCTGCTCTGTAGAATGGCTCAGAAAAGGAAAACTGTTCCCAGAAATGGTGAGTTTTCTTCTTGCTATACAGGATCAAGTTGTAGCAACTAGTTCCTATCACAAGTACATTTTTAAACACGATGTTAGTGATAAATGCCGACTATGTAAAGTAACAATATAGTCCATCAACCATATCACAACAGGATATACAATATCAGCAGGAAGAGAATACCTAGAAAGATATAACAATTTAGCAAAGGTAATTCACCAAAGTCTTACTAAATATTATAAATTTACCGAGGCATCAAAGCCATATTACCGTTACACCCCACAGTCTATTATCTCTGACAAGGAAACTACAATCTATTGGGATCAACCTATAATCACAGATCACACAGGACCAACCAATATACTGGATATTTTGGTGCTGCGTAAAAAATAAAAAAAGGGCTGCAATAATTGAGATAGGAGTTCCCAGCTATGAAAACATTGAAAAAGTGGCAGGAGAGATGATAAGAGAATATATAAGCCTCTGTGAGGAATTAAAACAACTATATAACCTAAAACAAGGAAATGTGCTGCCTTTCATCATTTCGAGAAAAGGATTGGTCCCAGAGGAAACGATAAAGATTTGTAAATTGTTAGGACTCCCTAATTATATCCTGGAAGAAGATCAGAAAACACAGTTTAGGATAGTCAGCATTGTCAGAAATTTTTTAAATATTTCCTAAACAGAGCCTAACCCTTGACTCATCGAGTCCAGGAAGGTGAATATTCCCAGCAATGTCTGAGGAAGAGCGAAATTCTGAAATAATAATAATAATAATCGTTGAATGGTTAAAGACAGAACAAATATATGGTGAGACCGAAGGGATTTTATAGCTATTCAGTATCAGATTATTGCAACCAGGTCATATAGGAAACATATATTAAAAGAAAATCTGGCCACAGATAAGTGTCGCTTTTGCTCAAGAACACATGAATTTATCCAACATGTAACCAATGGCTGCAAAACTCTGGCAGGAATGTATCTCACGAGGCATAATAATATTGCAAAAATATACCACCAAAATATATGTAGAATATTTGGACTACTGGAGAGTGATGAGGTACCCTATTATCGCTATGCCCCAGAAAAACTTAAAGAAAACATAAATATAAAACGTGCAGGATTGTTAGAAAGTTTCTAAATAATTAATTTTTATTTTACATTCATCTACATTCCCATGAATGTTTTTTCCAGGATGTGAATGCTATTGCAAAAATCTGAGAAAGCTAAACAAATAAGAAGATAATAATAATAATATTTTAATATAAAGTAAGGCTATGTTTTTATTTCACCACATCTATTTCCATTTTTCATTGGAAATAAATGTGGTGAAATAAAAACATAGCATTACTTTATATTATTATAAATAATTTCACCTAAAACAACTAAGCACGAAAGAATAATGCTTTATTTATTCTGGGATGAGTCCCTTAAGAATAATACAGAAAGACAGAAATGTGGGCAAAGGAACCTTAGAGAAACATAAACAAAAACATAAAGTTAATAAATAGTGATAATAAAAAAATATTTTCTAATTTTAATCAGTTAATAACAATATCAAAAAATTTAAAATATAAAGTAAACATAATTAAGAATGATCTAATAATTTACAGTTGTGGGTTGATGATTGACTGTAGTGAATAATTGAAGAGAAGGATGGTTGAGGTGATCAGTCAAAATAAAAATTGCAAAAATAAATAAATCTGTATATAAATCTCAGGTACATATGAAGGACGACGGGATCAAATGACAGGAAATACTTATGATGGTAAGAAGGATAAAAACACTTCAACTCTGCATAAACACGGGAAACAGTAAAATTATACTGTTATTTGTAAAAAAAAAATTATGATACAATCTACTACACCGTAGATGTTAGTCAAATCCATTTGATATGTTTTTATTCCTATAACAGCAAACTTTTTTTTTTTGCTTTAGTTTTTTTTTTTTGTACATCCTATAAAAAACCCAAAATTTTTAGCAAAATAAAAATATAAATAATGCAATTATAAGAATAAAAACACATTAAATGGATTTGACTGACATCTACGGTGTAGTTGATTGTCTCATATTTTTTTTTACGAATAACAGTATAAATAATAATAAGATTAATAATGTGTAGAACATTCTGCAATAACATGGAATGAAAGTTATTAAATAATAGCTTTTGACCAAAAACAAAGCCTGAGATTTCAAGTTAATAAAGAATGATAAAAAATAATATGAACAACTGATTAATTCTTCTAAGTAAAATTTATAATAAATGAATAGAGTGCATTCAAATAGGATAATACTCAGAAAAGTATATAGCATTAAAAAATAAATAATTACTAATTATATAGCCTATAAGAATTTATCACCTGTTTATGTATTCTTTCATCATCAGTCATTACAGCATCATTAACAAGCCAAGATGCTGTAGGTTGAGGGAATGCAACAAATGGAATGTGAATTGAAAAATCTTCTCCCGCTCTCACAGTAATATCTCTAACACCACCAAGATCCATTGATGGTTTATTTGGCTGTTCCTCTACAACTATATTCATACTTGGTCTACTTGGATTTGAGGGACCAACGGAATTCAAAGCAATTATACGGAATTGATATTCATGGCCCTCTATGAGATCATTTACCTGAAAAAAAAATTAACAAGCATCTATTATAAATAAATTTATACATGCACAAATATCAATATAACCTTCCAGCAGATGCACTGGAGTGTTAAGTAGGCCACTTTGAGTGTTTCAATTATATTCAGCCTATGGTTGAACTTACAGTTCCATTTCCTCTCTTTTTTGTTTGTCACACTTGCTATACTGGAACTTTCAACTTTTTAGTAACTTTGGTAACTCTATGAAAACAACTAAAACCTACTTTTGCACCTTTTTTTTTTATAAAAGCCTTAGCGCATCACTGATTCATTAGGTCTAATGTATATCTATTGGCACTCTTAGTAAGTCAGATGTTTCTCAACATAGAATGAAAATTCTTTTTCTAGGCATCGCCAAACAATATTTGAAGTGAAACATTTAAATTAGATAAGTTTTCAGTATACATTAGGCTATAGTAAATCATAAAATAATCTTTAGATATAAAGTATGAAACTTGGACTCTTTGCCCATTTTCAGAGACATTTCTTTTCATTGTTAGAAAAATGTTTGTGTCGTCAAACCTCAAACCTCAAAATTTGGTGTCAAATCACCTACAGTATGAAGAATGTTTCCCTTGATCAACTGTTTTACCTGAATAAAAGTGAATGGACCCCTTAAGGGAAGTGTAGAGATTGATCACCTCTATTTAGTTTTGGACATACTTGGCAATTGATGGCAACCCCTGTATAGTGTTATGTATGTAATCTTGCCCCAACCACCAACCAGACATGACAAAACTAAAGTAGTATTTAACCATTCAAAACATATATGTTGATGTATTATTTAAAAAAATACAAAATAAAAACATACAAAAATACTTTTTGATAATATACAAAATTTTAAAAAAATCTAAAATTATTTCTCTTAAAATAAATGTCTACATATTTAGTCAAGGAGAATTGATTTTCATGCAAATAACATTTAATTGTTAAAGATTAATTAGATAAAAATATAAAATAATATTATAGTTAAATAGTTAGGAAGTTTTTTTCTTTTTTTTTGGGTCCTCCCCTTTCTCGCTGTTAAGGCTATACAGGGTTTTCCTGTGCCAGAGAGTGTGGACGGGGATTTAAAAGACTCCCTCGGCACCGGGACGTGAACTCGTGACTATTTTTATATCATTAGATTCATATGTCAGGTTGCCGGGCAACAGCGGTGTTGTGCACACGCTTTAGCCCGTTCGGCCACCCCGCCCACAAGTTAGGAAGTTTGTTGAGCATAGCAGCCAGAGAGAACACATAAATAAAAACAAAATATTTTTATTTTATATTGTGCCAACGATTCCGTTAAAGTTCCAGGCCTTCAAGAGAGCTGGGGAAAGACAAAATAACAACAAAAAATTATTAAACAACTATATTTGTTCTCATATCCTTTTACAGTAGTTGTTTAATAATTTTTGGTTATTATCTTGTCTTTCCTCAGCCCTGATGAAGGCCTGCAACCTAGGCCGAAATGCCTGCACAATATAAAATAAAAATATTTTATTTTTATATGTAAGTTCTCTCTTGTACTACAACACCCAATCCAACTTTCCAACCACATTGTCTACAATCAATAATTTCTTCACCATTATAGATTAATGATCTTAATTCGTCTCATTACAATTAGTATAACTAATTAATATTAATATGCGTTTGAAAGGCAGGTTTCATAATTATTTCCTCAGTTGCTACGCACCCACGGAAGTGTCTCCTGATGATGAGAAGGAGTCATTCTACGATCAGTTAGACAGGACCCCTACGACAGTTGCCCTAAAAGTGATGCAAAGATCATCATAGGAGACTTTAATGCAAAGGTTGGCAAGGAACTAGTCTTCAAAACAACTATTGGAATGCAGAGTCTCCATAACGACAAAAATGAGAATGGCCGAATGCTGATAAACTTTTCTGCATCCAAGGAACTGATCGTCAACAGCATGCTCTTCCCTGGCAAAAACATCCATGAAGGAACATGGCGCTTTCCTGATGGAAGTACTGTGAACCAAATAGATCACATCTTGGTCAGTAGGAGGCACAGATCCAATCTTATAAGTTGCATATCCTACTGAGGAGCCAGCATGGATACGGACCACTATCTGGTGATATCTACGATCAGAGCCAGGATTTCCAATGCAAGAAAACCAGTTGAAAGAAGTTAGAAAGAATAGCGACATCCAAGCTTAAGGATCCAGAAATCAGTGAACGCTACTGCCGAACGTTGGATAAAAGGGTGACAGGTGCAGGCTTGTAAGAGGGCTCTGCAGAAGAACAGTGGAACATCCTATCCCGAATCGTTAAAGAAACAGCAAAGGAAGTTGTAAGGATAGAGGAATGAGCAGTTAGGTCCCCAAAGTGGTTTGATACAGAGTGTGCATTTACGAATTTAAAAAATAAAGCCTACAAAAACATGGCTCAGAAGCGGCACACGAGAAGGGCCACAGAGGAGTATAGAAACAGAAGGATGGAAGAGAAGAGACTACACAGACGAAAGAAGGCAACAACTAGAGGAGGTGGAGGAGCATAGGAGACAGAGTAAATCAAGGGCATTCTACAAGGCGGTGAATGAGAGTAGGACATCATTCAAACCAAGGGTCTGATTATGTCAAAACGAAGACGGCTACATGATCACAGAAAAGGAGCAGATGGTCCGGACGATTTCAAAATCCCAAGTGCTGAGCATGACCTTGACTCCCCAGACCCACCAACATGTGAGGATGTTCTTGAAGCAGTTAACAGGCTGAACAACAACAAAGCCCCACAAGGGGATGGAATTCCTTCTGAGCTTTTCAAGCATGGTGGCGAGAAATTTCAGAGAGCTCTCAATGACATCATCCTCACCATCTGGATTGAAGAGAAAATGCCAGATCAGTGGAAGAAGGAATAATTTATCCACTACACAAGAAGGGTATTATCCTCGACTGCTCCAATTACAGTGGGGTCTCACTTCTTCAGTGTGCATATAAGATCCTCTCAAACATTATTTACTGCAAACTCCTCCTGTTTGCTGAGAGATAGATTAGTAAATATCAGGAGAGGTTCAGAGGAGAAAGATCTACAGTTGACCAGATGTTTAGCCTCTGCATGATACTGGAAAAGTCTCAAGAGTACAGGATGATGACCCATCACCTGTTTATTGACTTCCAGAGTGCATACGACAGCATCAAGAGACCTCAACTGTATGCAGCTCTGTGTGACCTTGGAGTTCCCCCAAAACTTGTCAGCATCATCAAGATGACTATGGATGATGATAGGTGCACTGTTCGGGTACAATCGGACCTGTCACCTAAATTTATTTCCACGCGAGGAATTAGGCAGGGGGATGGGCTTGCCTGCCTATTTTTTAGCCTGGCCCTGGAGAAGGTGATAGGTGATTCGGGGATCCAGACTACCGATACTATCTTTAACAGATTAACGCAAATACTGGGATTTGATGGCAATCTAGATCTGATGGCACGTTCCTTTGAGTCTCTTAAGAGTGCATTTTTAAGGTTGGCTGAAGCGGCAGAAGCTTTGGGAATGAGTTTAAATCAAGAAAAGACAATGTATATGCGAGCAGGACCTGAAACCAAGACTGCAGTACGAGTACCAGTGGTTATGGGCCCATTTACGTCCCCCAATGTAGACCAGTTTACCTATCTGGGTGCTATTATAAGCTGTGGAAATAGAATGATTGGAGAAGGAGGAATAACAGGGACCTATATGATCTGTATGGAAAGACAGATGTGTTGAGGTGCATCAAGCTTGGGCGACTACGCTGGGCTGGCCATGTGGCCAGAATGCCAGAAGAGGAAGTCCCGAGGAAGTTGCTTGATAGGAAGCTCTGCATGACAAGAAGAAAAGGCAGAACACATCTAAGACGCCATCATCCGGGATGCCAGAGAATTATTGCATACCCACAACTGGCGAGCAACTGCACAAGATAGAGCTATCTGGCAAGGGCTCATTGAGGCTGCCAAGGACCACACCGGTCTGTTGCTCCATGGAGTTAGTTAATTAATATGAAAATTGAAATTGGGGTACTTCAGTGAGTAATACACCGCTTCCTAACTTCTGGGCCCGGATTTGAATATTTGCTGAGGCAGATAATAATTTAATATATGATATCAGACATTAAACAATACTGGTACTAAGTCGTCTCAATAAAATTACATTAATTGGGAGAAAAATCTGGTGTTTGAGCATTATCTTGGCCAGGTTACCTCCTGGCACAACCATTTGTCAAGAAATAATATGTTCTTAACAATTAACGAGTCCAAAACCCTTCATTGAAATGAGAGTTATAGGTAGTACAAACACTGCCATTATCAGGCTTTTAATGGTAACCATTGTAATAGGACTTCACTGAACTTCTCTCGAGGATTATCCCTATCCACTACAGGTCTTATGCTCAACCACTGAGTGCCAGTGTCCCTGAGGTAAGATATTATTTCTTTTAGCTCCAGTAGTAAAATGATGTGGATCTGCTGTATCAATATTTAAGAACCAGAAAAACCCAGATATTTGGTTTAAACAAGTGGGGTCTCAATTTATTTTACTAGCACTCACACAGGATTCAACTTAATTGAATGATCTTATAGCTCAGTTATGTTTGAAAACTGTTGAAAATATCTTTATATTAAAATATTTGTATGAAATTGTTGGTAGTTAAAGCAGTATAATCAGTGAATTACAAACACACTATTTGAAATCTCTCAAACACTCAGAAAAATTTGTCTGGTTGAGAAATTCTAAAAAATTATTATGCACTCTGCAGTTTGATAAATTACCCAAATCTGTTACCAGTTTTTTTAGCCATTAATAAGAACGGTATCAATATAAGCATGTTTCCTTAGAGCCTCACAGAGTCAAATGAAATGTTAAATGATGAAAATGGAGTATTCAGGCAACCTCAAACATGCTCTGTAACCTTTAAGAGTAAGAGCATGAGTCTTTAATTATAATAATTGAATTCCTCTTCAGAGTCATTGATATGTTTAAAAAAAATACTACTATGAAAGAAAAGACACACGTTGACTATAGAAGATCATATTAGATTGGTAGTGAAGAATTAGCATGAGGCCATATAATAATGAGTAAAAGGATAAAACAGAAATAAGAAGATAAACAAGGAATTATTCATACACTAATTGAGCACTCTGATTATTATAAACTTACAATATCCTTTTATATCCAATACACAAAAATCAAAGATATAAATATAGATATGGTGTAGTATGGATTATTATTATGGTTAGATATTAATGTAAAAACACATGATGTTGTACATTGTTGAAAAATATATAGATTGATTTATTTGGGAACTTACTCAACCTTTGTTTTTGTCTATACACAATCATTACATATGGTTACATAAATCAAGGGATACATTAATGGTTTTCTATGATTGTATAAACCTTTCTCAAAATGGACAAGATTATATAGTAATTTCCTTATTAAAGAAATTTTCTTATGTTTTAATATGTTCCTTTAAATGATGAAGGATCAAATTATAGATTTACTTTATCCATCAGTAACATTTATTTATCCTCAAAAGGATCATAGAATATTTCATAATCAGGGAGGCAATATAAATATATTTAATTAAAAATCAGCAAAATAATTTTCTTAATGAATCGATAAAATGAAGTACTCGAAAGATGAAATAAAATGAAAACTCCTAGAAAGATTGGTACAATCCCAAGTTTCCAATTTCCTAGAAAAGTCTAACCAACTCGATCCTCTCCAATCTGGTTTCCGTCCCGGCTACTCCACACAATCCGCCTTAATCAAAATTACTAATGATGTTCAGACTGCAATAGATAATAAACAACTAACTGTCCTTATACTTCTTGACTTCTCTAAAGCCTTTGATTCCATTAACCATCCCATCCTTTTCAACAAACTAAAATCACTCTCCTTCTCCAATAGCTCCATCTCTTGGTTCCAATCTTTCCTATCACAACGCACCCAAGCAGTCTCCATTCCTAATCAACCACTATCTGCCTACCTGCCTTTATCCTCTGGAGTCGCCCAAGGATCTAGCATATCTCCTCTCCTTTTTAGTTCCTATATCAATGACCTCCATGACTCAATTCTCCATTGTTCCCACCACCTTTATGCAGACGATTCTCAAATATACCTATCCTTTTCTCCCCCTGAGCTATTGGTAGCATTTACTAAGATCCAAGCAGACCTAGATCGAATCTGTGCCTGGGCAAAATTAAACGGGTTAAGGTTAAATGCTTCAAAAACTCAGGCCATTGTCATTGGTTCCAAGCCCCTCCTTAGATCCTATACGGACTTTCCCATACTAAACCTTGGTGACCAGCCAATCTCCTTCTACTCCTCTGTAAAAAATTTAGGACTATTTATTGATCAAACCCTCTCCTGGAGTCACCATATTTCTCACATCTCCCGACGGACAGTCTCTACCCTCAAACTATTCCATTGCTTCCGCCATCTCCTACCTCAACATACGCGCAGACTCCTCGTTTCCTCTCTCATCTTCCCCCACTTTGTCTACTGCTGTGTGGTGTATGATGGACTCTCGGTGGAGCTCCGCGACAGACTGAAAAGAATAATGAACAGTTGCGTGAGATTTGTAATTGGTGCCCCGAGATACTACCATGTCTCTCACCATTACACTGAGTTAGAGTGGCTCTTCCCCTCCATTCGAAGACAATATTTCCTAGGTACATTCCTCTATCATATCATCAACAATCATCGTCCTTCCTACGCCTACAACCTTCCCAATTCAAGTCCTCAGTCCACTCCCTCTCCACAAGATCTCGACCTTCCGACCTTTACATTCCTTCTCACAGATCTGCCTCGTTCCAAAACTCCTTTATTGCACGTTCTGTTAGTTTCTGGAATTCCCTTCCAATCAAAATTCGACATTCTTCATCCTTATCTACATTCAAAACCCTCCTATTCCAATTCCTGTCCCAAAAACAGTCAGGCACCAGCTAATCTTTTATGTAAAATTACACATTATATATAAGACCATATTCACATATAGCTCATGACCTGAATACTTATTATAGATTCGACTTTCTTTTTCTCTTTTTTTTTTTTTTTTTTTTCTGTTTCAACAGAAACAGATTTTACTGTTAAGAAGAATATACATTTATTTTTTCTGTATTTTTTATTTTTTCTAAAAGGGTTTATTTATATTTTAACATCGTACATAGTTTTAAATATCTTAGTATGGTTTCAAGAGTTTTTTATATAGATTTTTATATTTTATTTTGTATATAGTAGGTATAACCAATATTTTTTTTCTTTTCTTTTCTTTATTGACTTATCATTATCTTAATTTGTTATGTTTGTTTTTATCTGGCCAGATGTAAAATTTTAATTTCTGTACTTTTTTGTTATTCTGAAGGGACTTCGTCCCAGAATAAAATTATTTTTCTATTCTATTCTATTCTATTCTACTTACAGTATGAATACAATTAGGAGCATCAACAGTAGCAGCTTCTGACCAATCACTGTCTCCTCTAGACTTCTTCTGAATTTTATATTCACTTATCTTAGAACCACCATCATTCCTCGGAGGTCTCCAAGATAAGGTGACACTATTTTTCGTTATTCTATCAGCCAGTGGGGGCTCTGGTGGATCAGGAATGCCTGGAATATTATATTACTTCTCATAAATCGTCATTCTCCTTAAATTATTTAAGGAAATTAAAAATTTCCATTACACTAATAATGAATAATGTAGTTTAGTCTATCAGTATAAACAGAAGAAGAAAGAAGAAAAGTAAATTTTATTCTGGGACATTTAGTCCCCTAAGAATAATTATAATGAACAAAAAGATGAAATTTCTCTGGCATTATAAGAAAACCAAAAATTAAATTTAACATAACATAATAATCTAACCTTAAAATTAAAATAAATTAAGTACAAGTAAACATATTAATTTCTACATAAATATATATAATTGTGTTTATGTATTTGTACATATTAACAACATTGATAATATGTAAGTAACAGTAATATAACAGCCAAATGAACGTGACAGCTCGTAAATACAAAATTTTATTATTCATAATGTATTTGGAAGATTGATGGCTGAAGGCTTGATGGCTGAAGAGGTGGAAGAAGAGGTAGGTAAGAAATTCTTAAAAAAGGTAGCATGCATGACAAAGGAATTTTTATAGGAAACGTTTCTATGAAAGGGAACAAACAGGTTTATGGATTGGGATCTCATGTAAAATAAATGAATAAAGAAACATGGAGTAAACAAATTAACTAACTAACTAACTCCATAGTGCTACAGACCGGTTTGGTCCTTGGCCGCCTCAATGAGCCCTCACCAGATGGCTCTATCTTGCACAGTCGCTCGCCAGTTGCGGGTATGCAATAATTCTCTGGCGTCCCGGATGACGGCATCCTCCCATCTTAGACATGGTCTGCCTTTCCCTTTTGTTCTGCAGAGCTTCCCACCAATCAACTTCCTTGAGACTTCCTCTTCCGGCATTCTGGCCATATGGCCAACCCAACGTAGTCGCCCAAGCTTGGTACACCTCAACACATCTGTTTCTCCATACAGATCATATAGATCCCTGTTAGTTCTCCTTCTCCAATCATCACTGACATTGAAAGGTCCAAAGATATGCCAAAGGATCTTCCTTTCAAAGATTAGTAAATCTTTTTCTTCTTTGCTAGAGAGGGTCCAGCTTTCCGATCCATATGTGAGAATAGGCCTAATGAGGGTCTTATATAGGAGGCATTTTGTATGATGGGAGATGGCAGAGCTTCCAAGGTGTTTTCTGAGGCCAAAATAGCACTTGTTTGCTCTTATTATTCCCTGGTTGACCTCCAGGGATATTCTATTTCCACAGCTTACAATAGCTCCTAGATAGGTAAACAAATTAGGAAAGTAAAATGGCTTTTTGGTTGTAAAGGTTTGGAAAAGGAATACACGGAGGAAATATTGCCAACAGAAAATTGGATAGAGCCACTTCAGCTTGGCATACCAACTGGAGATGCCTGGGGACTCCAAAGATGAATTGAATGAAACAATTCATTTATTTCTTCAATCTGATTTCAAGCACACCAGACAGTTCACCGTATTCAAGGCATTCATAATCGAAGTGAAAAAATATGAGTGAGGAAACTAGAAGTTGGCAGGTTTTTATGGTAATAGAATTATATAATCTCAGGAACTATTTTAGGGTAGCAATTGATTTTTGGAGAATTTGGGAATCATGATTTTTCAAGGATAGATATTTATCAAAAATCACTCCGAGATTTCTAACAGAAGAATGGAAACTAATAGGTGGTCCATCGAGATAGAGTAGAGTATAATATATTATATTTCTGATGATTTTAAAATTCACTTCAATTCACTAATGATCCGTTTTTTACTGTTTGCAATTCCATCTATGTTGCCTTTTATTTTACTCTGTTAATGCTCATTTCTCTTACTACTTGTCATTTCCTATTCTCTAGAACAGATTTGTAACTGATATTTTATACCTTGTACTAATTTAACATTAACTGATATTCTATTTATCTGTATCGTGTACCAATTTACTATCATTTTTGTTTTTTGTGTCTTGTTCTTTTTGCCCTGATGAAGGCTTACAAGGTACGTTGATATGTAGGCAAATGAATAAATGCTACTGTAATATATAACATGTGTCTATTGACAGCACCCCTCCCTTCCCTTGCCGAATCAACGTCTCCTTAAATCATATTATTTCATAGTTTATTATTGAAGGAAGTTAGTCGACTGTTCTACATAGCATGCCGTTTCAACCCAAACATGTTGGTCATCTTTAGGGCATGGTTTGAGCACTGAGTGTGTTCAAGTACTGGGTGTTCAGTAGCTAAAATCTCTCTCCAAATACCCCAATACAACTATATATTAATGAAAACAACATGAAATTCTTTTTATTTCATCCCATTAATATTAATGGGATTTTGAGTATAAAGTGTTATATTACAATATAAACCTAATAAATTTATTAAAATTTAATTTATTAGTTATAGTTCTGTCAAAGTGCCAACTCGTGTTATTGATCAGGTGGGGGAATTAGATTTTGACAATTTGAATTTAAATTTAACAGTGAAAACTAATTGATTCCTAAGATAAAAATGATTGAACTCCATACTCAAAGTGTCTAATTCCCACTGATGTCAGCTACCATATAAGAAATTTCATAATGAAGCTCAGGGGTGACCAGAAGGGGGTTTTATGCCAGAAATTGCTCCATCAAACTTTTTGAAAGGAGCACATTTTGACAGGGTTTTGAATTTTTGAGGGGAGCACATTTCGACTGGGTTATGATTTTTCCAAATGAATAGTTTCAAATCAGGAGACAAGAGGAAAGCATAGAACAAACCAATGAAAGTGTAATTGTATATGACCTATGACTTTTGAAATTCTTATTTAGATTTCACTGATTTTAAAAAGAGGATAGTAATATCTTGGAAGAAGGGGGGGAGGTTGGCATTTACCTTGGGAAGGATAGTTACCCCTGATGAAGCCACAATCTTTTTGGGACACAATTTTTTATCAATTGGTGGAATGATCCACATATTTCAAAAAGAAATATGTTTAGATTATGTGATACTTTTAATGATTTCTTATTTTGAAAAATATCAAAGTAGAATTGAGAATTGTGGCCAGTTCTTGCAAACTTCAGATTGGAATTTAATTTATACTAAAAAATTAGTTCGAATTTTAAAGTTGACGGAAAAATTCAAATGATATATTTAAATTTATATTATTAAACTTGGTTATACTAAAAGGAACATTTTGGAATAAGAAAGAGAATTGTTTACCAGTGATACATTGCAACTAGAAACTGGTTTAAAATGGTTTGTTGCAGCTCAACAAGTTTCCATTAATTTGTTATTTATATTATTTTAAATATATAGTTATTAATTAATATACTATCAGGCATAAAAAAATTGTTTCCTCTGTGACTACAACCCCCAACCAGATTATTATTTCTATTTTAAAATTTCATACTTCCTCCGTCATTTCTTAAAATATTCACCTACCTGGACTCAGTGAGAAAAGGTTTAGGTTCTGTTTATCAAGTATTTAAAATATTGTTATCAATGCTGGCTGTCACTGGTAGTGTTGGGCAAAATTTATCTTAAATAATAGATAACAAATAATTTATTCATACTTTTAACTATGAATAACGAATATTTCTGTTTATCTTTTATCTAGATAATAAATAAATTCAAGTTATCTATTATATTTTTATTCCTTATTTGAGTTTTTCAAATAAATTTGAAATAATTTAATGGCTCAATTTATTTTTCTTCAATATAAGGATCTATTTACATATTTTCAGAGCTGTAGTTTTTGAAAAATATCTCAATTTTAAGATTATGCCACTGCATTGCAGCTTTTTTGAGTTGTTTGTATTCTTTGATATAAGCGTCGATTTATATGTTTTCAAAGCCACAGTTCTTGAAAATGATCTCTATTTTAGGATTACACCACTGGGTTGAGGCTTGTTTGAGTTTTTGTGTTTCTTCAATATAAGGGCCAATTTATATGTTTTCGGAGACAGATCTACCAGAAACTAATAAAGTAAGTGATAGACTTTGAAATGAGAGTGGTTTTGAAAGCAAATATGACTACTTCAGATTCAAAAATGTGAATTAATTGATTTTTATTTTTGAATACATAATACTCTAATATGTTATTAAAACACATAAATAACTGAAATTTCTTAAATTCTAGAAATTTATTGTACCAACTTGGTATTACATGGAGCAGCTTTTGGTACTAAAGACAACAAATATTTTAAATTTTATGATTAACAGAAATCATGAGAATTATCATCAAATATTATACTTTTTCTACTGTATAAACAATAGAATTGAAAAACAAATGCGAGTACCTTGTGCATCATTGTCAAGACACTAACATTTTAAGTAAACATGAAAATTGCAGGTATACATTTTTGAAATATTTGTTACTTTCTAGAAATGTATCAGAGACCAAGCTCTTTTTCAATAAACTTAATAACATTTTTACTCAAATAATAACAAATTCCAATAAACAAAATGTATGTATAAATCTATTCAGGTGATAGCTTATTACAACATTGCACAACATTAATTAATTTTGATGTAGAGATGGTTGACCGTTGATATAATATGAGAAGGAGTTAGTCGGGGGTGTGGTCAAATAAATACTAAATTAAAATATATTAATTGTTTTAATTTTTGCCGACGTTTCGACCCACTTTGCACGTCGTCTTCTTATTCAAGACGACTTCTTGTTCTTATTATTTTATATCTACTTATATTTATTTTTTATTTTCAACATGTTTTGTATCTTTTGTAGCCCTGAAGACGACCTGCAAAGTGGGTCGAAATGTCAGCAAAAATTAAAATAATTAATATATTTTAATTTAGTATTTATTTGACCGCACCCCCGACTAACTCCTTCTCATATTAATTAATTTTATTTAATTCTCAAAGAAATTCATGGACAAAAGTATACCTATAGATATGATGAAATATAAATACACTGAGAAATACAAAAAGCTAAAATTAATCAAAATGCGCTGGAGCAGCCTTAAAATGGATATTATTTCAAAAAACTAAGTCTCCCAAAACATATTAATGAACACTTATATTGCAGAAATCCATAAAACTGAAATAAGTCAAAACTCAATGGTGTAATCTTAAAATGGAGATCATTCTCAAAATCTAAGGCTCTAAAAACATATAAATAGACACTTATTGAAGAAATCAGAAAAACTTAAATAAGTCAAAATATAGTGGCATAATATTAAAATGGAGATCATTTTCAAAAACTGTGGCTCCGAAAACATAAATAGACCCTTATATTGAATAAATTTAAAAAACTCAAATAAGCTGCAACACAGTGGCATGATTTTAATATGAAAATCATTTTTAAAAACTGTGGCTCTGAAAACATATAAATAGACCTTTGTACAAAAAAAATCCTTAAAATTACAAAAATTTTAATCTTCTTCGTTGGAAGAAATCTGTTGCTGGAAATTATGAAGGGCATCATTTTTCATTCTTTGAGGTTTTAAAGTTGTTTTAGTTCCTTACAGAGTTGTTGATATTTACTCACTTTCTTCCCAACCATTTTGTGTACATTATTGTCATTGTGAATTTCTATTTTAATTATTATAGTCTTTGTCGTAAACCTATGTCCTCTTGTCCTACAGTATCCTTTAATAATATCCCACTTATCCCTGTTGAACAAATTAGATACCTTGGACTCCACTTAGACAAATGTCTAACTTGGAATCCTCATACCAGACTGAAACAACAAGAAACAGCTCGACGTTTCCGACTACTCCAGCACTTACTAGACAAACGCTCTAAGCTCCCAGTCAGTTACAAAAGACTCATATACTTGACTACAATAAGACCTATTTGGACTTATGGAATTGAGCTCTGGGGCTCCACTAAGCCATCGAATTCCTCTTGTATCCAATCCTTACAATCCAAAATCCTTCGTAAAATCCTCACAGCTCCTTACTTTGTCACAAACAAAATCATCCATAACGACCTTATTGTTCCTTATGTTTCTGACCTGGCCCAATCCAGATACCTATCCTTCCATAACAAACTTCAGAACCATCCTAACCCTCTCGTTTCTAACCTTGCTTCCTTTTCGATTCCTGACAACCCTCCGAGGCGTCTGAAAAGAAGATGGCCTCGAGATCTCCTTTTGTAAATACATTTTTAGAATGCTACCAGTGGGTAGTTTCTCAACAAGTGATTTCATGCTATTATATTCTTTTGTTCACATTTACTGAATGTATTTTTACTTGTAATACAGTTGTAAATATCATCAATAAAAAAAAATTATTATAGTCTTCTTTTTTATTACCAGAATAGCTGGTTTATTGTTTGATACTGTATGATCCCAACAGATTGTGGTTTCCTAATCAGAGAGAATAGACTGCAGAATGTATATATTATTATTAATAGGGCACATAACAATTTTAAAAACTATTAATTAATGAAATTTAACTAAAAATAATAAATAATTTAATTTATAGCTTTGTCTATACCTCACTTCAGACAAAAAGAAATAATTTTGAAAATATTCTTACGTTTTTGTTCTTTGGCAATCATTGGGTCTGTGGGTCTACTTGGTTTTCCAGGACCTGCTTCATTCACAGCAATAACCCTAAATTCATATCGTAGTCCTTCATGAAGTCCTTGTACCATAAAGAAGGTGTTAGGCGTAGGGAAATTGTTGACTTTTATCCAATCACCACCACGCTCTCGTTTTTCAATATAATAACCTAAAAATCATTAGGCTTGTTATTTATTCTCAATATTTATTTTAAAAAATGTATATATATATATATATATATAATAACAATTTTAATTAAAATGTAATTTTCATAATTTTGATCAAAATAATTATTTTAATAACACAAAATCTGGAGAAATCCTTAGAAAGTGGTAATACCCACAGAGGGAGTAATAGAGTTTCAGAGGTAAAACACCCAAAGAAATGATATGAAATGAAATAAATAATTTGAGTAAGGTGATGGTCCGGGATGGTGGTCATAAAGACTAAAATAGTAAAAAACTATTTTATATAAAGCCAATGTTTCGACCAGACTTTGCAGGTTTTCTTCAGGTAGGTGTACGCAGTATGGAGGTGTATGCAGTGAAACTCCATACCACATACAACTCCCTGAAGAAGACCTGCAAAGTCTTAAAAAGTTGGTTTTAAATAAAATAGTTTTTTACTATTATAGTATTTTTATGACCGCCATCCTGGACCATCTGCTTACTCAATAATATAACCCGGTAAACTATCAAGAATTCAATATGTTGAAATAAATAAAACACAAATCTCTATATGAAAAAACATCTCTTGTCCTAAAGAATCTAAATGAAAATATTCAAAATATTATTTTGATTAAAATCTTGAAGCTAAAAAAAATAAAAAATAAATAATAGAAAATATTTAAAAAAATAAAAAGATTTATCAGATGGGGATATAATGAAAAATAAAGAATCCTTATAGTATTTTCTACATTCTAGGAACATTATTGTTCTGTTTTTCTTAATATAACAGTATACAACACAACTTTAATGATAGTTTGGTAACATTGCTTTCAATATTTCTTGTTCCTGTTTAGTTATTTACCTATCTTTAATTTCATTGCTTTAAATTAGTTCTTTCATTTGAATCACACAAAATGTGTAAATAAGTATATTCAATTACCAATATTTTTATAAGTTAAAATTATTCTTTTTTTCAAAATATTATTAATAATATCCAAATACGATTAAACTGAGGAAAAAAACTAAAATGGTGCCTGCTACCTGACAGATACTTATAAATGTGCCTAAAGGTAGAAGGTTGTGGACTCCTGAACTAAATTGTGGGATTTAAAAGGCTGCCTAGACAATAGAAAATTGTAGTTATTAAAACAGAAGAAAAGCTAACAGTCACTCATAACTGCTAAGCATTAACTGTAATATCAAAAACCTAAAAGATGTTAATATAGAAAAATGTTTTGAGTCAAATACATGCCTTTATCCATCTGTGACCAAAGAAAATGAAAATATATTTTGAAACATAAAAATGTCTTTATTTTATTACCTGTGATTGGCCTACCACCAGTATTTGTAGGTGGGTTCCAAGAAAGATTGCAACTACTTGGACTGTATGAAACAATTTCAGGTTGTGATGGAGCATCAGGAGGGTCAAAAGGACTTTTAACAAGTACTGGTTTTCCTTCTAATGGTTCAGAAATTCCATACATATTTTCTGCTCTGATTCGGAAAACATATTTTTTTCCCTCGGGAAGACCTTTCACTGTAAAAGATGTATTTGGGCAGAATCCGGGAACTTGCTTCCAATTATCAAGACCAAAATCAGACATTTCAATAATATACCCTGCAAAATAACAAAAAACAGTGAAATATATCTATATATATGAAAAACTTTCCTTTATTAATTACTGATAGTTCCTTTTAATATTTTGTAATAAAGAGTAAACATTATAAACAAGTTCTTCCTCTCCATAGGTCATTCTTGTTACCTGCAGGGGTGTACCATGAAAACATAAAGCACATACAAGTTAATTATTTTAAAATATGATAATGTAAAGGACATGCTTAAATATACATAAAAAATATAAAATTGTTACTATTAATTATTATTTTAATTACAAGTCCTTTCATATACATATAAATTACTAGTATATATGTTATTACTAAAATGTATGTTTCCTGGAAAGGAAAATAGAATAGAAAATTCAACGTTATTCTAGGACTAAGTCCCCTTAGAATAACAATAATGAACAAATACAAAAAAAAATAAGTATCTAGCCAAAAACTAATTTAGTAAAGATTCTAACAATATATACAGTAATTTAAACAATAGTATGTAAACCACTAAAAAAATAAAATAAAAAATAAATGAAAATAAAATCAATTTTTGTGATAAAACCCAAACAATAGGCTAACTTAATACAAAATATAATAATAAACACAGTGATTTAAATAATAATATGCAAACACCAAAAAAATAAATAAAAATACGATTTCTCAGGAATACTTATAGACTAGTAGGCCAGTGAAAAAATTCGCACAGCATATTGTTAAGTGATGAAATGCTAAATTAATAAGAAAATAAAATAATGCAACACATCATAAGATATAGAAATCAATTGTTACTTTATTGATAAATATAATCGACAAAGGAAACAAAAATTAATTTATAACTTCATTAATGTTTGGAACCAACATGTTTACAAATTTCAATAAGCTGTATCTTTGCTACAAATTGTCCGATTTCAATGATTTTTTTCTTTCTTAGGGAATTTAGTAATCTTTTATATAACTATGGACATCACCAAGGGAAAAGTGGTACCCCCTGGAAAGCTATAGCTTACATTGCCTTTAATAACTACTTTTGCATTGCTATTATTCATAGTCATTTGCAATAACCTTATTAATTTAGGATTTTGAAATTTTTTGGAATTTGGGACTCATGTAAGGCATTTATTAATTTGCTTCTTATCACTCTATCAAAAGCTTGCCGGTAAGTGAAGACACTGAAACTATAAAACCAAATATGACAACGTTAATGAAAGCCGTTAAAGAACTAGGGCTCAAAATAAACACGTACCTACATTATGGGATAAGCAACGTCTTAAGGTTTTTAAAAATAAGGTATTGCGTAGAATATTCAGACCGAAGAAGGATGAGTTAACCGGAGAATTCAGACGGTTACACTATACCAAATTGCGTGAACTGTATCCGGTTAATATAATTGAAGTGATTATATCATGGCGAATCAAATGGGCTTGGTAACAAAATAATTCCTGAAAGGTTAATATTTGTTGTACCGCATGGTAAATGTCCAAGGGGTAGACCGAAGCAAAGGTGGAAAGATTGGGTTAAAGCCGATCTGAAGTGTCTGGGTTTGGACGGCGAATGGTGGAGGGACTTGTGAAATAAGCAATTGGTGGTGTTGGCATCAAACCTTCAGGTTCGCTAAGCCTTTTATTATTATATATTGGTACACAGAGGGACAAAATACATTAACTCATCACTGAGGTAGTGTAGGTTTCTATTACTTACTGTACTCTTACTTATTGGTATGGTAGTTAGAGATTTTTTATTTTATGGCTTCTTAAATAATCACAGAATGCAAATTTTAGAAAGTAGTTGGATAGTAGAACCAGTTTAAAATGATTTTAAACACTTTTTTTAAACCTTATTTATACAATATTTATCCCATTCAATTTTTTGTTGCATATATGGTTTTCAACTAATATTAACTTTTTATTATTTCCCTCAACATTAATGTTTAATATCCTGATAAATTCTTCTTCAATCTAAACTTGAAAGGATTTCACATTAAATTCTGATTTAAATCCTAAATTAATATTAAATTTACAAATGATTCCTTGGGTTATGATTCTTCAACTTTCATAGATATTAATCTTTCCCTAATTTATAGGCCAAAGGTCAACATGTTTTTTAAAAATCATTTAAAAAATTAAATTAAGATATACTTTGTAATGTATATCTTAATTTGACAAAATTGTATATTTCTTAATGTATTCATGTATTTTCATGTTACTAATGTGTTTGTCTTATATATCCATATAGGGAAGGTACTGTTTCTTGGTCAACAGTTGCAAAAGGACGTTATATGACCGAGATCATGCTCAACCGCCAGGTTTTTCCCCTTAATAAATTATTTACTTAAGAGCACGAACTTTATAGAGGCTGGGTGTACCCCAGGAGGGTCTCCCGTCCCAAGGATTGATTCAAAGTCGGAAAAACAGAATAGATAACTTACCAGCCATAAGTCTGATTTTGAACCTGGGACCTTGAACATTGCAAGCTCAACGCCCTACCATTGAATTACCCCTTATATATCCATATTTGCTACACTAATTCTTTTTTTTTTTTTTTTTTTTTTGTTAATAAGTATAACTAATGTATGTTATAGTCTATAATGTTTTTTTTTTCATTGATACTTTTTTACTTGATTCTAACTATTTCTAAAACTTTCAGAATAATAGGTTTCTGGCCAATGACAGAAGCACCAAAATCACCATTGTCAATTATCGAGGTTGCACTTTTTCTTAATTGTTCCATGAAAATGGCCTCTATATAACAATGAAATATTGTGTTGTCCGGAAATTAATGTAGATTTATGGTGTAAAAATAAGTCAAATAAAATAAATTATACTATTTTTATTAATCAAAATATGCTCTATTAGTCTTAATATATTTCTGCTACCAGTTAGTAACTCTTACATTTCCTCTAAATAGAATATTGAATCATTATTACTAACAAATTCTGAAAATGCATTTTCTAACAAGTTTTGATCAACAAACATTTTTATAATAAAAAAGTAGCCAAGGTGTCTAAAAAAATGGTAGTCAGTTGTCGAGGGATCTGGAGAGCAGGATGTTTGTTTCAGATTCAGGAAAGAAGTGCAGCAAAACTTCATGATAAAGACTTTTTTTTATAGTTGTTAAATGCATGAGGAATCCAAGTTTCAAGCTTTTTTACCTTTCCAATTGCATTGAGTTGATCAGTGATAACTGAGAGTTTCTCTGCAAGTTCTCAAACTCTTGTTCTGGGATTTTCTCCAACCAAAGTTTACAGAAAGTCTTCATATAGAAAGAAGTCCTTTCACGACCATCTTTGTCTTCAAGACTGAACCAAATTCTTTAAAACCATCATTGAACAGTGCACTTACACTGCCATTGTTCCTAACTTCATTAATATTTCTGGCTATTTGGGCTTCTTTTTGATCAAGTATAAACTCATAAAACAAAATAATGCCAAAATCATTTGACCTTGACTTCTTAGTAAAAATTGATTTATTTCCAAATAATGAAATGCTACAGAAGATTAAAAAGATTGTTTGGAAGAGAATTAATAAGTGTTGACATCCATATAAAAGATTAATCCCTCAAACATAAATCTTTTGTATATAGGGTTGATATAAAGAAAATGTGAAACCCAGCATTATTTTCTGGACAACCCAATATATTACAGAAAAAAAGAATAAAATAGTTTTATAAGTTACCTTTGATATTTAAGAAATTTTAATTATGAAATTAACTATAATTCACCCACAATTAGATGACAGTCTATTGGATGAACACATGTGGCACTAAGACGTAACTAACAATTGATTTTTTATTTACTCTTCAATTTCATTTTAAAAATATTTAAATATACACATATATTACAAATTAATAAATTAATCTTGAATATAAATGTATATTTGTAAATATTGAGTAAATACAATGGGAGAGTAATGAAAAAGAAAAGTTATTTTCAACTTATGTGACACATGAGTTTGCCCTCAGGCTGCCAAATAATCTTGGATAAATAATTGTATATTAATATGTTTTTGTTTGTGTGAGTATATATACTACTACTACTACTGCTAGCAATTTCTAACAGAATGTAAAATTTCAAAATCTCACCACCTAAGACAAAAAAAAAAAAAAAACATAAATATTCAGCTTGAAATTACCTGTGATAGGACTACCACCATTATCTTCTGGATGATGCCAACATAATGAGACACTATCATGCGATACATCAGGGTACATGAGAGGACCACCAGGTGGTCCAGGTTTGCTCACTACTATTACATCAATTTCAGCCGAATCTGAGCCATATTCATTTTTAGCAGTAACAATGTATTTCCCAGAGTCATTACGTGTCGAATCACTTATATGCAGCTTAGCTTCTGTATTTGTAGTAGTTGCCTGTGTGAAGTTTGAAATAATGAGAAAATTAAACCTATAAATAAAATCATATAGTAAAAAGTAAATCTTGAAACTCACAATTATTCTGTTTGTCTGTGGCATCTTATTTTCATTAATCACCCATTCAACTGTAGGTGTTGGTGCACCAGACATGGGAATGACAATATTTATTGGTTCTCCAGCTCTAACTTTAATTTTCTTACCAACTAAATCTGTTAGATAGAATTTAGGTTTCTCTGGAAAATTAAATTTATTTAAATAACTTAATTATTTTCAAAATAATAGTTTATTAGGTTCGAAAATTAATAGGGTTATAAAGAAATTATTTTACTGTGGCTTATGAGAGATAGTAAAAATAGGCATTTGGAATACACTCTATGAGTATTTCAGAATCATGACTTCATTGGTTAGTTTTAAAATAATAAGGACACCATAATGGTTTTAAGTTTATCTCAAAAACATAAGATTCACAATTTTAAATAGAAACAACAAGGGACACTCTCTAAACATGTCATATCTGTATCTGTTACAGGAAGGTGTTCCGATACTTTCAAAAGCACATACATCACACTACATATACCATTAAACTTCATAAACATAGGTTACAAATAGAAAAAACTAAATATTTATCAATGTTTACTTCAACACTATCCCTCATTGAATAGAGCTTTTTGTATCTTAAATTCTATGCAACAAGTATGTTAACTTTAGCTTATAAAGAGCCTTTTTTAATCTAACTGCAAGTTGGTCTTCAATTTTTACTATTTGAATGAGATCATTTGTTTTTTTTTTTCCTCTTTTTTGTCTTTGTAATCACTACCTAATTTTCGAAAAATAATATAATAATATTCTGTAATATTAGAAATTTATCCATAAGATCCCTGAACCATACAATATCTCTAAGATTCTTGCAATAAAAACTACATCTATTGTAGAGATTGCTTCACTTGTTTCCCTTTGACTCATCCAAAAGATAGGACCATTAGTAAATCAGTAGATAATTCCTTTAGTTATTATTCTGGTTTCTGGGTCATCTCCAGGATCAGAACCACAGTATCCTTCAAGGACAGCACTATTTGATTTACAAATAGTACCATAGTGCTCAGTCACTTTTAAATATTGAAATATACTCTTAACTCTAACTGGATCTTTATGTAGTAGATTTTATAATTTGTATGAAGCAACATATATGCTATGTACGGTCTTCTGATACCATTGGATAAAAATAGAGCACCTACTGTCTTCTGATACCATTGGATAAAAATAGAGCACCATCATCTAGTCTATATGAGTAATAACAGATATATCACAATGACTGAGGCTAACATTCATTCATTCATTCATTTCGAGCCTTACAAGAATTCTTCTAACACAGCTCCTTTGGTTTATAAAAATATACATCTTATTTCTGTAGTTGCTCTATACCCAGAAAGTGAAGTTCCTTGTTACTTATGTTAAATTCTGAAATTAATTGATAAGGAAAACCACTTATATAGTTTTTATCTATTGGTTCAACCAATCAATTATCAAAATATAATATAACAATGATTAGTTCATTTCTTTCCTCCTTATGGAATTAACATGCTTTGTTTAAATTTCAATTCACTAAAAAATCAGCAAAATGCTCATACCAGCATTGCATATTTAAGGTTTTTATATGCCTGAGATGTTACAGCAACTTTTTTGTCAAAATCGGCTTACCGGAAGTATTACTTTGTATCATTGATGTAACACATTTTTACGATTTTCTTGAAAATGGCTAAAACGATTTTTATTAAATTTATGATATCAGTCTAATTAAGCAGTTTTTAATATAATGTAGGTTTTATTATCATTGATGATCTCTAATAGGGCTTAAATGGCTAATTTTCAATATTAGCTTCCCCTAAAGTATCTTTAATTTTTTTATTTGAAACAATTAACCATTTCACATTGATCTCAGTAATAAAAAATAGTTAAATATAAAATATGAAATAATGTGATAATTAATTAAAGGAGAAATAAGTGATTGTAACAGAGAATAGTTGTAATGGAGGAACACGAGCGCACCCGAGCTCTCCCGAAAGATTAGATCAGGCTTCCTTACATAACATCAGCATAATATAATACAGACTCTGACAATATTATGTACATATACATATCTGGTTTTCATAAGTGCTATTGTTGGTATTATTATAAATTTAATTGTATAGATTACAGCGATATAAATATTAAAATTTGTATATATATATATATATATATATATATATATATATATGGGTACTTAAACAAATAAAAATACCCACAATGAAATATAAATAAAGAAGACGTCTATAATTTTTACTTTCACTTCCCCTTTGTCTGAAAAGACTTATTTCTGCTAAGAAGAGAGTGGTAAGTGAAAGTTGTGTGATGAGCGCACCAGATTTGTTTTTATCTTGTAGGCCTATTTACAAAACACGATTGTGGTTTTAAGGTTTGTCTACCAGCCTGTATGTCTCATTATCTTGTAATGCACCAATTTCATTCTTCACATCTATTTTTCGGTTTCCAACTTTATTCAGATTAATAGCCTCCTAATATGTTACAAGACTCTTTATACTATAGGTAAAAAAGTATCAAAAGTCTATTGATGAAACATTTTTGTAATTCATAAAATGCTAATGAATCAGTTTGCCTTAAATTATTATTATTATTTATTGTTTTTTTTCGCATTGTATGCTGTTAACCAGTGCTGGACTTAGACATTTAGTTTTGTATTATTTAATATTTGAATTTTATTTCATTCTTCATGTCTCTTATTCTTTATTAATAAGCTACAATTAATTTATCTCATACTTTTTATAATTTATTATCATTCCCAACAAGTGGTGGGTTCCCCCGGGCACTTACCCTTCCCTAAGGCTGGAACTGCTATAAACTATTCACAATTTGGTTATTTCCCAAGTTCTGCTTTTGTAAGTTCTACAGTTACTACTTTACACATGGGAATAAGGAACATAGCAGAACTAATGATTCCTGGGCTTTCTTCCCATAGGTCAATAAGGGGAGGGTGCCTTTTAAGTCTAGGATTCAATCATGCAAGAAGGAGTATGGCACTCTTCTAAGAATGCCAGTTTCTACACAGAGATCTTTTATATTTACTAACCAGACCCATCTATCAATTGTGTTGAGAGGAAGCAAAGGAAGCTAACCAAGATTTCAGTCAGCTTACAAGTAGCTTGTTAGACATTTTGGTTGAGACTAGGAGTGGGGAGGGCATAAGGCCTAGGTCTAGCCACTATATATAAGTCAGTACGCCCAGTGTCCAGGTTGAGGCTACATCAAATTTTTGCTTCATTTAATGTATATTTTTTTCCACATCTTTTCTAAATTTTAAATTTTATTTTTACAAGGAAAGATTATTTTATGCCCAATTAGTAAACAGACAATTGCCAGAGAAGACAATAATAACCCTAACATGTTCCATCTCTACATGTTTAGCCATTTTTCATGGCAAATACCTTATCACAGACGAAGGTGATTTCACTGTTAAAGAAACAACCAAGAATCCCTGGGGTATTCTATACAGAGTAGCTATGGGCAAAATGACTCTGATGCATACTATTGCAGATTTAAAACATGGAGAGCCACAGGTAAAAACTCCAGAAGAGGTTGCAAAAATATTAGTTGCGACAACATGCCCAAGGGATGACCCATCCCAAGACAATGAAGTAGAAGCGTTCATAAGAGGCGCTACGGTATATGCACCTGGAACGGACATGTACCCACCATAGATAGACAAAAAGTCAGGGCTAGACACTATTAATGCTGCGATCTTGAAGAACAGTATCCCCTATATTGAAGAACGGCTGTTGAACATCTTCAATGACTTTTCGCGAGTGGAAGATTGCTGATTTGAGAGTGATATACAAGGGGGGTGACAGAGATAAGCAACTTGCTAAATCATACAGACCTATCTGTCTCCTCCCTGTGAAGGGGGAGGTTCTGGAGTACCTCATATTAACGAGTCTGCGACCGACACTAGGTCATCCATGGCAATATGGATTCACCAGAGGTAAGGGAGCCACCGATGCTTTGCTCCACGACATTGAAGTGAAGCCAGAGAAGTATGTCATGTTACTTTTGTTTGTATATCCTCCAACTTCGATAGCGTGTAGTGGCCGATTATGTTAAAGCAGCTAAAAAGGTTTTGAGGCCCCTAGCAACTTGTATGCGCTGATGAGAAGTTACCTAGAAGCTCGAAAGGTAAGGATCTGAGGTTACTTCTATGAATTCGAAGAAAACCTAGAAAGGGGATGCCTGCAAGGCTCTGTCCTTCGACCTACCCCTTGAATATTAGTTTTGAATATTGAGTTGTTAGGGATACTCAAAGAGAAGCGGTTCCCTGCCACGGCCTATTTCGATGACTTAGCCATAGTGGTGGCATCCAACAGCAGAGCCGGCTTGAAAGAAGAAGTAGAAAGGTGCCCCAATCTTGTCAAAGAATGGTGAGAGAGGAAAAAGATGAAAATGGCTGCCGCCAAAACACAAGCTATACTTCTAAAGGGTACGACTGCCATGGCCCATCCTATTGTCATGAATATACATGGGATAAGGATTAGTCCAAGTGAGGAAGTGACCTATTTTGAAGGACGGTTCAGTAGAATATTCAATATCATTCCTTACTTGGATTACCTCAGAACTAGGATGACCCTAGCCCTCAATGGAATAAGTTGTATTGGGGGCACCTTCTGGGGCCTCAGGTACCTGACAATGATGACTATCTATAATGGAGTACTGTTGGATATCCTGAGGTACGCGTCCCCCAGCTTAGCATAGAAACCTCTCGCAACTACAGAAAAGAATATTGGCGACAATCTAGAGAACATCTATGCTGCAAGTAACAAGATCTTACAGAACTGTTGCTCTTGAAGGGGTGCAGGTTTTAGCAGGAGGGGTATCTCTCGACCTTCTGCTGCAAGAGGATAACATTAAGTATATTCTTAAAACAGAAGGCTCAGCCGGTCTTCCAGAAAATCTCCAACAGAGGATTGCTGATCCATCTAAATGGAAGAGAATAATACAAGACTCCATTGAGCAGAGGAATCGACGGTGGGTAACTACTCATAAAGGCTCTACCTTGAGAAAATACTTCCTAATGTCTATTTAAGGTTAGAAGTGAAATAGGTTCTGCTTGATTATTGGTTGTCACAATTTCGCACAGGGCATGGAGGGTTTTGCGGCAAGCTTCATGCCTTTGGAAAGGCATATGTGAAATAAACATCATAATCACTGATATTATATTTTGATTAATACTTTAACTTATAGACTAAAAGCATTTAACTTATGAATTTCTAATCACAGAGTACAATAGAAAATGAATCAATAAACAATATACCTTTCATCAATTTAGCCTCATAAATATCTGAGATATCACTAAACTTTCCAGCACCAGCTGCATTCACTGCACATACCCTATATTCATATTGTTTGCTTTCATGTACATGTGAGTCGACAAATTCAGTGGTCTAAAAAAATTAAATATAAGTAAATATTAAACAGGAAAAAAATAACTTTTGTTTCAAAGAGGTTTCGCCTATATCTTTGCTATCTATGAATGTAAAAGAATAATATAAAGTGTTTTTAAATCATTTATTCATATTTTAAATTATTTAATATATATGCTAGGGATATTATAGCAACTTCTTTTTTTATTGAAATCGATTCGCCAAAAGTGCCACTTTATATCATTGCTTATACTCTGTTATACAATTTTTTTCTTTACTGGCTCAAACAATGTTTATTTAACCCATTAAATCATTGCTTGATTAAATGGCTTTTAATATTAAATAGGTCTTAACCTCTTTGGAAATTTTCTAAATGAATTCATCAGCATAAAAATTTTTCCAGTAAATAAACTGTTTTCAAACATTTACTTTGATTGATAGAATTTAAAACAAAATTTAAAGAAAATTCCTTATTCAGCTTTAATATGTACAATAAAAATTGAGACACTACACTTTGATATTAACACTGCTTACTTTCATCTAAAGCACAAATAAACTACAAAAATAATCACCTTAACTGGATCTTTTGTAAGCTTGACCCATTTACTTGTCATTCTTTCCCTTCTTTCTACATTGTATCCAATGATCGGTGATCCTCCATTACTTATAGGTGGTGTCCATTTTAATGTTATTTGGTCTTTGTTTATGTCTGTAGCTTGAGGTTTGCCAGGTTTTCCAGGTGTATCTGAATCATCAATTAATCAAAACATTAATTTGTAAATTGAATGATAAGAATATACTGGTATTGGTACTGGTACTAGTGGAGGATTAATTTTTCAAGTGGGTCATGTGGTCCTTTTTTCCAACCACTGATGGCTTAGTATGGTACTAATCAGAATGGGGAGAGGGTCAAAATTCATTTCTTGAGCCTGGTAAGAAATAAATATTAATTAATCAAGGGAGGAATCAAACTTCCATCGTTAGGAACTGGGTATTCTGGGGCTCTCACCCCAACGTGCTTGATCATGTCTTCAAGAAAAATATAAAGTAAATTATGACTATTTCCTTACCAAATTGATTTTTGGCAATGACAGGTTTAGAAGTCACCAATGGTTCTGAGCGCCCCTGGAGATTTTCAGCCATTACCCGGAATTCATATGTTGTTCCTTCCAGCAATCTTGGAACAGTAGCATGATTTTGTGATGGGTTAATATTGCTCAAAGCAGGTACCCAACCTCCTCCATGTGACAAGTCTCTTTTTTCAATAACATAATTTCTAGAAAAAAAAACATAGTTTTAAAAATCAAAAGTTAATCACATTTAGTGGTTATCAAACACTTATGCCTTCAAATTACTATGCATTACTCAAGCGACGTACTAATTAATAATTTTATATATTGTAAAACATATTATTTTATCACATGGGAGACTTAAATTAGTTTCAGATGAAAATAGGTAACATTTATGAAGATATCAAAATTAACATAGTACCTTATAAATAAGCTTCAAAATTCTATTTCATAAGAGGAACAAAAGTCATAAAATGCATGAAATTCAACAGGAAAGATAAAAATAATCATAAAAATATTACACAATTATAAAATTGATTAGAAATAAAATTATTCATGCTAAGGTGTCATTACAAGGATTAGCTAATAAGATTGATAAATAAGAGGCCTGGTGGATGTACTTGATCTGTGACCTTATGGTGTTCTTAAGAGAAAGTGTTTTTTTTTGGTATACTAACTGTATCATTTATACTTTGACTAATAAAAGGAGTTTATTTTAGTTTTAAATAGTAGACCAGTAACCTTGTCATGAAAATGGAGGTCTAAGTGGCATTTAATGGAACTAGAAGGTTTCTTTTTACTTTGTTATATAGGATATATGACTGAGATACAAAATCCAAGCTTTCGACCTCGGTGGTGGCTACCTTGAGGTTGCCCTCACGTCCTTACCAGATTGGTTTGTGCTAAATGAATGTAGCTTTGTAATATCTTGCATAGGAGGAAGTCTGGCCAGGTTGAAACTAGTCTTGGCTGCACCCTTTGTGAAGAGCTGGTAGCGAAGGTTGTTGAGGATTTGACTGGACCTTCCTCCACTGTACAGTTCAATGAGGATTTTCTCCCTAACTTCAACTACTGGGACAGGTGTAGCAGGTGTATTAGGAAAAACTGCAACTTTCTCTTTAAGATCTACATGTTTCAGTAGTATTTAAAGCAATTTGTGTTTATCCTGACCGAAGAAGTAAGAGATGGAATCACAGCCATTGAAGGCTTAAAATCTCAATGAATTTGGTACCTTGCGTGTGACCCTTGAGACCAGTGAGAATGACCAAAAAGTCAACGCCCCCTCCTGCTATAACCACGGCTTGAAAATCAGAGGCCTTTCTGATATAGTGATATATCTGATATATCTGATGTAGTGACGATTAGCATGTCAGCTTCATTCAGCATCTTTTACAGCATAAAAAACCTCAATGTGTTTGACAAAACAAATGGTGTCTGTCATCAAGTGCTATCAAATCAGACACGTCTAAAATTCATTCCTTTATTTTGATGGCCCATTCACCACCTTTTCGTACAGCTGCTTTCAGTATGTTTAAGTTCAAGTACTTATCAACAGTGATAACAGGATATCTTTTTTCTGCGGTTTTTCTTCTGTGCTTCAATGAACTATTCCATGACTTTTCCTTGTGTATTATAATTGTGTAATATTTTCATATTTATAGAGGCGCCAAGGTAAAAAATTTAAAATTCGCATCTCAGTCATATTCCATACAAAAAATAAAAAGAAACCTTCTACCCATTTGATACAACTTATGATGTACAAGGTTACTGGGCTATAGACCCAGTAATCATATATTAAACAACTATATCCATCCTGAAAAAACATACTAATTTTCTGTAAACACCCATAACAGGAAAACAATTTTTGGAAAGTAACATATTTCCTTCCCCTAATAATATATTTTATTAAAATTTACATGTCACTTTTGTGCATAAATATTTTCCAAAAAATGAATAATACACTCACGTTATTTCACTACCACCATTGTCTGCAGGAGGATTCCAAGATAATGTCACGCTAGACGAGGTGATGTCTTCATATTCCAGTGGAGCTCTTGGTGGGCCAGGCCGATCTGATAAAAATAAATGAAACTAGAATTTAAACAAATAAAATAATACAAAATTAAATTAATAAAATTAAACTTACCCAGAACATTTACTTGCATAGAACCCTCATCTATCCCTGAGCTGTTTCTTAATAACAAGTGGTATAACCCACTATCAGATCTTTTACAGTTAACCGTATGAACTATTGTATGATAACCAATACATGATATAGTTGTCCTTGAATCAGTTAGTAATTCTTTACTACCAATTGTCCATACTGCTTCTGGAGCAGGCTCACCAACAAAATCTATAGCGATGTGCAAAATGGTGCCAGCTTTTACAACCATATCATTCAAAGGAGTTATAATCTTTGGTGCCACTGTAATGTATAAAGTAGAAACAAAAATGAATGCTTAAATTACTAAATATAGTAAAAAAGGTTGGATGGTGGAAATTGAGAACACAATAGAATAAATACTTATCATTAAGGTTATCATTATGTATCAGCATATTTAATAAATGAGTTTTAAATTATATATATTTTTTTAATTTATTAGAGTTGATAAATAAATATTTTGTAAAATTGTGACTAAAGACAGGTAAGTGCCATTAGTTGTCATTTCATTCATAAAACAAAAATTAGTCAACAAAATTAATAGGGATGCTTACTGTGATTGACAGGAAAAAACTTATATATAATAATATTTCTATGAAGAGAAGGATGGTTGAGGTGATCAGTCAGAAATAAAATGGCAAAAATAAATAATAATATTTATTTTAACATTTTCTAACGTTTCGACCTGAAGTTCAGGCTTCATCAGGGCTATTCGAATAGATTACTTGAATAGAGTGAGTCAATTGTTTGAATAGAGTCACTCTATTCAAGCAATCTCTTCGAACAGCCCTGATGAAGGCCTGAACTTCAGGTCAAAACGTTGGAAAATGTTAAAATAAATATTATTATTTATTTTTACCATTTTATTTCTGACTGATCACCCCAACCATCCTTCTCTTCATTATTCACAACAGTCAACCATAAACCCACAATTAATAATATTTCTATTTGTTTATATTCTTTTTTGTTCTTGAAGGTTATAGATTTATTTTTTTATAAAGATTTGAAATTTTTTGACTATAACCTTCACACTTCTAAACACTATTAATTTTGACATTTCGAAATTATTTTTCCATTTTCAAGTACATATTACTTAATTGCATATTATTCATCAATTATTTACAGTTTTTTGTGTGCTGCCATTATTAAAATCCTAATTAGTTTAACTATCTGTGTTTAAATTGTCATTTAAAAGTATATAAAACAAGGAAAATATATTTAATACCTTTTGAATTTCATTATGTAAGATTACCCCACTGTCTTGATTCTGACTCTAGACAGTACGAATCACTTAATATTTTATTATTGTATTGTATTTTAAAGGAGATAACTAAAGAAGTTTCATTAAATAAATAGAATTAGTCAACATTGTATCATTTCATTATTAATACACTTTCCATCGAGATGGTATAAGAAAATGTTTATTATACGCCTAAAATAAATATTTTCTGAAAAATAAAAGCTAAAAATAAGGCAGATCAGCTCATTAGGAATTCATTATATCAATTTTAAACATTTTACAGTTTTTTTGGGCAAAATTTCAGAATTTGGAGTAATCCTTTTCTTTAGTAGACTCCTCATATACCCATACAAATTATAAATTACTGCTAATAAAATTAAGTTCTTGCATGTGATGAAAGAATATTGACATGTTTTGCTTAGTTGCAAAGAATTTTAAATGTGATGTTTTTGGGTTTAATTTTCATATAATTTATTTTTTATTAACATATCATATTTATATTACACTTGGTGATATTAAACTCAGTAAAATTGTGGGGACAGCTACTAAAATAAATAAAGTAAATGAGTTACATTCTAACAAATATATCCTATCAAATATACTGGACTTGGACAATAGAATAGTAGACAATAGAAATGAGACAATAGAGCTGTACGCAGAAAACTGAAAAGAAATAGTCCAAAATAGGCAAAGATGGTGAAGATTGGTTAAGGCAGCCAAACATCTTCGATATCTGAGAATCGAATTACAAAAATAAAATTATATACTTACAGTATCTTTGTCTTGTGATTATTGATTCAGTTGGTTCACTTGGCAAACTTGGCCCAGCCTTATTTACAGCAATTACACGAAATTCATATTCATGACCCTTTATCAAATCACCAATATTTGCCTAAAATAATGAGAAAAATAAGATTTAAGTAAAAATTATACACGAGAAAAAGATAAATTTTTATAAATATAGCCTCTATAAAGGATTCTTTCAATTTTTGATTCTATGCTATGTGTAAAGGCTATTAATAAATTTTACCTTACTTTTATAGATTTAATGTTTAATAATGGATTCTAATATCGGTGTAATAATTATGTGTCATCTTCAAATTAATAATTTATAAAACTATAATATATAAATCTCTTATATCTATCTTATAATTTTTTCTAATAAAAAAAATTGATGGGCTTCATCAAAATAGGAAGTCTCATTTCACTGATGCTTCCTAGATCCACTCAAATAAAAAACAATACCTGAGTCATAAGATGAATCAGGTTGTCAGAGCACAGTTTTCAATTGCAATTTCACTCACCAATTCATTCAGTATGTTTATAAATTTGTAATAATTAAGTAAAACAATTTCAAATCAAAGGTACATTGACTTTTTTTTATAATCGAATCAAATAAAAAATTATTATAATTTAATGAATTCGAAATAAGAATTTTTTTTTTGTTATTTAAACTGATACAATTTCTATTTTTGGATCCCATATCATACCAGGCAAAAATCAACAATATATCTTCCAAATCTCCATTTATGCTTTGTATTAAGGAATTTTAATCAAATATTCCAGCATCTCTTAATTTATTTATTTTGTTTTGTCAAAGTGCTACTTTATCAATATAGCAGGAGAACTCACATGCTGTTGACTGTGCAAGTCTAACCATACTATAACTATAACATCAGTAGATTTGCACAGAGGTGTCATCTTCACAAGATTCTTACCAACTGCTTAGGATCAACATTAAAAAGTAGAACATAAAATAAAAAAACTCATAATTCTAAAAAAAAAAAAACAACAAATAAATAATAATAAGACATTTACAGGCTATTGACAATCAAAAATTAAAATAAAAAAATATATAGTAAGTCATTTTAACGAGGAAGATAATCACATGCTTGCTCTGATAGTATATTCTCCTAATCTATTTCTTTTCTTCGTAACTAAGTTTACAGATTTGGAAAAGGCTTGTTCACTTGGGACACTTGTCACAAGTATTGATAATATACTATTTCTTAAATGAGGCAGATTTTTATAACTTTTCCACCAAAAAATAACTTTGGTTTTTTTAGGTTCATACTGCAATCCATTATTTCCTCATGATCTTGATTTATACATAGTAGGAAAACTATGTCCTTTTAAAAGTGAATGTGATATTTTTAATGATAATATTTTATTAAATTGGCAGCATTTCACACTCTCTCTATTAGCTTCAAACTCTTTTCCTTCTAAACACGTTTCTTTTTCATTTCTTATGGCTAATTATCATCCTCGATTTCATCAGTTTCATTAGTATAATCATAAATAACAATTTAATTAAAACATGTTTGTTGTTCTATCTTTGAACAATTAATTAAATATTTTTATATTTATTACTTAAATCTCTGAATGTAGACACGGAATTGTGACTATTCATATGAAAGTTCATTTATTTGTACGAAAGTTGATTCGGAAGTATATTTATATAATCCGCAGAGATATATTCACATTAGATTTCATAAATATATTCACATTGTTATTACGAACAGAAAAATAATATATTCACATTATATTTTGGAAATACATTCACATTGGTACTACAAACAGAAAAAATATATAATTTTTTATGAATATGTACAAATCTATAATAATTTAATTTTTTTTAAATTAAATTCATCATGGTTTGAACCCTATGATCCTTCAGCTTGAGCCTTAAGGTTTGAGGTCCCAAGGCTTTAGAGTCGAGTCTTCACTACTCAAGCCTTTAGGTTTCGAGGCAAAGCTCGAGTTAGAGCTTGAGGCTTATTTTTACAACCTTGAAGCCTGCCCACTTGGCTTTCATGGAATATTGTGGAACTGACTTATTTTATCAAGATGATTTTTATTTTATTTTATTAGTTCTAGTCTATTTTTTTTCCATTATATTCATTTAAAAATAAAAACAATATGTTAATGCTATAATTTTTTTTATAATAACAGATAATTACTGTTATTAAATTATATCTAAATTAAATTTCTGTTAAATTAGTTTTGAGAAGACCTATTGCTGAATATGTACCTTTTTTTTTTAATTAATCATTAAATACCTTTCCAACAATAAAACTGTATAGGTCAATAGAATCTTTTTAATAGGAAAAATGCACAATAGGACTTACACTAGTTATTTTTCCAGAAACAGTGGCAGCATTTGACCAATATGGGCTTCCTTTCTCTTTTTTCTGCACAATATATTCTAATATAGGTGAACCGCCATCAGACTTTGGTACAGTCCATTCAATCTCTACAAAGTTTTCTCCCCAATCAATAATATTTGGTTTTTCTGGAGCTTCTGGTTCATCTACAAACAAGTTACCTTGCATTTAAAATTATAAATAAGCAGGAATTCAACCTATATAGGTATCTAAATTTACATATATATATATATATATATATATATATATATACATACACAATATTCCACAGTGGGAGTCTATAACCTATGTGTAATGTGTCCCAAGGTGGCAGATAGGAGATTGCAAGAGTGTTTGTTAGATATAGAGAGCTAGAGTGAATTAAAATATTTCTTACTGACCACACAGAAGCTAGATCAAATAAATAAATAAAAAGATGCAGGGTCCAAAAATAATAAACCGTAAACGACGAGTCAGCATGTAGCAAACCTTATGGTGCAGAGAGTCAAATTATGGTCCAGTTCTGACATCTAACAGGAATCACAAAGAGAATTTTGAGACATGATCCACTGACTTTAATATTACAGCAGTGGACCACTTGGCCAACAATAAAATCTAAAAATCAAGTGAAAAAAGAAGAACACAATTGAGAGTATTGCTGAGACAAAATTAGAAATTTTCACAAATTTGTCAACATGCCCTTAACCAGATTAAAGCATAAGCGAATTCAATCCATATGCTTTAATCTGGTATTGAGAATAGATAAAAACTCAGGACAATACAATTACTTCAAGGAAATAGTTGCGGAGTTCAGAACAAATCGAGTTAGTAAGCCCTCCGAGAGGAGTCTTGAGTAACCACACCGAATCCTTAACAGAAAATTAAATAGAGGAAGAAAAATGTGAGGCCAAGAACATCTAATGGACTAAAATAATCAGTTATCTGCACTTTTTCTTCTACTTCTTCAATAGTGCAATAAACCATAAAAGATTCTAGCTTACACTTTGATATTTCCGTTTAAAAATCCCTTCCTAATGCTGTGGCTACATTGGAGCCGTGATTCATGCAATCTGATCATATATAATTGTTGGAATGATTAGTTTTCTGATGTTTTCTAATTATTCAACATTAATTACAATTGTATTTATTTGATGTGCAACCTAAAAGTAATTCGAAATTCGGTATTAAAATGACAGTAATATCTATTTACATTTTATTGTTATATGATATTTTATTTGTGAAATTTTTTTGTGAGAGTATATGTGTAGTTTTTGAAACTTAATCTGTTATTGATTAAATGTCAAAATTAAATAAATATCACACTTATAATGAACAACCAGAAAAATGTGTTTATCGTGAATGTATAAATAATCTTTTTTTTTTATCATTTTTAATATTATCTTCAATGTTAGTTACATGGTTAAGTAAAAAATTAATTTTTTTTTTTATATTCACATACATGCAAAATTTAATAATTACAATCCAACAAGAATGTGGAAAGCAAATGGATTGGAATGATGGAATACACAGTTTTTAGAATGAGCTATAATAATAATAACAAACTCCCATGCAGAGTTTCTAGTCTCCCATCAGGTGCCTCAAGTGGATGAATATTCACTGGATATAGTGCATATAAAATTTCCAAGATAATTAGGCGGCAGCCTGGTCAGTGTCTGTTCCCCATATCAGGAGGTCATGATGGCTGAACATGTTAGAGTGATTCCAATTTTAGCATTCTCGTGTCTAGCAAAGTTTGTTCAAATCTGACTGTAAATATTTTACTCCTATTTAATATTTACCAATACTTAATAATCCCTTTAGAGCATTCTCTAAGATTGTTTAATCCCATTCGTTCGACTTCTTCAAAAAAAGCCTCAGTTCAGATATTTGTTTCAAAGAAGAAACACAACAGTATCCAAAATAATTCTCATAATTTTAAGGCATTACTGGAAAAAAATTTCAGAGGCACTGATGCAATTCATGAAATTTTTAAATATGAAGGGGAAGGTGTCTTTGACAAGCGCACTGTGCAGCGTTGGTTTGAAAAATTTAGCAGTGAGCAGTGGAGATACGACGTTGGAAAGGAAGAAGGGCTCCAGGCGACCATCAATGGATATTGATGAGGTTCTGCAGGAAGCTGTTGAGTCAAATCCGTCCACAAATACTCAGGAACTTGCCCAGGAGTGTGTTATTATTATATACTGTTAGTCCCCATCTACTCTCCATCAGGAAAGTGAAAAAGAACAGTATACTGATCCCTCACAAACTTTCTCCTCAGCAATCAGCTAAGAGGTTAGAAATTTGTGCAAATTTATTGAAAAACTCTTCAGAGATGAGATTGTCACCTGTGATGAAAAGTGGGTTTACTGGGGGAATCCAAATACCCGTGAGCAATGGTTAGATCTAGGTCAAATTGCTTTTTCAATTGCTGCAAGGGGGCAATTTGAAAAAAAAAAAATCCATGCTTTGAGTTTTTTGGGATTGTAAAGGTGTTATTCATCCCAAATCTGTTCCTGATGGATGCTCTATGAATTCTGAATTCTACTGCAAACACCTGGAAAGATTATAGGGGAAGTTGTCAGAGAGTTATCCTGCTTTGATCAACCGAAAAGGAATTTTATTCCATCAAGATAATGCTTGTCCTCAAACTTTGAGTATTAATTGTATTTTATATCAAAGAAATAATAATACAAATATTTGGTTGAAAAACAGTCATTTTTTTTATACACCCTATTACATAAAATTATTTTTTAAAAATTGAGTAGAAAAGTAGGTAGGTACACTTATTTATTAATTTACTTTAAAATAAATTCATTAAAAAAATATTGCAGTTTTTGTTTATTTTCACCAAAAATAGCCATAAGAAAAAATATTGACTCTATTGTCAAGTTGACTCATTTGATTTAGAAAAAGAAAACTATGAAAATTGATACCTTACTCAAGTTATTTTCAGTTAATTATTTTGTAAACATCCTGCTCCCCAATGGAACCCCTGCTCTCCCAATAAGATTGCTTACTTCATAAAACCAAAGGAGTGACATGAAATCAAGTTTTTTTTTTTGTAAGAATAAAAAAAAATTATAAGCCCAGTTTAAAAGATCCCACTTCTAAGAGAATTAATAAAAAGCAGGGAAAGTTTTCTTTTGTTTTGGGTTACATTAATACTAAACAAAAAAAAATTTTTTCTTACCATATTCATTTTGTGCTATTATTCCAGTTAATGTTGCCAATGGATCAGATTCTCCTACAGCATTCACAGCCCTTACTCTAAAATAGTATTCTTTTTTGTGAATCAACCTTTCAACAACAAAATTTAAGGCAGGAGACATTCCTGCATCTGACCATGTTCCTCGAGAGGTATCCATCTTTTCAATTATGTAATGTAAAATTGGAGAACCACCATCATCATCTGGTGGCTTCCATGAAAGATGTACATTTTCTTTAGAAACGTCAAATACAGTTAATGGACCCTTAGGTGTTGAAGGTCGATCTATGAAACAAGATAAATCGAAATATACATTTAATTGAATAATAGAATAAACTGAAAGACTATAGAGTTGAAAAAAAACAAAACAGAATAGATACTAATAAAAGATAAAGTTGAAATTTTTACAAACATATATGAGCAATAAGTTCTTCATTAAGTTATGATACATACCAATAACATTAACTTGTGCAGATGCTTTACAAGAACCCAATTCATTTACCAATGTTAGGCTGTAAGCACCAGTATCAGATCTCACAGCAAAAGGAATGTCTAAAACAGCCTCATTGGAAGATGTAGTTATATCAATTCTACTGTCTAAGTTTATATCTTTATTGTTGACAGCCCATTTAGCCTTAGGTATTGGTGATGCTTCAAATGGGATTGTAAAATTAATTCGCTGACCGACCCTGACTGTAATGTCTTGCATAGCTAATGGGTCAATATGAGGTTCAACTAAAAAATTCAATTAAAGTAAATAAAATGAATAAAGTAATTCAATGAAGTGACTAAAAAGAATATAAGAAAAGTTTCCAAATTATTATAACATTTAAAGAACAGTTTAAAATAACATGTGGAATATTCATACATATATATAATATATATATATTCTTTTTTTTTTTAAATCATAATATCTCAGACATATATCTGAAAAATATCCCACCTTATCATTGACAACTTAGTAAAAGTGCAACCGTAATTACTTGGCAACTGAAGGGCAAACTCATGTGGCTGTAAGTTGACATTTTGTTTTTCCCCCAAAACCCTCCAAAATTAACAACAAAATATTTAAAAATATATATACAGTGGCTCACAGTCAAAATGATACACTAGGATATTGATAAAAATTATTGAATGAAAACATAGTCCAATTTATATTACATTGAAAACAATAATTTATTGTAATCAATAAACCTCATAGTAATATGTTCTTTGTGTATAAACAGACAAATATGAATCAGGATTTAATAATAAAAATAAACACATTTGTTTATGATTGACTTAACCCACAGTGAAAATGATACACCTTTGTTATTCCAAATATTTGTTTAGCATGAACTATTTTCTTTTAGTTAAACTGTTGTGTCGAAAGTGTTTGGTTCTTTTTGAAGTCAATTTAGCAATATCTGTCACATATTTGAACTTTTTCAACGATGAGAGTGCATACAACTTTTAAAGAGCATGAGTTGATCATTCAATATTTTAATGATGAGAAATCTCTTAATCAAATAGCTGAAACTATTTAAAAATACTATTCAGCTGTCCAGCATATAGTGGTGAGATACAAGAAGGAAAAGCATATTGCCAGGAAAAAAACTACAGGAAAAATTGTAAGTTATAGGAATGAGACATTGAACGGCAGAGAAATAAAACAAAATACATGCCTTAGTGCACCCAAAATTGCCACAGAACCACCCAAATGCTTAGGTAAGCCAGTAAGTTCAGAAACAATAGGGCATGTGCATGGAAGAGTAGAGTGAAAGAAACCTTTTATGAGCAAATAAAATCAAAAAGTTAGGGTACAATTTGCAAATGAATATTTATTGATTCAATTGACAGCAGTGATATTTGCTGATTGAAAGTAAATTTAACATTTTTGGATCCAACGAACGTTCATATGTGTGAAGGAAACTAGAAGAGCTGACAAAAAACCATTTACGGCCAACCGTGAAACAAGGGGGCGGCAGTGCTATGGTGGCTTCTAGTGTAGACAATTTTTACTTTATAGATCGTATAGTGAATAAACATGTTTCCATAGACTTTTTGAGAAGAAAGTGAGGTAAAGCTGGGGCTAAAAAATAAATTTTGTTTTTTTCAAAATAAGGACTCCAAACACTCTGACATGTTAGTTAAGGAATGGCTACTTTATAACTGCTTCAAAGTTATAAAAACTCCACCACAGTCACCAGATCTTAATGTGATTTTTGTTTCAAGTCCTGCTTTAAACAGGAAGTGAAAAACATGTTTTTCGTATGCCTCCCATCCATATCACTTTTTAATTTTTTTCTTTTCATAAAATATTTTTAAATTTTGATTGTTTATGTAAAATAAAATACAATTCATATTGATTTTAAAAATTAATTATGAAATTAAATGGACCAGTGAAACACTTTATCATCATTAGATGCCCTTCTGCTCCCTGGATAAGATAAACACCTGGAAATATGAGAACTGATGAAGAGAAGAGATGGTGCCAGAAGATGTTTTAGGCATACTCAAATCTCAGATTATCATTTCATCTTCAAAATCTTACAAATCCTTCTAACATCACAGCACGCCAAGGCACAGTATCCTTTATTATTCATAGTATCCTTTCTTGAGCTCTAGACCCTAAATCTAAATTGAAAATCCTAATAAAATTATCTGTTAATGGTTCCACATTCTGTAATTATTATCCAGTCTCATCTGATGACCTAAATTCCTTTTTTTTTTTTTATACTTTTCCTCCCTTTTCAATTCCTTAAACAATATTTAATCCCGATAGCTTTCATTTCTTTCACTTTACTCTTGATGACTTAATTACTTTCATAATCAAATAACAAACAAATGACTGTGGTCAAGACCAAATTTCAGTAAAAATGATTTAAGAGAAGAAGTTGGTCGGGGGAGTGCGGTCAATATATAATACTATTATGTAATATAGTGCACATTGAGTGCACCCCTGATTAAGTTCTTCTCTAATTATAACTATGGTCAACCATCTCCACACCATTAAAAAGTATTTAACTCTGCCTTCCTGCCATTATCTCTGCCTTTGTTCACATATATAATTCTTTCCTCAGATTTTAGACCTATCTCCATCTTGTCAAATTTATGTAAACCTCTGGAAAGAATTATTTATTATCAACTTATTACTTCTTGAGAAAAATGCTCTTCTTAACCCTATCCAATCTGGTTTCTGTTAAGGTTACTTCAAATGTTCATGCTGAAACATCCCCAATATAGAAAACAGATATATTTTTTTCATTGGTCCATATTTGTACCTATGAGTGATCTGAGCTAAATACTTAAACAATCACAATATCTATCTATCTCAGCACTACAACTCAGTGTTGAGTCTTGGCCTCCTCCACCAGCTTCCTCCAGTCCTATTTGTTCTATGTAGCTGTCAATCAGCTCCTGACTCTCAGGATATATCTTGCATTTCCTGACACACCATCTGACTATCTCAGTTTTAATCTCCCTCTTCTTCTGGTAATGTGGAGAGGTTCAGTCAGAATCATCTTAGGAATTGTCTTGTCTTCCATCCTAGCCACATGGCAGTCTTCCAAACTTCATTCTAAGAACGACACCTTTTTCATTAAAAATTGGGTAGATTTTGATGTTTATTTGCCTTCTCCAGTGTCAATTGAGATAAACTCCTCCAAAAATTCTTCAAAGAATATTTCTTTCTAAGATTAGGAGGTCTTGCTCAATTTTTTAACTTGTCCTACCTGTTTCCAATCCTATGACAGGACTTGGCGGATTAATGTCTGGTACAAATGTAGCTTTGTCTGCTAGGATAGAAGGCAGGAGGTGAATTACTTGAGGAGACCAAAGTAATAACACTTGTTGGCCATCAATATTCTTCTCATCACCTCAAACTCAGGTATTATTTTTAAATTATAATGAATACACAACATAGGTGCAGAATTTCCATTTTGATAGGGGAGAGGGTGATGGACCAAAAAAAAAAAAAAAAAAAAAAATATTGGTAGTTTATATTATGTGTAAAAATTCAATATAATTATTGTGAAACGAACAAATATAATATTGGATATTTAAAAATAAATATACACATATGTTTAGACAGTTGTAGAATTTTCGTAATAATATCTGATCAAAACAGTTGGATATATTACAATTTGTATACATTAAACATGAGAGTAAGGGGGTAGCCTTCATAACATAGGTACATTTATAGAACTTTTTCAACTAAAAATGAATAATGTTAAAAATTTAAAAATACTTATGATTTCTTAGTTCAATTCTTAGTACACCCTCCAAATAAAAATAAAACGTTTTCACAGTCTGAATATGAAAAACTTTCTATAAAATATATTTATACTTGTATTTATTAAATATATTTTTTCCAAATTAATTGCAAACAATATATAAGAAAATCGTATGAAAATGAAGATGTCCAAATGATAGGTGAATGAATCATAAAATCCAATGATATGTATCTATATTATTATTCCTGAATATACATGAAAATTTAAACAATAGGAATATTTAGGTTGTTATAAAATAGTTACGTATCTACTAATAGACCTTAGATTATGCCAGCTAGTCGACTTTTCTTATTTTCTTAAACGATTTTAATTCATATATTGTAGTCATTCATGTATCTTATTTGTTATGAATTTTAATTGATTTATTTTACTTCAAATTATTATTGGGGGTTGGGGCGACCGCCCCTCACTCCCTTCCCCGTAGTTTATGCCTATGATATAAAATACTAAATATAAGCACATGTCAAGAAAAAATATAACAAATTTATAACTTGAAGCATTATTATTCTTGTAATTAATGTTTTTTAATTTTTTAAAAACATTTCTAATGTTTATTTTTTTACAGGCCTCCAAGGCTCTTTAAACATCATTTTATATAGTTTCTTTCTTTTTCATCCAGAGTAATTACCGTTTTGATTCTGATGGAAAGAAAGAAAAGTTTATCTGGGTCATTTATCTTTTACGTGAAAAATAAAATATATTATTACTGTAAAATATTACATGCTATTTTCTCTCTCTCTCTCTCTCTCTCTCTCTCTCTATATATATATATATATATATATATATATATATATATATATATATATATATATATATATATACAAATTATTTAATGTTTTGTTTGAAAAACCTGTTTAATACTCCAAATATTCTATTTTAAATGCTGGTTTAACAAAAAAATTTCTTACTAATAATAATCATAACTGGTATATATAGGAAACATGCCTGTTCTCATTGAGCTAGGAGATGTGTTTTTGAAAGATTAGAAGAGAATACTAATAGAAAAATTAATAGAGCATTTTTAAAGTGAAAACTGGATAACTATATCATTTGTAATTAATTAAAATCAATTGATAATGTCAGGGTTAACTTTGAAAATAATATATAAAAGAATAGACTGATTACAGCCAATGTAAATAGGTGCTAAATGATATAAACAATAATAATTTGAAAAGTGATATACCATATTTTGGTTTGATAACAGGATCACTAGGTTCACCAGCACCACCTTTGTTAACTGGTATTACACGGAATTCATAAGCTTCTCCATCTTTTAACCCACCTATTACACATTCTGTTGACTTTCCAGGAACTTCACACACTTTTTCCCAATTGCTGTAAAAAGAAAAAGAAAAAAAATATATATATATATATATCTGTTTTTAAAAGGAGCAAGAAATGTTTTAATGGAAATGATAATATTACAAAAAATAATATATCAACAAAGATTCGCTGTATAACAAAACAGAATATTTGAATCAAGATGACAAATCAGTGACAATTTGAAAAAAATTAGAGATATTTAGATATTCTTTTTAAGAATTTACTTAATCTCTACATAAATTGATTTCTATTGTGATTGTTAGTGGGGAGTCCAAGAATCTCTTCCATTTGACCAAGCAGATCTCATTATCAATAAGCATTATTTCATTATCAATATTACTAACATTGTTCTCAATCTGTTTCTGGTCAAAATTTTGATTAATCGTTTAAAATTTCCTAAAAATTTTTTTTTAAATTTTTCTAATGGCTGAAAAAACATCATTTGGATTCAAGTATACTTGAATTTCGCTGTAAAATACTGTTGGTGGAATAAATAAATAAATAATCTTGTTACTTAAATCTTAAAAAAATAATTTACTATTGGGTTGTTTAAGTTTTAAAAATTATTCTTATAATTTTGCCAGACTTGAAAGAAACATAGGAAATAAAACGTATCAAGGTGACTGTTATCATCAAAACAATGCTCTGATAAGATAACATAACCGCTGAACCGCCAACAGCTCCACTGCTTCAGGAGCGATCAGATAGAAGCAGCTTAGATATGACATCATACCTAGACTGTGTAGCAGCACCAACGAAATAGGTTCCTTTCTACTTCATTAAAGCAGTGGTCAAAGGCAAGCAGTAGTTGCTGTGGGTAGTACTAGCGAAATAATACCTTTAGTTGATCATTTCTTGAGGTACTGGTACTGGTGGGGGGACTTAGTCCAACAAATGGACCTTTTTGCCAACCCCAAAAATTTGATACTACCAGTGGTTGTCTATTGTACCTCTATTCTGTCTCAAACCTTTTTGTTTTTCTAATGAAGTTCAAAAGGTTGGACCATTTTGTGGAGGCAGCTTTGCATACTAGGATTCAGTCTGCTCTCAGAAGTCTGTATCTGAGTGACACAAATCGGTCACATTCCGTTATGAAGTGAAGGGCAGTTTCAGGTGCACTTCTGCAGAGATTACAGAGTTCATCATCCACTATCCCACAGATCTTTAAATGTCTTTTAAGCCAGCAATGGCCTGTTAGTACTCCGATGATGAGTCGGATTTCTTTCCTAGTTAGGTCCAGCAGCCACTTTGTTTTGGAGGGAGAGGGACTTTTCATAAATTGCTTCGCTAAGCCCTGTGCATTCCATCCATTCTTTACCTGTTTTTTTCCAAGTCCAATCAAGGACTTCTTTCCGCTGATGCTTTTTGGATATTTCTATTGCAGGTTCCTGGCCTACAATAGGAAATTCAGCTCTTTTCCTTGCCTTTAATTGCCTTGCGACCAGAAACCCATACTAGTTCCAACCTCTTGGAGCAGGCCAGTTTCTCCAATGCCTGTTTACACTCCTGCACTAGTGTGGAGGTCACTTTGGGAGACTTCAATGCTTGTAGTGCCGACTGTCTATCCGAATAGATAGTGATACCAACATTCTCCCAATTGGTAACTTCTAAACAAGTAGCTGCAGAAAGTATAGCAAACACCTCTGCTTGAAATACTGTAGCAATCATTTCTTGAGGTATTGTGAAGCCAAGGTATTTGGAACTGTCTACTTTCGGAATGATTCTTTCTCTATGCATATTCCACCTTTTGGCTGAGAGCTTTTATCTTCCTTTTTTTTCTATATCACTTATGTGGATTTTTCTTTGATCCATTTTGTGAGTTTTTGTTTTTACTAAAGGTCTATCACTTTTTTTATCTGTTTCATTTAGCAGGCCTTTAAAATCCATGGGTCAGAATTCATTCTTCAGCTCAATTCAGATTGAATTGAAGCTATTAATATATTATATTACAAATACATCGAAGTATTATAGTTTCTTTAGCTTAAATTTCCCTAGTAGTTGTATTAATTTAGTGAATTATCAAATAAATTTCACTGACAACCTATACCATTAACCCTTTAATTGCCACAGGCAGCATATTCCACAACAGACTATGCCCCAGTTGCTAATGATGGCATATGTCAATGCGTCTCACTACTGCCCTCAGTGCTAACTACAGCACATGCCGAAACACTGGTTTTCTTTCCATTTGCTAATGTCGAGTATAGCCAACATGACCTTGTTTCATTCTACTGGTTTCCTATTGAAATAAAGCTTCTAAATAGAGCCTACAGATGGCTTGGGGATTTACTTTGGAGCTTTTCTTAGAGAATTTATGAACTGTTGTGGGTGACTACGTGTCTGACTGTCTTGACCATTCTTCTTTTTGCGTTGTGTGTGAAACAACCATCAGTTCAATTGCTCTTAGTCTATATGCATGTATAAAGTAAATAGAGTTGTTTACTGTTTAAGTTTTAACATAAAAAAATCAATGCTTTACTGACTTTCTATTATTATTATTTTGGAATTTCGCACTTTCTTGGCTTTAACCAGAAATATTCACCTACCTAGACCTAGGTCAAGGGTTAGGCTCAAATTTTAGATTATGTTTAAAAATTTGTTGATGATATTTTCCGTGCCAAGGAGAACTGCTTTCTGCCCTTCTTCCTGGACTTTTTCTGGCAGTTTCAACTTCTCAATATAATGGATGGTATTGTCTGGGATGAGGTCATTGATAGAGATTAACACCGGAAATATTTGTATATTATTATTATTTTTTTGTTTGTTCATTTCAACAATAATTACGCTTGATTAGATTTTTTGTATAGCTGTGTACATATTAACATTTAAATTACTGTATATATTGTGAGAATTGTTAGTGTTAATTTTATGAATTTAGCCTACTGTTTATGTCTTAACATTTAAATCAATGCTTTTTCTTGACTTTTTTGTTTTATTTTTTTGATCAGGCTATACTTTCTCTCTCTCTCACTTTCTCTCTCTCTCTCTCTCTCTCTCTCTCGTTCTCTCTCTCTCTCTATATATATATATATATATTCTTTCCAATTTAACTATAAGTATTCTTGAAAAGATTTTATTTTTATCTTTTAGTGTTTACATATTTTTATTTAAATTACTGTATATATTATTGTATATTTTATTAAGTTAGCCTACTGTTTATGTTTTAATGTACAAAATCAATGCTTTTTCTTTACTAACTTCTGATATTTTTTTATTTTTTCAAGGTTTTGCTTTTTTCTTTCTACATATATAATGTTTTTGTTTTGGTTATTTTTCTCCATTACTATAAGTATTCTTGAAAAGATTTTGTTTTTATTTGTTAGTTGTTTACTGTATTATTATTTTTATTTAAATTACTTTATATATTGTTAGAATCGTTATTAAGTTAGTTTTTAGCCATATATGTATTTTTTTTTCTTTTGGTAACCATCTTACTTAGCGCTGTGATAGATGTAAAGCTCATCAATTGCAGCAGAGAAAAAGTTAACAATAAAATCTTTGATACAATTTTAAATTTTTTAAAGCAGTAGTAAATTGAAACTTTTTCTTCGTACAGCTTTAAATCTTTGTCACACCGACATTCTCATTACATAAGAAATAACTTCAAACCCCTTAAGTGTTTGGCTCATTATAGTTTTTAACTTTATGACTTTTCCTTTTTCAAGTTCATAATATCAAGTAGGTACTTTTATTCCAATATATCAATTGGTTAGTTGTTTTAGGTTCTGTACTTACCGAATTCTGTTCTTACAACTTAAAGTATTATAAAATTATCACAATTCATTGATAAGTTGCTTAATATTTTGATTTAGACATGATATTGTGATCAAGGATTAAATCTAATATATTTTAAAATAGAGTAAACAATTATAAAATATATATAAAAGTGAATTAAATTAATTATTATATATTAATTAAGGCGAATTACCCAAAAAGAGGTCTCTTTTCAATTATGTATTCAGTAATAGGTGAACCACCATCTTTTTTGGGATGAGTCCATTGTATAGTTGCTGATTCCTTTCCATATTCTAGACACATATATAGTTTAAAGAATAATGATATAATCATAAATTTATATATATGTATACAAAATATTAGAAGGAGTATAACCTTTAATTACTGGAGTTCCAGGCTTTTCAGGTTTTTTGTAAGGATCTTTTGCAGTTATAGGTGACTGTCCTGTAAGTGGTAATGATTCACCAATTTTATTTACTGCCTTTACTCGAAAATTGTAATTATGTCCTTCTATAAGATGTTCAACTCTACAAACAATTCAATTAAACGTTATATACCACTACTATTTCATTAAAAATAAAAAAAACAAACCACATCAATGAGATAAATTTGAACAATATACCTTAATTTTGTACTAAAACTGTCACCAACAGGAACCCATCGAAGACTATCACTGTCCATCTTTTCAACGATATAATGTGTAATATCTGAACCACCATTATCGCGTGGGGGTTTCCATAGAAGTAAACATGAATTTTTGGTGATTTCCGAAGGGCTTAAAGGTCCTTCTGGAGGCTGTGGAACATCTGACAATAAAAATTATTAGATGATTCATATAATTTGTGACATCATAAGTATTGACTAAACTACCATTTATTGTCTACATTTAGAGATAGTAATTGATTAAAAGAAAGAAATATGCTAAACTTGATATTACAACCCTAAATAAATAATAAAATAGATTTAAAAACAAAAATAAACATGTCCAATACTTTAATATTTTCTCTTTGGATTCAAATAACCATGATATTTACATCACTATAGAAATAAGGAAAATATTAGATCAATCCTAAGGCTTTACTGGCTAAGTGTATTAAACAGCACTTCAGAATTCTGGTATACTGCATGCCAGAAGAAACTATCATGCTCAGCTTTCCAGATGACCTTGCAATAACAGTATGTGCAAAAATCCTAAAAGAAATAACATACAGAACTAGCAAGGCTATAGGTACTATTCTCAGTGGGCCCACTGAGGCCTCTGAACTGAGGCAGTACTCATTATCATAAGGAAAGTGAGGGAACAAACAGGCAGACCACTAGGGAAATAAACATCCAAACCAAGACATATATTAGATATCTTGATTTGTAAATCAATACTTGGTCATGGTTTGATGAGCATCAGCACATAGTTTGCATCAAAGCAGCATGGGTTATGAGACGAATCATGCCCAATATTGGTGGACTGAAACAATTTTGGAGAAGGCTATTAACTACTGTTTTATCAATTCAACGCTATTGTAAGCTGAACCAATCTGAACAAATACTTTTCTGGTTCAGTCATATAACGGTAAGGCTATCAGAATGCATTGAAGAAATGCCATGCATGTTGCTTGAGTATTCCAGACTGAATCTTATGATAATGTGTGTGTGACAACCAACATTTCTCCAATTGATCTGCTCGTAGTGAGGATAACCAGTTCTGGTACCAGAGAGCTGGTAGACCGAGACTGAGATGGGCAGATGGTGTGGCAGGTGATGCTAGAGACTTTTTGCGAGTCAGAAACTGGAAAGTGGCCGCACAGAATAGAGAAATTTAGTAGAAGCTCATTCAGGAGGCCAGGACCCAAAGGGAGTGGGAGTATAACATCCTCATTCCTATACACAAGAAATGAAGTTCTAGTGACTGCAACAATTACAGACCCATATGTCTCTGCCAAGTGGTCTACAAGCTCTACACATCCATCCTTGAACGAAAGTTGAGAGAAATCGTAGAAAGAAACCTCGAAGAAGAACAGGCAGCATTCAGACAGCACCATCAGACCCAGGACCACATATTCTCGCTCAGGACTATCATTGAAAAGGCATGGGAACGAGGGAAGAGCATGTTTCTAGCTTTTCTTGATATCAAGGCGGCATTTGATTTGGTCCCTAGGCAAGAAATATGGGCAGCTCTAGCCGCAAAAAATGTACCCAATGCATTAATAGAATCTATAAAATCCACATATCGCAACACAAAGGGCGTAATAAGAATAAATGGAAAAGAATACAAACCTTTTGAAATGAAAAAAGGATTAAAACAAGGAGACAGCCTTAGCCCTCTACTGTTCATAATATTCATGGATGAAATTCTAAAAATATGCAAGAGGAGAACAGACTGTAGTTGGGAAGTGGAATATGAGGACAATCCTTGCACAGGCTATGGTTTTTGCAAAAGACATTGTTCTCATAACAGATTCAAAAGAAAATCTGCAGCAAGCAATCATAGAGTGGGAAGCCGAGCTGGATAGCAATGCAAATAAGAGCAAGGTAATGTGTATAACAGGAAATGAAGAAAATGTGGAGATCTGATGCAGAGGAGAAATCCTAGAGAAGACTGAGGAATATACATACCTAAGTACAGTCATCAGCAGGAATGGAAAAATTGATGGGGAAGTTTCCAACCGGATCAAAAAGGCAAATAATGTCTACTACCAACTATGCAACACAATTGCTGGAAAGAGAGAAGTGGACAAAAATGTGAAGCTGCACATTTTCAAGGCAATATACCTACCTACTCTTCTCTATGGAAGCGAAAGCTGGGTCCCACTAGACAAGCACTGGAGCCGATTAACAGCTGCAGAAATGAGATACCTGAGGAGAGTGGCTGGCCAAACCAGAAGAGATCTGGTCAGAAATCAGCGAATGCGAGAGGACCTGGGAGTTTCAGCTGGAAAAGAGGTGGTTGAGAGGAAGCAACTAAAATGGTTTGGCCACTTTTGCCGAATGGAGGAAGATAGGGATCCAAGGAAGTACTTTGAAGCTAAGCCAACTGGAAGACGTCCCCGGGGCAGACCTAGGCTAACGTGGACGGACCACATCTCTAAGCTGGGACAGCAAAGAGGACGCGGGCTGAATGCCATGAAGCGCTGGCCAGAGATCGGAATGAGTGGCTGACATGGACTGAGGCCCCTCCACGCTGAAAGGCACAAGGAGGAAGAAGAAGAGAGAAGAGAGAAAATGAACCTTGCCTTGGCCGACCAATCGTTGAAAAAGTCAATGAAGTTCTTCAAAAAATCAAGGTAAATCGACATATTTCATTTGACATATTACGGCATCGTTACAGATATAGTTATAGATTAGGAAACAGTTTTGAACCATTTACATAAGGCTAGATACCAAAAAATAGCATTGAAAAATTTAATAGAACAAGTTTCCATTTGTGAATTGCTGCTAAAACAAAACAAAATTGATCCATTTTTGAACAAATGATAACGGTTGATGCACTAGCGGATTCGGGATTTACTTTTGAGGCTGCATTTCTAAAGCTTATATATATATATAAAACAATAAAAGGCACAAAGAAGAAAAAGAAAGAAACTAATTACCTATATGAAATGGTGTTTTAAGTGTTTCTTGAAGTCCAATTAAATGTAATTACACATACAATAATACTTTTAGAGATAATTTTTTAATATTTTTTTCTTAAGACATGGTTATATTTTACCACTTTGAGGGGGCTTCAGCCCGAAAGTTCTCTCCGTCTCCCATACATCCACCTATGGGCTGATGAAAAGTAGATCACATATGACAATAATGTGAAAAAAAAAATTGTGGTCAAAGCCTGGAGATGCTTCACAGACAGTGGCAAAGCCCAGATTGACGCCAAGGAAAGTAATGCAATGCTGATTATTTGCTGGGATTGGTAAGAAATTGTTCATCATGAGCTGCTCGAACCTGGCGAAACCATTAAGTCAACTCGCTACAGTGAACAAATAGTTCAAAGAAAAACAGCCAAATTGATCAATAGGAAAGGCATTGTCTTCTATCATGGAAATACTAGACCACAAACATATTTAATGACCTAGCAAAGACTGAGAGAGCTTGGTTGGGAAGTGTGGATGCATCTGCTGTAAATCCCTGATTTAGCCCTGTACTCATCTGACTACCATTTGTTTCAGTATCTGCAGATTGTGTAAAACTCTCTTAATGGTTTAAACCTGGCATTGTGTGGCACAAACAAAGAGGATTGTAAAAACCATTTTGTTCAATTTTTTGATCAGAAATCTCTGAACTTCTCCAGTGATGGACTCATGGTTTTACTTATGGCCTTGGAATTAGAGATGTTGGATAAGGATTGGTGGAAATAAAGGGCTTTCGGCGTCTAGAAAACTGAGTACTGTTTCGGAGCAGCTTGAAGGTGATATAGTATTCTTGGAGTCGGGTGCGTTTGAACTGCCATTTTGCAGCATCTCTTCTTCACATCAACTCCCTCAGAGCGGGTGTCAGCCAAGGAGTGGGGAGATGTCAGATGGATTTAGTTGAAAGAGAACCATGGCAGTCAAGGATGGTGTGAAGATGATTGGTAAAGGTTACTACCATGGTGTCAATACTGCACCAATAAAATGGCAAAACCATGATAAACTTCATAATTAAGGATCAAATACAACTACACAACCCATTCAAACTTAACTATACATGTACATAACAAAAGTATAAACCTAGCATATTAGATTTCGCTCACACTTAAAATTTACAAAGTTATTCCAACTCATGTCATTAACACACCATAGCTCAGATCACAATGCTGTGATTTTCCAAATTGGAGCCACTATAACCTCTTATTCCAAAATAAATAGAATCATGTTTAAAAATGCCACAAGTTTGGAAGGCACTAGATTCAGAAATATGTATTAATTTGTCAAAAAAATGAACAAGAAATAGAAAATAGCATAATCAAATTTAAGGAACGTCTTATACAGGCTATGACAGCAATTATTCAACAATTCCCTTCCTAATTTTATCAGAGTTATTATATTTGGAAAATTTATAAAATAGTTCAAAAAACAATTAATAAAAATTCCTCCATTGAAACAGACTACTAGTTTTGTCTACCTGGAGAAAGATAATGCTGAATTAATAGCCAAACACATCCAAGGTGCACATGTTACTACTTCAAATTTAAGTTCTAACAACTATAATACAATTCTAAAATCTCAAAATTGTTTCGTCACTATGTTGAAGTAACAGGATCAAACGAGTTTTCATTTTTCTCATGAAACAGGTAAAATCATAACAAAACTTTTAACAAAAAACGTTTCAGGTGATAATGGTAATCAACAATACTAGCAGAAAAAACATGATTTGTTTAAAAAAGATATATAGTTCAATATTGAGTTATCAATACTTTCCCAGTATCAGGGAAACTATTGTAATTCCAAAACCAAAAAAAAGACCCAAGCGTAGTTTCGAATTACAGGTCCATAAGTCTATTGAATATCTTATCAAAAGTTTTGGAAAGATTAATATTCAAAAGACTAAATAGACATATCAGACAAAATAATGTTATAATAGATGATCAGTATGCTAAGGCTTCAGCCTGAAAGTTCCCCTTTATAGATTTGCCAGTGGATGATGATGGGGAGTTCAGAAATTGAGGATCTCTACCAGAGCTTACACCAATACCGAACTTCTGTTTGCTGTTTATTTTCTTTTTTATTGTATTAACTTAAATATGAAACACTTCAGTGTCAAAAAAAAAAAAAGAATGTTTATTACCCACAAACCACTGATTAGGTAAATAAAAATAGAACCCAACAGCAGTTCAACAAGAAAAACACAAGGATGTTGTTCAAGGGCTGATGGCTGAAACCAGACTGACTCCTAGTTAAAGCACTACCAAACTTTTGCTCACATTGATGAACAACCTTTTGGAATTTAAGTTTACTTATTGTTACAGTACTAAGTAGAAATTACTAAGCAAAATAAATACTGAAAAATTTAAAAAAAAAAGATCAGGATTTGTGAGTAAAAACCTTGAATGATTTAAACACATATAGATTACCTAGTACAGTAATGTTTACTGTAACAGTGTCAGAGCCATTTATATTCTTGACAAACAGAGTGCAAGGACCTGAATCACTGCGTTTGGCATCAATAATTTTCAACTTAGTTCTATAGTCTTCATTAATAACTCTTATTCTTTCATTGCTAATAATTGGATTTCCTTTTATTGTCCATTCTTTAGATGGTGGAGGTTCTCCATAAACTGGTACATCAAAATCAATATTTTGTCCAGCTCTCACTTTTACATCCATCATAGCATTTCTGTCAATTTTAGGTGCCACTGAAAAAAATAAATAATAATAGCAACAATAAATATTCAAAAAATAAATAAATATTCTAATTATTCAAAAAAAGGTAAATTATGCATTCAATTCAATTAATGCACTTATTTTTACATTAGTTACCTTAGTTTATAAAACCCAATCCGTTTCAATTGTTAATTTAAAAACATTTGATTGATTATTAATTTTTTGTTTTTAAAAGATTTTATCTATATACAAATATGTATATATATATATATATATATATATATATATATATATGTAGTGAACGAACTAAAAAGGTACAAAAAACATACCTTTAACAGACATTCAAGAGGTAAGATGGTAAGATGGCCACGAAACAAGCAGTGACACTGGAGTAAGATGTATTAGTCTGGTTGCATCTAAGAATCTAATCGGCAGCAGAAAAATGTTTACACATAAGGACATCCACAAGTACACCTGGGTAAGCCCCAAAGGTGAGAAAAACAACATTGTTCAAGTGCTGGTAGACAAGTGAGCAGATTGTGATTCAGATCAAATTTTCATGTGATTCAAATCGATTGAACCGAATTCACAAAACAGAGGATCAAATAGAAAAAGAAAGAAAGAAATACAAGTTCAGAAAAATTCTGAAGTAAAACCAAATTCCAATTTGAACTAAACAATAAATTTGATTCCTAGGACTGAGAGACCCTCATGGTGGACCAACACTGGAAGGTAATAGAGACAAGAATAACAGATACAGCTGAAGAAGTTAAAGGTATTCAGAAGAAACAAAAACTTAAGAAGTGGTTCAAAGAAGCATGTGAAAAAGTAGAAGAGGAAAGAATAAAAATGAGTCCTCTATCTAGCCAAAACTGATCAAGCTACTCTGGACAATTATATTACCACTAAGAAAAAGACAAACAAAATTATAAATTTGGCATAAAAGGAATTTTTCAAAAAAAGATTGCAAACCATAGAGGACAACTGCCAGGCTGGAGATATATACAAATTCTATGCAGACATCAGAAAAGGAAGGATAGGATATAAAGCTAAAAATACACAAATGCAAGGAAATTAAGGCATTTTGAGGGCAAAAGATATTGAACATCTGGAAAGAACATTTTCTGTAGCTTCTCAATCAAGGAGAATTCACGAATGATGAAGACATGGATCACACTGACGACCTCGACTCATAAGATGTTGAGGTAGAGCTATCAAAAGGCCCTAGGGATGGACAATCTACCATCAGAGCTGTTTAATGATGGGGAAAAAACTAAAGAGCCAAGCTAAGTACAACTAATCCAGAAAATATGGGAGGAGGAAAAGATACCAGAGGCATGGAACCCAGGTCTAATCTCCTCTATCCTAAAGAAAGGTTCCATATATGAGTGTAGTAATTACAGAGGCATAGCACTCCACTCCTTCCTGTTGCCTTCAAAATAATAACCAATATCCTACTGAACCGGATATTTCCGTATTATAAAAATATAATAGGTAACCACCAAGCTGGATTCAGAAGAGGAAGGAGCATGCTTTACCAGACCTTCATCCTAAAACAAGTGCTCAAAAAAAGATAGAAAGCATAATAGTTCAGAAAAAGCATGCCTTGTCAATTTCAAAGCAGCCTATGATGTTCACGGGACATACATGAAATTTACAATGGCATGTACAGATGATCCTAAATGTTGAGTTTTAGTACAAGAAGTATCTGAAGCTTTCAAAGTTCAAACTGGCTTATGGCAGAGAAATAAATTCTCACCAATGTAGTTCAACTTAGCGCTGGAAAGTGTAGTAATAAGAACATCACATAAAAATAGAGGGGTGCACGTCAGGATGAAACATAAAATCCTTATATATGCATATGATATAGCTGTTCTTAGAAGCAATCAGGAGGACATTGAAAAACTCACTAAGATTCTGATAAGAGAAGCAGAGCAAGTTGTCCTGCAAGTAAATAAAGATAAAATAAAATATATATTAATAAGCTGAAAATTCCACCTTGACAACAGGATCTGTGCAGAAGGGAAATAGTTGCAAAGAGTATTTAAATACAAATACCTTGACTCCACAATAACCTCATTGAATGACCAATGGTCAGAAATATACCAGTGTATAACTAGCGTTTAGGTGACCCAAGCCTTGAACGGACTCAGTCGTGTTGGGGGTGCATTCTGGGGCCTCAGATACCCTGCAACGATGACGATCTATAAAGGTGTTGTGCTGGGTATCTTGAGGTATGCATCTCCCTCCTGGTATCGGAACCTCACACAGCGACAGCGAAAAAGGTTGGCGTCGATCCAGAGGATGGCCCTGTTGCGTGTCACCAGAGCATTTAGGACAACGTCACATGAAGCAGTGCAGGCCCTAGCGGGGGCGGTACCTCTCGACCTCCTACTGCGAGAAGATGTGACCAAGCATAAATTCAAGAAAGAAGGCTTGGCTGGAGTTTCAGAAAATCTACGGGTGAAGATTGTGGAAAGTCCCAACAAATGGAAGAAGATAATCCGGGAGGATACGATTGAGGAATGGAGCCGTCGGAGGGTTGCTACCCTGAAAGGGAGTACTCTCAGAAAATACTTCCCCATCATACAGTCGCGGTTAGATGCACAATGGATCTTTCCGGACTATTGGATTTCACAGTTCCTCACGGGGCATGGGGGTTTTCGAGCTAAGCTACATGGCTTTGGCTAGGACATAGATCCCCAATGCCCCACTTGTGGAGTTCTGGAGACTGTCGAGTACGTGGTCACGGCCTGCACTGCATTTGAAGGAATAAGGGCAACGATGATGAGAACCGCAGGAATTTATGTCCTAACAGAGGATGAACTTCCTCAGTTGGTAAGTAAGGAGAACTTCCCTCGGTTCAAGAAATTCATTTATGACTGGAAGGAGGCAGTGGGTCCAGCCCACTTCAACATCGGAGCACGGAGAAGAGGACCACCACCAAGAAGACCGCCGGAAGACGGACACCCTTGAAAGACGTCACCAAAGATAACATATTTTAAACTGTTTCACTTGCAGTAGTATGCTGTTATGCAGTCATGCATAACAGCCCACTATTGCAAACGCCCGTATGGCCCATCAGGCAAGGTAGGGTGGAATGTAAATAAATAAATAAATAGTGTATAACTAGCGCTCTCAAATCTCATGCCATGATAAAGTCAGTTCTAATATATGACTGTGAGACCTTGACACTAACCAGCGCCCTAGAAAAAAGAGTTTGAAAGATTTAAGAGGAAAATTTTCTGCATGATGACTGGAGCGATCTGGGACCAGAGTACTAACACATGGCGAAGTGTTAACTAACCAATGAAGAACTGCTTACAGAAACTGGTCAATCAATATCCCTATGATATGAAGGCACGGAGGTTAAGATGGGCGGAGCATGTAGCTCGTAGCAATCCATCTGGAAGCCTCTATGTAACAATGAATGCCTCAATAGAAGGCAATAGACCACGTGAAAAAAACAGATGGATAGATGGAATTAACAAAGATGCAACAGAACTGCATGCAGATAAATGCAAAGAAATAGCACTAGACAGACAGAAATAGAGCAGGCTTGTTTAGGCAGCAAAAGATCTACATGGTTTGTAATGCCAACAGAAAAAAAATAAAAATATATATATATTTAACTAGTATTTTTCATAATCTCAAAAGAATAAATAAAAATGCAATGTTACAATAATGTTTTTACCTACTACCCTTTCTTCTGAAGTCATTCTTTAACCACTATCTTCTTTTCTTGATAAATGCCTACCCACATAATTTCTTGTGTATTCAAAATATTTACAACTTAATATTTATTTGGGCCACAGTAATTTAATTGGCTCATATAAACTATGTCAGTGATCAGTCATGATGCATTCTACTTGATTCCAATAGTGATGATGTCTGTGTTTTGAATCTAGTGGAAAGTTTTATTCATAAATGTGATAATTCCTTGTTACGTTATACTCAAGTGAAAGTGAAAATTTAATTTACTGAACCCCAAAGAACCAAGTAATTAGAAAAATATTGAATATGTGCATGCAAAGATTAATTTATTCAATTACAATTAAAAAGTACGTACTATTTTTGGCTCTTGCCACAATGGATTGACTAGGGTTACTTGGTTCACTTGCGCCTGCTTTATTGACAGCTCTTATTCTGAATTCATATTCACTTCCTTCAATCAAGCCTGGTGCAATTCCTGAAGTTTTATCCCCAGATACTTCAGCACAAGGTTCCCAGTTATTGCTGCAAAATATAAGTAAGAAATCTCTTAATCAACTGAGAAATGTTAATGTCAATATTAATAAACCCATAACTTGGTATACTATTTCAGAATTTTGATTTTTCCAATTAAGAAAGATAAATAATTGTTTACTTTCATTTACTTATAAGTCAAATATATGGTAAGGAAAAGTATTGTGATTGTGAAGAATTGAAAATTTAAGTTTTCAATGGAAATACACGTTTTGATTTAAAAAAAAAATATGTTCACAAAATGTGTGTGTGCGTGAACAGCCTAGCTCAAAAAGGAAAAGTTATACAAAACTGAAATTACATATTTAAGGTAGGTATATGCCTGTTATGTTACAGAAACCGTTTTGCCAAAATGGACTGTCTGGAAAGGTCACATTATGTCTTAGATTCTACAAGTTTCTAAAATTTTCTCAAAAAACGGCTCAAGCGATTATGAATAAACTCGTTATATATATATATATATATATATATATATATATATATATATATATATAGGGGGGCATAGGGCTAATAACCCTATCCCGTCAAAAACAACATTTTAAGAAACCTAAAACTAGCCTCGGAAAATCTGACTGTCTTAACACGGTAACTACTTTGTATAATGGATTCCATATCGGACCATGGAATGTTCGGAGTTTATACAGACCAGGAGCCGCCCAAACGGTAGTTAACGAAGTAAAAGGTACAACATACCGTTAACAGCCATTCAAGAGGTAAGGTGGCCAGATGGTGGGGAAACCACTATAGACGGCTACACACTATTCTACACCGGGAGAAACGACAAAAATGGGACAGCTGGCACTGGATTTATAGTTAATCCGGCCGCAAGGAAGTCAGTAATAAACTTCACCCCAGTTAATGAAAGGATAAGTGTGCTGCGCGTAAGAGGTCGTTGGTTTAATATCACGATTATTAACGTGTATGCACCAACCGAAGAAAAAGAGGATGAGGTGAAGGACGATTTCTACGATCAGTTAGAAAAAGTTGTGGACCAGGCTCCAAAACATGACATAAAATTAGTCATGGGAGACTTCAATGCCAAGATAGTGTCGAGAAACCCAATTTAAGCCCATCATCGGAGGCCAAAGTTTCCACGAAATTAGCAATGACAATGGAGTGAGATGCATTAGTCTGGCAGCAGCTAAAGGTCTAGTAGTAAGCAGTACGATGTTCCTGCACAAGGACATACATAAGTATACCTGGGTAAGTCCTAAAGGAGCAAAAAGCCAAATCGACCATGTGCTGATAGACAAGAGGCATCAAAGCTCCATACAAGACATAAGGAGTTATCGTGGAGCAGACTGTGATTCGGACCATACTCTGATTAGAATCAAACTCTGTCAGAGGCTGAAGCGAATCCACCGAATTGGGAACCAATTGGAAAGACAGAGGTACGAAGTCCGTAATTTGAAAAACCCTATAGTACAAGCTGAATTTCAAATTGAGCTGAAAAATAAATTCGAACCCTTGAACTCGGAAGGTCTCACGGTTGACCAACACTAGGAGACACTAGAGTCAGGGCTAAAACAAACAGCTAAGGAAGTAATAGGGATTCAGGTAAAAAGAAAAGCCAAGAAATGGTTCACAGAAGCATGCAGGAAGCAGTGGAGGAAAGAAGAAAAGTAAGAAGAAAAGTCCTCTGCTTACAAACTGATCAAGCTATGCTGGACAAATACTGCCAGGAAAAAGACAAACAAAATAATAAGAACAGCCAAAAGAGAATTCCTCAAAGAAAGATTGAGCAATTGACAAACTATTGAGGAAAACTGGCAGGCTGGAAATATATATGCGAATTCGTCGCAGATATCAGGAAAGAAAGGGTAGGATATAAAGCGAGAAATACACAAATGCGAGAGAAAGATGGCAGATTGACGGCATCTAAAGAAAAGATCCTAAGCATCTGGAAGGAACACTTCCAGCAGCTGCTTAACCAAGAGCACCCCACAAACGAATAAGTGGGCACGACCACACTAAGAACATCGACCCACTTGAGGTTGAAAAACAAGATATTCTGGATGTGGAAATAGCTATCGGCAGGCTTAAAAGAAAAGCTCCAGGAATAGACAACCTAACATCAGAATTGTTCAAGGATGGGGGAGAAGAACTCATTAGCCAAGCTATTAGATCTAATTCAAAAGATATGAGAGAAGGAACGGATACCAGCAGCATGGAACACAGGATTGATCTGTCCTATTCTTAAGAAGGGCTCCATGTTTGAATGTGGCAATTACAGAGGCATAGAACTTCTTCTGGTCACCTATAAAATAATGACTAATATTCTGTTAAATCGGATGTATCTGTATTATGAAAACATAATAGGCGACCATCAAAAAGGATTCAGGAGAGGGAGGAGTACGCTAGATCAGATATTCATCCTGAAACATGTACTTGAAAAACAATGGGAATTAGATCAGGACGTACACGCATTATTTGTCGACTTCAAATCAGCCTATGACTCCGTTGACAGAAACTGTCTCTGGAAGATCATGACTGAGCTGGGTGGTCAGTGGTTTATATATATATATATATATATATAAAACAAGTTTATTCATAATCACTTGAGCTGTTTTTTGAGAAAATTTTAGAAACTTGTAGAATCTAAGACATAATGTGACCTTTCCAGACAGTCCATTTTGGCAAAACGGTTTCTGTAACATAACAGGCATATAACTACCTTAAATATGTAATTTCAGTTTTGTATAACTTTTCCTTTTTGAGCTAGGCTGTTCACGCACACATCATTTTGTGAAGATATTTTTTTTAAAGTCAAATTCTGCTAAAACTCAGCTCATTTTCATTGGTTCTAAGACCCTTCCTTAGATCCCATACAGACATTCCCATACTACACCTTAATGACCAGCCAATCTTCTTTTCCTCCTCTGTTAAAATTTTGGATTTTTCATTGATCAAATTCTCTCCTGGAATCACCGTATTTCCAGGCCTCCACATCTACCCTCAAAGTATTCCATCGCTTCCTTTATCTCCTACCTCAACATTACAACATTATATACTCCTGGTTTCCTCTCTCATCTTCTCCCACTTTGACTACAGCTGTGTGGGGTATTATGGCCTCTCGGTGGAACTCTGTGATAGACTGAAAAGACTAATGAATATCTGTGTAAGATTTATAATTGGGGCACTGAAATACACCCATGTCTCTCACTACTATACTGAGTTAACATGTCTCTTCCTCTCCTTCCAAAGACAATATTTCCTAGGCACGTTTCTCTATCAAATCATCAACAATCATCGTCCTTCTTAAGACTACAACCTTCTCCAATTCAAGTCCTACGTCCATTCCCTTTCCACAAGATCTCGACCTTCTGACCTTTAAATCCCTTCTCACAGATCTGCCTCATTCCAAAACTTCTTTGTTGCTCTCTCTGTCAATTTCTGGAATTCCCTGCCTATCAAAATTCGGCATTCCCCCTCTATATCTACATTCAAAACCCTCCTATTCCAATTAAAGTCCCAAAAACAGTCAGATATCTGCTAACCTTTTGGCATTACACATTTATTTCATGTCATTCATCATCAAATGTTAGTACTATTCTTTGCTGGGGATATTACAAGATTTTCCTAGTCTTGACGCCACTGAATGCATCTATTGCTTGTTTTTTACTATTATTTTTTTTTTTTTTTGTGAAATTAAATTTGTACCTATAGTGAACTCAAGAAATGATTATGATGCATTTACATATTATTCATCATTTAAATAATCAGGAATTTTATATTGTCAGATTTGGCTTTCTTTTTCTTTGCAGAAACACAGAGCTTATTTAAAAAAATAACTTAATGTATTTTTTATTTATTTTGTTTCTTAAAAGTTTATATTTATAATGTTTTACCACTCTACAAAGTTTTAAGTGTCTTGTCATAGTTTTAAGTGTTTTGTAAAGATTTTTGTATATAAGATTATTTGTTTTATATATGGCATATTTAGCTAATATTTCTACATTTTTTTTTCTTTTTTGTTTTTGTTTTTATTTAGGGAGGATATAATCTTTTAATTTTGTACTATTTTGTTATTATAAAGGGACTTTGTCCTATAATAAAGTTATTTTCTATCTATTCTATCTATCTATATCTAATAATAATTAACTTTTTATTTAAATGTGTTTGTGATAGAAGTTATCGATAAAATCAGAACACTTTTTTTAATTTTTCAAGTAACATGCAATTATTTTTTAATATTTGGGTTTTTTCTTTAATCTACACTTCCTTTAATATTTTGAACCCGGCCATAATTTTTGGCAATTAATTGTTTTAAATGAATATGGTATACTGTCTATAATTTTTACTTTCACTTCCCTACATATGAAATAACTATTTGTATACAAGGTAGAGTGGTAGGTGAAAGTTTTGTGATGCACATACTACACTAGATTTATTAATACAATATTTTTAATTTTATTGACTTATTAATTTGAACATTTATTCTAAATAATTTTTTCATTTATGTATCATAATCATTTAATGCAAACATTCTCTTTCATGAAATAAATGGGAAAAAAATTCTAAATTATGATGAGAAGATATCAAATTTTTGAGAAAATTAACTCAAATTTTATATTTTAAATTTTATAAATGCCAAATAAATAATACAGTCATAAGCTAATCAATAAAATGAGAGGAAAAAGAAAGATACATATTTACTTATCTTTTACATATTTACTAACTCTTATACAAAAAATATGTAATCAATAAGATCTATAATGAATAAATATAAGGCTTATAAAGAATATATTTTTATAAAACATGAATATTTTAGTAAATACATTTGAAATATCATAATAAAAAGGATTAAAAACAGAAGAAAATTTAACTCAGTCATCTCAATTTTTAAAAGAAAAAGTCGAATTTTAATATTTCCTCACAATTAATCAATTAGTTCTGATTTAATAACTAAGGAAATAAAAAATAAAAAGCAAACCTAAATTTTTCTTTCTTTTCAATAATATAGCCGGTAATGGGGGATCCTCCATCTGACTCAGGTTTTTCCCATTCAAGTTCTACAAAGTTCTTATCATAATCTTTTATGATGGGTGTACCAGGTTTACTTGGTTCATCTATAAAAATGGAGCATGATGTTAATTTATCAATTAAGAATTTATTAGGTATTTAAATTAACATATTTTGACAAACCAAATGGATTCTTAGCTTCAATTGCTTGCTGTGTGGTTAATGGCTCAGATTTCCCTTGTTTGTTCACTGCCCTGACTCTGAATTTGTATTTATGCTTTGGTTGAAGACCTGTAACTTCCAATGAAGTCTCTCTGCCTGAGGTTTCTCCAGCTGGAACCCAACGTCCTGTAAAAGTAATAAGCTGTGATTTGGTTGTAAATTTTGTGATAAATTAAAAGGATCTTGACTCTAGTAAATTTTAATAATTAATATTTATTTTTCATAGCTATATACACTAATAATTCATTTTATTACAGATTATGTGTTATCATCCAAAATAAAAGTTCCTCAAGTTTAACTACTATTAATTATATAAGCAAGGCCCGGATTTTTGTTCAATTGAATATTTTGTTGGTATGCAGTTTTTAAACTGGTGATACCACTATGATGTTTACCTTTCTAGTGTTAATATTTTGTGTGTACCATGATCTCTCTAATACTTCATTGCTTACCGGAATATCCATTATTCCATTTTTATTTATTATTTTATTTTTATTTTTTCATTTAGAGAAACAGTTAGTTTTTTTATTACATTTTTTCTTAGCTTAGTTTATTTATAGTGGAAATGACTAATGCACTAAATTCTAAACCACCTGACATTCATGAAACTATTTTCAAAACCAAAGGAATTGGTCGAAAATATGTTTTAATGCACATAGAAGAAAACTCGGCTAATAAAATGTTTAAAGATTTCAGCCCTTTCAGTGTTAGCAAATTTATTAAAAGCTATTGTCCCCAAACAAATGTAAAACTTTTTAAAAATGCCAATGTTTTATTAACAGTTAATAATGAAAAATATTTTATTGGATATTTAATAGTTGACCGTTGCATTATAAAGGAAGGAGATGGTCTGGGGTGGCGGGGTTGCCACTATTTAGCCTATTTATGACCGCCACCCCGGACCATCTCCTTCCTTTAAAAATATTTTATCAACTTTGAAAATATAAAAACATTTCAAAATTTTCTAATAATTTTTGAGTCACATGAGTCTCTATATTTTTCATGTGGTGTCGTGTAGGTCTCTGAATTATTAAACTGTTTGGATGACGAAATAGTTACCAAACTTGAACATCACAGATTAGTTACAGTTAAAATAATTCATAAAAAATAAACAATGAGAATAAGCCTACTCCATCTCTGATCCTGACGTTTGAAAAAAGTGAAGACTGTTATTAGTTTTTATTGTTCTGGGTACACTGTTATTAGATTTCATTTCTGTAAAAGTACTTTAAAACAATCAATTGTGGTAAGTTTGGAGAAAATTTACACAAAACCAATAACTGTACTAATACTCCTTAATTGCCATGGAGAGCACCATGCTTTCTATACTAATTGTCTCATTTACCAATTTTATTTTGAATCATTTTAATTGTCTGAACATTAACATTATTTTTAGCAATGAATATATATTTAATATTTTTTTGCCATTTCAGTCATATTTTTTTTAAATTATTTCTTTTTCTGTATTATCTTATACTTATTACCTTATTATGTATTTTTACATGTTATTACTAAATATAAATCACCTCCCATATTATTAGAAGGGATACTGTTTTATTTTTTAAAATTAGTTTTATCAATTTTCTGTACTTATTCCTCTTCACAGACTGAAGGTACAGCTAATAAATTTTACTTTAAATAAATATACTCAAATGGAACTTAAATGGATTGAATTATAGAAGAGATTAATTGTTTAAAAGTAACTATTGAAGAGATGGCTGATCAGGTATTAAGAAAAAAGGTTCTCAAAAGAAATAGTGAATGTTTTGACCAGCGATGTGATAATGCCATTTTATTAAAGAATAATGATAGGCAAGTAATGCTGCAAAGAGATAACAGAGCCAACAGGAAAAAATACCTTCTTAGCAGGAAAAATCTGAAATAAGAAGAGAGAATGATTGTGGAAGAAGATTGAGAATATGGAGGAAATGAAGAATTGTAAGGAAGAAAGGAAATTTTATCAATCAGTAAGAAGAATGAGGAAAGACAGGAACTGGATGACCTAAATAACCATGAGGATATTGTAAGATTTATTAAGTGAGCTTTAATTACCTGCTTTTGAATAAATTAAATCAAAAAATTAGCTGACATGGGCACCTCGATAGATTACCCAATGAATGAATGGTGAAGAAGGTCACGAGAGAATCCTTCTCAGGAAAGAGGAATAGAGGACGCTCCAGCAATAGCTGGCAAAGACCTGGAAGAGGATCTCAGGAAAATTGGTGCAACTAACTGGAAAAGAAAGGCTCAAGATAGATAAGAATGCAGAGGAATTGTTTGGGAGGCCAAAGTCCATCTTGGACTGTAGAACCACATAAGTAATAATAATAATAATAATAAAAGGCTTAGCGAACCCGAAGGTTCGATGCCGACACCACCAATTGCTTATTACACACCTCCCTCCACCCTTCGCCGTCCAAACCCAGTCCCTTCAGATCAGCTTTAATGCAATCTTCCCACCTTCGCTTCGGTCTACCCCTCGGACGCTTACCATTCGGCACAGCAAATATTAACCTTTTAGGAATTCTCTCGTTACTAAGCCCAACAACTTTACAAGCCCATTTGATTCGCTGCGATGAAATTACCTCAATTATATTACCCGGATACAGCTCACGCAATTCGGCGTTGTGTAACCGTCTGAACTCTCTGGTTAACTCATCCTTCTTCGGTCCGAATATTCTACGCAATACTTTATTTTCAAAAACCTTAAGACGCTGCTCATCCCTTAATGTAAGCGGCCAAGTCTCGCATCCATAAAGAACTGTAGGCAAAATAATTGTTTTATAGATTCTAATTTTTAAGTTTCGGGACAAGAGGCGCGAACTGAGTAGTTTTGCCATAGAAAAATAACAAGCATTTCCCGCCTTCAGTCTAACCTTAATCTCTTCTTCAATTTCATTTTTTCTAGTTATCGTAGAACCTAGATACCTAAATTTATCTACCTGTTCAAACATATTACCATCTATATCGATATCACTAGTAGTATCACCATTTTTGCAGCTAACCATATATTTTGTTTTATCCGCGTTTATTTCGAGTCCTAATTCTTTACCGGCTTTCATTAACGTTTTCATATTTAGTTTTATAGTTTCAACGTCTTCGCTTAACAGTACCAGATCAGCAGCATAGCCCAGCACGGATGTTGTTCCGCCCAGATCCAACCCTTTCTCGGTTCGCATTACCTCCCTAATGGCATGTTCTAATGCCAAATTGAACAGGACAGGCGAAAGAGAATCCCCCTGTTTTAAACCCGAACGAACCTCAAATTTTTCGGACAAATTATTACCGATTCTAACTTTATTGAGTGTCTCCGTCAAGCACATCCTGACTAGATTTACTAGTTTTTTGGAATCTCCTGCTCGATTAGAATATTATACAGTTTCTGGCGGTCAATAGAATCGTAAGCCTTTTTAAAATCTATATACAGCTGGTGAACAATACCGTTATACTCCAATTTTTTCTCTAATATTTGCCGTAAAGAAAATATTTGATCAATAGTCGAACGATTCCGTCTAAATCCGCATTGGTAGTCTCCGATAATTTCCTCGGCGTATTCCGTGATTCGACTGGTTAAGATTAAAGTGAATATTTTATAACATACCGGAAGGAGTGAAATTCCTCGATAGTTATTACAATCCGTCCTCGGACCCTTTTTGTGAATCGGAATAAGAATAGATTCTTTCCATTCTTCAGGTAATTTCTCGTTTACCCAGATCTTTTTAACCAACCGATGTATTTTAGAAACTCCAGCTTCCCCGCATGCCTTAATTAGTTTAGTATGAATACATTAAAAAAGGTTAAAATACATTAAGAACCACATAAGTATGTTGTGTAATAGTCCTGTTGATGGTTAAAACTCCTGATGACCAGGATGTAATTTTTGTAAAGCCTGGATGTGGAAACATAGAACCTTCTTCGTTTTCTAACATGAAGCTAAACTATTTTATGTACAACCTCAACCTGGTGCAGTACAACATCAGTTGCCTTCCAAAAGAGAAATTTGGGAACTGTTTAAAAAACTCTCCAAATAGTCAAATAAAATTCACAAGGTTGAAAATATTAATCAAGAATATCAAACAATATTATATTAGTATAAATAAAATGTACTTGAAAATATATTATATAATATATATTTATATATAACTTATCAAAGTGTTACTTTTACCTATAATATTTATTATTTATATCTATAAATAGATTTATATTGGTTGATGTTAAGATTGATATGATTAATCTTGTTACAAATTGTGCCAGTTTCAATATTATACAAAGTATTTTCCTGGTATATGAGGAAACAGAAAAAAGTGACCTTCTAGGAACCTTTGGAAGGTGCCTATTTTAGATGTTGACCATTTTGAGGTGGCAGACAAAAATAAATTAATGTGAAAGTTCAATAAAACATAAATTGCATGTTTTTTTTTAACACCTACGATAAAGCATCTTTGAAGGCATCTGAAAAACATAGAAAACACTGTGTTTGTAATCATCTGCCTGGAGAGGAAAAAAACTGAGCCAAATGTTATAATGTAGTTTTTATTATATATTGTGGTTCCTATAGATTTTATATAAGCTTTTTTAGGTAAGTCTATGGATTGTGTTTATGAGAAGTCTAACAATTATTGAAGTGCCTCCATCGGGGAGTTAGTCCTGTAAATAATGTAATCTGGAATATAAATTTTTGATCAAGGTTTCAGGTATGTTTCAGTAATGTGTGTTATGCGGATGTGTTTTTTGTGAAAGTACAAATCAAATTCAGTGCTGTCCTGTGTAAATTCACTGAATTTCATTAGATAATTGAGTTAAATTATTATTGTGCATAAGAAGGACACCAGATCTGAATAACTTGGAACAGTTGCTGAAGAATAATAAAAAAGAATCTGGATTAAGTTATTTAAGCTATTATTTTATTAAATAGATGAGAAGATTTTATATGAATATGACCATATATTTCAATCAATTTTATTTATTGCTTAGTGAATTACAAGAGATTTTTTTAGTGTGTATTTGGATATGTATTTTTACTTGTGTAGTTATTAGTGCATGTGTATACCTTTCTTGTTTCATTAATTCAATTCAATCATTGAGTTAAATAAATATTTCTTATATAGATAGAATAGATAGATAGA